TAAATATTAGCTTGGACTGTTTTATATTAAAACGTGATTTACTGGTAGTTGATTGAATTAGATTAAGTGCTTGCGCACGAAACCAGTAGGTCCTGGGTTCGGATCTCGCAGGGGGTGAGGTCGTGGATGCGCACTGCTAAGGAGTCCCATGGTGGGACGAAATGGCCGTCCAGTGCTTTCAGGTTTTCCATGGTGGTCTAGCTTCAACTGACTCATGATCTTAATCATTGAAATTACTATAATATCCACAAAACCCATCTGAACTAGATTGACTTAAGTTAAACTAAATTAATGAGAACTGGTTTTACTATGGATATTCTCTTCTCATCCAGTGAAAGAATCTTTTTTTCACACAGCAAAAAATCTAATTTTATCATTTCTAATCAATCTTATTCACATTCCTCTAACTAAATCGTTTAAAAATTATTCACTCAGAATTGAAATTACATAACAAAAGTTAAACTACTTTCAATTTTATGAGTAGTACAAAACTGAATAAATACTTCTTGTGTAATTGTGAATGTTTCAGGTTTATGTTACATTTTTAAATGAAAATAAATAAGTCCTGCAAACTTTTATCACAGAATCATCAACAGACAATTAGGATTCAAGCGAACCGAAAGGGAAAAAATCCCACTTCATAAATTACGTAATTCAAATAAAAGAAAATCAAAATAATTTCCAGAGTAAAACAAGCAGCTCATAAATAAAATAAGGAAACAATTTTCAAATAAGTTTGTAAGAAAGAAATTGAGTGAATCAAACAGTGGACACAATAATTGAGTGCACAATTGAGTGCAAATTTGTTTCCCTATGGTTTGAACTTCATTGATTATGAAAAGGCGTTTGACAGTGTAGATAGGAGAACATTATGGAAACTTCTTCCACACTATGGAGTTCCTGAGAACATTGTCAACATTATTCGCAACTTATATGATGGACTACAGTGCAAAGTCGTGCATGCATGACAACTGACAGATGCATTCCAAGTAAGGACCGGAGTCAGAAAAGGCTGTCTATTCTTCCCTTCCTCTTTCTACTAGTGGTTGACTGGATTGTGAAGACCTCAACATCTGAGGTAAAGCACGGAATACAATGGACATCTCAGAACCATTAGGCGATTTGGACTTCACAGATGACCTATCTTTTCTATCCCATACATATCAACAAATGCAGATCAAGACAACTAGTGTATCAGTGGCTTAAGCATCAGTAGGCCTCAACATAGCTTCATTGTGATATTTTGTTCTTTAGTAAGTAATGATGAATGATTGAGATACAATAAAAATCCTACATTTTCTTCTATCTTTCTGTATGTTTCAATAATTACCTATGAATTAACAGAAATGATGAGCAGTATTATAAAATGGGAACACATACACTGAATTTTAAATTGTCCAAATGAGTTTTCTGCCTTGTATAATAAAGAGGTTAGTTTAATGACTTTGGCAAAACTATAATTTATGGATGAACCAATCAAATTTAAGATAACAAGTGGCGTGAAATTCAACTATCCATTTGGCTAAATATCGATTCTGCATTATAAATGATGTCAGTTCATGATGTAAACCATAAATCTAATTCCTAACCCTAACGTACAGATATAAATTCTATTATTGATCTCTCATATTAATTTATAACCCAGTAAGTAAGTGAATATTATCAAAGTCATTGTTCTTTTAGCAGTTTTATTGTCCGTTTATTAAGAAATAGTAAGAAGACTGACATTTTTTTAAACACTACGTTACATTTCATTCATTTTCATCTTATCTTTATTGTTAGAGATTGTGATGAAATGTCTATTAACTTGAACATAATTACGTGCCGACTACTTACATACTTACTTGCTTATGCCTGCTACTCCCAAGTGAAGCATAGGCCCCCGACCAGCATTCTCCAATCCACTCTGTCCTCCGCCTTCTTTTCTAGTTCTATCCAATTGTTCTTCATTCTTCTCATATCTGTCTCCATTTCTCGCCGTAATGTGTTCTTTGGTCTTCCTCTCCTCCTTTAGCCTTGAGGATTCCGAGTGACAGCTTGTTTTATACCAATTAAGATCTACAAAATTCCTTTGAATATTTCTATCAATAATCCAATGAGAATTTTATACTATTGATAAGATCCAATAAAGTCTGAGAGATGTATACTTAACCAATGAAGATGATAAATAAATGTATTATTATTATTATTACTAATAATGGCTTTATTCAGTATTGTATTTTTGGTATAAATAGAATTCACAGTACAAAGTATTTCAACAAGTTTCCGTTTCCAACTTCTTGATCAATCCTGACGACAAATATTGAAATCTTGTAATGATACTGAGTAATCGTTTTGTAAATTATTAAATCAAGATTCTTGAATTGTGATTACACCATAATTACGATACATGTTTAAACATAGTATGAATTGAAAACAGTACACTTTGCCAACTAATGATCTTCAGTTAGATGTTAGCTGTTAAGAAATCGATACCTGAATAATGTTCATTGACAGCCACTACGATCTTTCTAATTATACCTTGTACATCGAACTTTTTATAAACGCACCTGAATGGGTTATGAGATTCATAGGTATAATTATGTATCAGATGGGTTTTGTGGATATTATAGTAATTTCAATGATTAAGATCATGAGTCAGTTGAAGCTAGACCACCATGGAAAACCTGGAAGCACTAAACGGCCGTTTCGTCCTATTGTGTTAAAACAAATGAAAAACAGATAACTTGTCGAGATATCTAGATGACAGGAATAGATAGCTCAGATATTCAAGGAAGTTACCAGTTAAACTTATGTAGCATGAAATTCACGCTCATTATGATGAAGAATTCATTCCAACAAGCTATCGATAAAAACTTAACTGACTAGGTGGTAAAGTGTATTAAACCTGGATTGTACATCTTTGTTATATAAATTATTAAGAACTTCTTGGATTTATTCTTTTATTAAAAAGAAACATTTTAGATGGTCGGTAGTAGTAGGCATGAAATTCAAACATAATGAACACAATATGAACGCCGTTAGTCTAATGGTCATAATTCAACTTGACAGGATAGAATCCAAGGATCACTAACATATTCGTCTAGAATTGGAGCCAACCTAATCATAATTCAAAGCTTTATAAAGTGGTAGAAAGGTAAAATCCCAATTATTCATCAATCAGAGCCGTAATTTAATGCCTAATGTACTCGAGTTTGAAGCAATAATGTGGTGAACGAAGATTTAATGCGGATAACCCACTTAGTGTTTAATCCAAACTTATGGAATGTGTTGCTAAATTATGAAAACCATATATAAAATACTTCATTTGCACATATTCTATCAGATGTCTTTTGCATCCTTCATGATTCTTCCAATTCTCAATTCCTTTGTGTTTCCCTTTTTGTTTTCTCAGTTCCATCTTCTTAACCTACTTTTGACAGACATTCCATTTCTGATTGGTGTTATATACTACTTTTATTTGTCAACATAAGTAGTATACACCACAGTAGAATTTGGGTTCGAAAACCCCTTTATTTACTTCAATCTGATCTAAGTACATAGATATGCACTTGGTAAACAAATGAAATTAAGTATTAGATTTTGTAAACGGATTATCTGTGCGATGTTAAACAATCATACTAATCGATGTTTGTAGTTCCTTAAAACAAACTTACTTCTAGAGAATTTCTTAAAGTTCAAAAGACACTAGATCATTTCCTACTCTCTGATTTCATTTATTCTCATAGATTAACGGCAACATGAGAACATAAGCTGATATTTGACAGTATCCACGAATCTTTATTTAATGTTTTCAGAGTAATCAAATATCTACCCTTTAATATTATCATATTCAAGATTTCATCAGGCATTTTGTCATTGTGATTATACTAAGTTGAAGACCCAATGGTGTTAATGTCTAACTTCAACGAATCCAAGAAATTCAGCGACATATCTACCATTGTCATCAGTGAGTTACTATCTCATGACAGACCCGGTTGAACTCCACTAATTACTGCTTCTCACTGGAACTCCAGGAAATACCTCTTAAAGCCAGTTACTAGTGAGAATATGTTGTTTAATATCATAAGAAGTTTTGTGAATATCATAATTTCAATAGTTGAATTCATGAGTCAATTGAAGTTGGACGTTCATGAAAAACCTGGAAGCATTGAATGATCGTTTCGTTCTATTGTAAGACTCCTCAACAGTGTGCATCTACGGTCTAGTTTCAATTGACTTATGAATTTCAACGATTTAAAATTACTGTAATTTCCACACAAAAGACCATTCTGATAATATAGTTTACTAAACTATTTGTTCATTAAAACACCCCCCCCAAAGAAAAACTAAAAAAAAACATGCAATAAGATACAATAAATTACATTTACATTACACAATCTATTGAATTCATAATTGTAATCATTTATTGATTAATTTGTTCCACACACAAAAAAAAAGAAATTGCACTAATAATTGACCATTCCACCATTCCCCATCATCCCCTTGACATCGAAGTGCATTTATAATCGATACGGTAAAAGTCTAATTTTTTTTTGTTTTTTTTGTTTGATTACATCAAGTCGATAATTTGCGTAAATCAAAAATAAACAAACTCAATAGTTTTCCAATCAATAAAATTTCATTCTTTTAACTTGATAAACTTCTTAACCCCCCCCTTTCGATAATTTAATTTCTTTCTTCATTTTTTTTCTTCTTTTCATTAATATACAATTGAAGTTATTACTTTCAATAATGTTCATATTCAATAGTTTCCATATACATTTACAATCATTCTTGTTATTGTTTGTATATTTAACTTGGATCCATTCAATTGTTTATGGTCTAGTACCAGTAAATAATAATAAGAATGAGACAGTTACAACGACGACGACGACGACGACGACAACAACAACAACAACAACACATTCCAATTCTACTCATGAAAATATTTCAAATGCATCAACTATGACAAATACTACTTCAAGTAAAATAGTGCAATTCGAGCAGCATCATTTACAATGACTGATTCATCATATTATGATTATAAACCAAATTCAATGAATCATAATGAAGGATATAAAACAAAATCAAATGAACATTATGATAAACATAAAGTTAATTATGAACAATATTTTAAAAATTATGATCAATATTATCATCATAAACATAAACATCATCATCATCACCATCATCATCATCGTCATCATGATCATGATCATGGCGATCATGGTCATGATGATCATGATCATTCTCATTCTCATGAACATTCTTCTAAAGAAGATAATAATCTAAAGACAATATCATCTGAATGGATCTATGATAAATTAAAAGAATATTTAACTTGTATTTATGAGAAACAAATTAATTGTGAAGATCAATTTGTTACAGAATTACAATTGAAATTATTAAAAATGCAATCAAATAAACAAAAAATGATGAACATTATGAATCAATCTCATCGGAACATGTGAAACAAATTCCAATTATATCCGTTGAAATTGATACAAAATCATTAGAAACAAAACATGAAGATGATCATTCACATCCGGAACATCAACATAAAAAGAACATAAAGAAATTAGAAAAGATTCATCTACTATATATCAAACAAAGAATAATCAATTTGAAATAAGTAGACATAAAGAAATAGAACAAACAGAGAAATTTTATTCACATGAATCTTATCAAAGTTTAGATAATGATAATATTCAAGTTATTATCATAATGATCATCATGATCATCATCATCATAATCCTCGACATCATCAGAATCAGCATCAACATCCTCCTCCTCCACCATCTCCTCCTCTTGATCATCATCGTCATAAAGATCATCATGATCGTGATCATCATCATCAGCATCATCATCGGTCATCTTCATATTATAAAGATGGATGGCTGGAAAAACTAGATAAAATGTTACCAAGCTTGGATGATGATGATGATGACGATGATGATGACGAGCATCGTCATAAACACAAAGATAAACATCCACATCGTCATCCAATGTATCGAAAGTATTCGAACAAATATTAAGTCATTTACAATGTTTCATCATCATCATCATCTTCAACAGCAACAACATCATCATTACCCAAAAGAACACCATTAATGTTATCAATAATTCTTTGATGAACATTTCTAACGGTGAAATATTTTACATTATTGAAATTTTTTTATATGGTTAGTAATAAACCTCTGAGAATAACACTACTCATACTACTCATAATGAAAATAATGATGATAATAATAATAGAAATAAATATACCAGGAAATCTTTTCATTCTTCTATGTATATACACTACTCCACTTATTAAAAGGGGTCAACTAATTAAACTATTGATATTTCATTACATATTATCCATTTAATATTTTCCTTTATAATACAACAATCAAGTACATGTCTATTATTGATTGGGAAGTAATTACTAGGATGCTTTGTTTGACCTAGTTTTTCGTGTTACATGTTATTTATCAGTAAAGCATATCTATAATCTAGAACGAAGTGATCTGCTGGGTTAGAATTCTAAACTATGTGGTATACTACTGAGGAGTCCTAAAATGGGACGAAACAGTCATCCAGTGTTTCCAAGTTTTCTATGTTGGTCTAATTTTAATTGACACATGATCTCAACTATTAAAATTACTATAATATACATAAAAAAACCTCTTCTGATATTTGGTATATGACTGGTCTCTTGAAAGATTAGATGTTTACTCGAATTGATCTTTCAGAAACAAGTAATTTCATATTGTTTATTCATAAATACCGATAGGATTCTACCAATTAACCTACGATTTGAATGTTCAAAATCAAACAAGCTGCATGATGTTGACAAATCGTTTGTATTAATAGACGAATTGGGACTTGATAGTACTAGGAACTAGACAAACATAGCATTGGTTTCTCATGAAGTGATGGTTAATATTGAAAGAGCAAATATTCAATACTGAAGTTTATGTCACACAACATCTCCTCTGATTGATTTTCTCAGCCATATAGATTTCACTCGGTAAATCTAAAGTTAAGATTTGAGTCATGAAGAAAAATTAATAACTTCACAAATACAAATCGTTTTTTGTTTGTTTGTATGAAAACCACTAAGCTTCGGTGAAACTATAATTTATGGACGGACCAATCAGATTTAGGATAACAGGTTTCGGATCCTGGTGCTGAATTCACTCATGCATTCGTTCAAATAGCTTCTTGGTATTTTAGCTGATGTCAGTTTGTGATGAAAACTATAAATCTAAATTCTAATCCTTACCATCAACTGTCAGTCATTATCTTTATTCCTCAAACTGCTTTATAACCTTCATTTAGCCCTATATTAAGTAGGTAAATACTCTCAAGGTGACTTTGACGTCGCTCAAAGATTGTCCATAAATTATAGTCTCACCAAAGCTTCTTATATCCGACTTTCAACTTCACCTACTTTATACATTAAAGTGATTTTAATAACTTCTCATATGTAATTCATTTCCTTGATATACCATATACATATCTCTCTTACTATAAAATTATACTAGTTATCAAAAACTTAAGATTAGCTTTGCTTTTATATTTCCTTTACTATATCTTAGTCGATTTGTAAAATTAATTTAATAATTGAACTGACCAAAATGAGAATTCTCCTCAAATAAAACATCTGTAAACCACAATCTGACAGAATATAGATGATATCATCCATAGTTACCTGACTAAGTACATAGATTAAATATAACAGAAAAAATGTTATAGATATGATATTCAACCAGAAGAGTATGATTATAAGTTACAAACCGGATCTTAAAAAATGGATGCTTGCTAGCAGTAGAATCCAGGACGCGCGTTTCACTCTATTTAGGACTCGTCAGCTAGATATACTTACATCCCAGAGTTGATGTTCACTTCGGGACTTAAACCTCGATTGATCAATTGCAGCCTTAAACATCAATGAGAACATTCAAACAATAAACACATATAAATCAAATGTTAAAAATTGCCTAATAAAAGATAATAGTGAAAAATAGATAACTAACCAATAATCTTCACATAATTATCTGTCATAACAATTCTAAATGGTGAAAATACTAGAAGTTACACTTAAGTACAAAGCTTTTGATCACATTTCACAAAGTACCTGAGTGATATTGATCTGTATAACATTTAATCAACAAAAAAAATCTAACGAGTCCCACAATAGGACGAAACGGCCGTTCAGTGTTTCCAGGTTTTCCATAGTGGTTTAACTTCAACTGACTTATGATCTCAACTGTTGAAACAAATCTAAATGAAAAATGGATTGTATATGATACTCCTTAGTATCACTTGATGCTTATTAGCTATTTGCACTTATTGAACTTATATTGTTTTGTGAATAGTAATGGATGTTTAGAAAGTATTTAAATGGTTCATAGGAAATAAATGAGAATGAATAATTAGGTGACCAAACAGTTTTGTTCAACCTTTAGTAAAAGAATACTGTTGGAATAAGACAACTAATTGATGAATATTAGGTTTATTAGGTTGGTAGAACTATTATACATACTGTTCTTTCAAATGAGAAGTGGATAGGACACACATTGAGGAAGCACCCAACTGCGTCACAAGACAAGCCCTCGCATGGAATCCTCAAGATTAAAGGAAAAGAGGAAGACCAAAGAACACATTACGCCGGGAAACGGAGATCGACATGAGAAAAATGAACAAGAATTGGATAGAATTAGAAAAGAAGGCCCAGGACAGAGTTGGGTTGGAGAATGCTGGTCGGCGGGCTATGCTCCATTGGGAGTAACAGGCGTAAGTAAGTCTTTCAAATGACCTTCAAAGACTAACCAAATAGACATCAGGAGATAGAATCAATATCCAACTATCTTATTTCATACTTTTAAGCAATTAAAATTGTCCTTTATATGTAAAATATCTAAGCTAATAGAATTTATCATGTAGGAAATGAATAATAAAGGTTAACATAATCATAAAACAACAAAACTTTATTGATTTCTCTCCACAGTATATCAATCAGTTGTTGTATCCAAAGGAGTTTAGAATAACATACACAGTTTTAACATTGTAAGGTTTGATGTGATAAGAGAGCTGTATGTCTCAAATTGATAATAATTGTATTGATTTATGGTTGTAAACTTGATAAGGAGTTATATGTAGGGACTATCTTTTAGAAAGCAAATGTTTGATAGTTTAGAAATAGGGTGCAAATATCCAATATACATTGTTTACATGAAGTACTTCCAGAATGAAAATGAATTCCGTTGATGAAATTCATCTTTTAGATTAGTAAAGTTAACATGGCTTTTGTGATGTTGTACAGAAGTGTTAAAGGGAGCATACTGAAGTTTATTGAACCCTTAGCTATACGAAACTTTAAACCCCTTTTGTTCTCACTTGAACCTAACCTGGTAATGTTAGATGATTTTCCAGCGTGATGAGTCTTCATACTGTTTTTCTTATTATTTTCTTCGTTTTCTCTTACTCTCTATTTGTCTAATTGACCTTTTATTTTGTATATATAAATGTACTTAACAACTATATGTGTGATCAGATTGTTAGAAATGTATTGCACGAATGCATCATGTAGTTCTAATAATCTTCGTTTTCTTATTACACTATCCAAAGTTAATTGAGCTTATCAATGTTTACAAAATGTTGTTTAAAGAATTGGGGAAGGCTATTCTACCGTTTAAGACTCCCCATTAGATTATAGTTTTCAAAATGATGAATTTCTAATAAGCTAACTCGAAACTATTTAACTGAAGATTTTTTGTATTACGAGTGTTCGTATAAAAGTTTCCTACTACTTAATGTTTTATAAGTAGTGTACTAGTGTTAGTAAATTAATTAGTAACAATATTAACAATCAAACGTTGACATAGTAGGTATCCGTAATTTATTCATGTTAAATACGAATTTATTATTCAGGTGTAGGTCTGTGGTGGAAACGAATGCATTTTTAATACTTACTAACCAGTACTATTATGCAAAACAATTTGTATCAAATATTTCTATGTGAACCTAGTTTAAATTGTAATCAATTTGATACTTCAAGCATTTAGTTATCTAGTAGTTGAATTCATGAGTCAATTGAAGCTAGACCACTATGGAAAACCTGAAAGCACTGGACGGCCGTTTCGTCCTAGTATGGGACTCCTCAGTCCCTAATGCGCACCTATGATCCCGCCTCGCGATATTCGAACCCAGAACCTATCAGTCTCGCGCGCGAACGCTTAATCTCTAGACCACTGAGCCGCCATCCAACGGTGTTAATGTCTAACTTCAACAAATCTCATTTATTTATCTCCAGAATACAGCCAATTTTACGCATTAAAGTGTTACAAGAGTAATGATCAAGTGGTAATCTTCACAGGACACTGTGGAATGATGAACTTATCGTGGTAAATCCACTAAGTCACTGCATTCGCCATATAACACAAGTGCCGTATAAATCCAAACATTCCTAAACCTACAGTTAGGACACTTGGACCTAGATAAGTGTTCAAAACGACTGTGTACTCATTCAAGCTCACAAATTACGTAAACTCATAAGATACAGGGTCACAATGCATTCTAACTAGTATATCTCAACATGTACCACTAATTAGGGCATTTTCGAAGCAAAGTCTAAAGGCTGACCCGTAATTAATTAAATGTAACCTATCAACGGTAAAGGACAAAGCTAGATAGACATATCACTAAACAATTGTTTAATATATTCTAACTACTCCACTACAAGATAGCAACTCGAGTCTCATATTTCTATATTTTCTCTCCTTTTCCTAACAATTTGATCACAATTTAAAACAAACGATTTAAGCGACCATAGATTATGATGATATTTCATTCCCTTTGCGAGGCCAGAACGGTTATGTTTACAGAATACAATGAATTCTTCGTCTAGCGCCACCCCTTCTCCACAGCTAAACATGTATAATTACCTTATAATTTTCAGTAAACACTGATCTCAATTGAAAATTAGTACAGATGGACTTTGATTTAGCGGTCTGAAGGCTGATTGCTTACCGCGACCCGTGAAGACTCTGCATTAAACCAATAATGAGGTCTTGGGTGCGCACGAAACAGCCGTTGAATACTCATCAATTTATACTGGTGTTCTCAATGAAAGTCAGTCTGTAACAAATATCACCTCAAATACCAATATACTGTGAAACCTCAAAAATGTATAGCCCACTAGATAACAGTAAAATTGTTCGGGATTCAAAATTATAATAAGTTTTCTGTAAAACTCATCTTTAACATCATCTGAGCTGCAGTCAGTGGGAGGATAGACAGATACGACGAATAAGCAACGACGAGTGTCCCTATCTTTCCGAGTCCTTAATGTTCCGTTTAGTCGGACAGCACATAAGCGACTGTCTACTGGGATCCAGTCGAAGAGAGCTAGTTGTGCCCTAGGACTCAATACTATACCTACACCAGCGAGGCTACGGGAAGCAGCACCAAGGCTTCCAGATGGTTCTTTATTTTGATATGGTGAGGTCAAATGAATGATGCTACTCGAATCCTGAATGCCCGTTTCGGAGACGCAGCATACATTGATGGCGCGAAATCCTGAAACCCTAGCTAAGGAAGCCTGCTGTCGTATTTGGCACAGTGTTCGGACGTTAAAAGCTCCCACATGTAGTTTAGAGCGTGGTTTCAGGAGACCGGGAATGGCGTTCCGCGTACTCAAATTGTTGGCATTAGCAGCGCGAGGTGATAAAGGAACGTGAGAAGAGTTAGCCGTGAAGATAAGAGATTTATTAGGAGGTGTAGAAAGGATTTGAGTGCGATGAACTTGGTCTCGTGTGCAGTTACGGGTATGAGGGCTGATATCACTTTCCGACTGCCCACACCGTGGAAGGGTATTTCTTGAGGAACCTGAAAAGGAAATTGGATTAGTGTTGGTCTTAAAGACCTGGAGGCGTGACCGCAGAGCCCAAGAGACAACTACTTGAGGCCGGTCGCGCACGGCTTTTGTGGAAAGTTTCCAACGTGTTAACTCCGTTCTTCAAAAGACTGTGGTGCCGGAGACGAAAATCCACGAGGTAAGGTGTGACATTTCTAGGGTCGACCTTTTCCAACCCCTTCCTTCTTTGTGAGAAGGCAGCATTGCTGCAGATGCTGGATGCACGAGGAGAACACCATAATGCTGTCATACCTCTCTGCAATCAGCAGTACGACTTCGCCCTCAGACCTTGAGTTGTTGCTTTTAGTCTTACCGTTCTCTAATCAGCCTGCCTGGCATGGAAAAACCTACAGGAACATATGTCCCAGCCAATATAGCTCGGTTGGTTCATCACGATAAACAAGCCCGACCACAACGTCAAGGTAGCAGCTACGGTCGGGACCAACAACTTACTCATGAGATAGACCCAGAATCATTTATGGCACAAAGTTACAAATTTTATGTTTTATTAGCACACAACTATTAGCCCAGTGAATCAGAAGTCGGTAAAAGGTATTTCAAAAGCCACATGCAGATGATTAGTCGATATGTATGAATGGTTATCGCTGAGCGAAAATGAATGATGGTCGAGCTAAACCGTTAAGTGATCAAGTTTGAAAACCTTAAACCACCGATTTTTACAAAGTTAAGATGATAATTTTAGAAGCTGTGAGTACAATGGTCATTTCGCTACACCTTTTAGATGGATACATTCTGTCGGAATGTTGTAGTATGATCTGGAAATTATTACGGGATGCTGTTGTAGCTGTACAAATTAACCTCGTAAGAGTAGAATCTACGCATCATACAGACCAGCAAAATCACCTATTCTGAATTCAACTACAAAAAAACGATCAAGAATCGGCTTGAGACGCATCCTAAAGGTTTAAATTCATCCATAAAGAAAGATGATATATGAACAAAAATGTCCTGGACTGGATTCCGTGATAATGAAGAATGTATATATGTCTACGTATTTTGAGTTCTTAAAACCTCATTTATAGGTTAGTGATTCCAACGGAATTTTAACTCTACCCTACTGCATCACACACAATATCCACCCTAAATGACTTGTTTGGCTATTTCGGCCTTGCAAGTACGTGAAGACTTTGAGTCATTTCTCCTTCCAAAAACAAATAAGCGCGAATACCATATATAAATAAAGTAATTCCAGCATCCAATAAACCTGACAGATATGGTCCTAAGAAAGTGTAAAAGTGCTTAGGAAAAATTCTCTTCAAAACACAAATATATAAACTGTAAGTTTACATATTGAATTGAATTTTCAAACATGGACTTTATAATTAAACGAGATTTTATACGCAAGAGGCTAATTTATATGTAAAAGATGTGAAAGTCTTATCAACCAAGGTCATATTTAAAAGCACTGATCTCAAAAGACATTTTTCGATAAGCATAGGACCCAACTTCAATTACTAAAGCCAAGGCCAAAAATTATCAAAATGACTATAATTCGACTTGAAAATATCACTGAAAGTTTGAAATATCGACCGGTGACAAAATCAATATGAACAGCTTCAGTAGTAAATAATACAGTATTTACAAATAATTAAAATATTGCAAGTTTATATGACTGGAGAATTCAGTTTCTAAAACGGAACATTTTTCGCCGTTGCCTTTTGGACAATATTTTGACCTTCCCTTTTTAGGACAGTTAAAAGAGTCTGAGAACTTTCCAGGATCTGATAAATAAAACTAAAGTGATAAACAGATATTACGCACCTTCATATAAGCTGCCTCAGACTCTGCGATCGTTCTGTCATACTCATTCCGTGTGGATAGTTTTTTCTCCAACGATTCATTTACTCTGGTAAGCTTATCATTGAGAACATTTATCTCCCTTTGAAGTTTAGCGCGTTCAGTTTCATCTTGTTGAATCTGTCGCTGTAAGTCTTCTCGTCTCTTACAAAGCTCTTCAAAGCCTTAAATTTCAATAAGTAAGCAAAAATGCCATACATTTAACAAGTTCATTATTATAGTTCTGAAGTGCAGCTCCTTGGTGAGACATGAGATTGGAATGTTCTTCAGTTAGTACGTTAAAGTCTAAGATCCAAGCAAGTTTCTACTTGCAGTGCTCTAAAGACTGGGCACAGTAGTCTGAAATAAAAATAGAGGAAAACGTAGACCGTTTGGTGGGGATAACGAATGGATAATACGTAACAGTACACAAATGTAAATTGGAGGTAGTCCATCAAAGTAAGGAATACTAGAAATCTCAATGAATATCACAAATACTTCTCACATTTATAGACAAGAACGACCGTGGAGATTATTAGTGTACAAAAATGGATTCAGGGGAATCTATTGAAATGAAAGGAAAGGATGTCGAGCTTGCAGACGGACGGAGTGCAGTACAGCGAACCGTGCGCTTTCATTGTCATGACACTAACAAACACATTCAAGGTATTCAAATAGATCAACTGGTTCTCGAGAAAAGCAAGAGCTCAATGAAAAAGTTTTTCGTTTAGGTCTTTTACGCCCAGCATTTTCGCCAAAAGTAGGTGCAAAGTTCCAAAAAGGATTCAGGTAGTATGCTGAAAGATGAAGGCAAACGTTTAAATACAGACTAATTTCTGTGTTTTCAGAGATTATGAGGATCATGGAAATGGTTATAAATAATTCTTTTCGATTCTAATGACTCGAATGCTCTATTCTATATAACTGTGAACATGGATTTCCCCCCGGGTGGATCATATAATTCAAGCCTGTTGACCACCTGGAATATTTGAACACTTAGTGGAACATAATTGTACCATGCATATGACCCAACAATATTTTCGTTTGGCAGTTGACAGAGTTGGCCACCAAATCAGTAGCACAAGTATGAGATCGCTAAGCACTAGTGTGTGTTTGATTTAGTGGTTACAAGTTTGTTTGATGGGAAGATTCGAGAATTTTAAGTCGGAAGCTTCCATCCATAAGTTCGTGAAAATACAATCTATACTGGGAGTTTACCCGTTAGACCCCCGGAAGGTATGACGGAAAAGCTAAATTCTTCTCCCAAGATCCTGATACTAATAACCAGTTTAGAATTATCATCCGATAAGAAGAGAATAGGAACGTTGAAGTCACTCGAAAATCGTCAAAAGAAAGTCCTCTGCCAGAAATATGTTCAGCAACCGGAGTTTAAATAATCCTTACTCTGCATAACCTCCCTGAAACCATGGATTTTTTAACTGTTACCCTTTTGCATTACTGTTTAGGTAGCGAGTGAGGTAAAGACAGTCACTGAATATTGCAGTCAAGCCGTGAATCGTGTTGAAAGGAATGTCTTTAAGTAATATGCCAGCAATGTTTATATACATAGTCTAAGTAGCTACGCTCATACTCAAATCACCAGAACGTAATTCCTTTCGAGACGTGAAACTATACGAAGATTCGATGGTGACAACTATCGTGCCAGGTGATTCAAGAGTTGCCTGGAGTAGCCTTAGTAATCGTGATGAGGTAAGGAGTTGAATGACACGATTGACGAGTGCACTGGTTGGGGTAAGTCTTTCTGAAACACACCGTTACTGTTCAAGAAGTAATAACGTTCATCTATTCATCTGTGGTCCAGCGACTTTTTCAATGGTCTTCTAACGATTATTTGGTTTAAATATTCTCCGTAATACATAATTCTGTTAAATGCCTACTACAGGTTGTTGGGACAGAATGAACGATTAAACTAGACATAGTACAACTGTTTACTAAGGCAAAATAATTGGCAGTCAACTCCGAATAAATGTTTCAAATCCGGACGTACAAACGATATCACCAACATTAGCTTAACCGAAAATGTATTGAATGACAAACACATGTACAGTCATTTGGTTTCGTTGTGTATTGCTCCGTACAATTTCCGACAATATATTACTCGGCTATGTTGTAGTTATGATGGCTGAAGTAGCTTAATTTGATGGAGCAAACTGGGTCCGATACTATGTATATAGTTTCATTGTTGTCCAACCACACAGTCATCAAAGCCGAAGATGCCGAAACTGAGAAGATCTGCATTAAGCAGATAAAATTATAGAGCTAGTTTGAAATGGTGAACACGGGAACAATTGATCGGTTTGGTATGGCTCTGCAACGCCAATAAGATAGAACTTCCTCAGTAATTATTGAATTAGGACGTTCAATTTCTTGGTTTACCAAACTATTTAGCTGGTGAATTTTAATGGATTTGTATTCCCTGTAAAATGTTTCATTTTCGTTCCGTAATGGTTTTACTTTTGGAAACGCAAATCGATTAAAACATACGAAAATAGTTTCAGTGGGATTACAAACACCAAGGCAGAATTTAACACAAAAAATGACATCAACAGTGTTTTCCAATGAGTCAACTGTAAACTAATCCCAGCTTGTCATACGAAGCATGTTTTTGAGATGTTGGGTACTTTCTTCTAATAAATTTATGTATTTAACTTTCTTTTCCTGACACAATAATATGCTCTTTGCAAGCCTGCTATGTAGTCTGGGTAGAACGCTGATAATGCAGTGAACAGAACAAAACGAAGTGCGTTTACAAGTCATATATTTTCCAACGCCACTATTTAACGAAAACTAATTCTAAATGGACATCCAAATGAGTGGGAAAATCGACTGAATTTTGGTGATACAGTGATGAAAGAAAGCTACTATCACTTAAATTAAAATCCCCATATCTAAATGAAAGCAAACCTTTGAAAGCAGTGACAGAAAAATCGGTTAATTTTTTCGTGCCGGTATGTACCACCAGTTCTATTCATATGAGTAACCAGACTAGTAGTGAATAGGCCTTTACTTAAATCGTGATACGCGATAAAATGCAGCGCTAGGTTATCCGTTTTAGACACAGTTTTCCAACAAACAATACGACATAATAGGAAATATAATCTCCATACAAGGTAAGGATTTGAATGAACACTGGAGCTCCATTGTTTCGACATATACTTAGATGTTTGAGGTCAATTCTTAACATATCAACCTAATTTGTTACAAATTCATCAACGGAAACAAACAGCGCAGGTGAAATAAGGCCGTGAGTCACGTAAATGTATGTAACAAACAAAAGTGCATATGTTCCAGCGTTTTGAACGAAATTATAAGTTTAAACTGTCAACAATTTATTCTGAAAACTAGCAAAATTAGGTGGACAGCATTTCAAGTTTACAAATGTACAGAACAACGGTCTATTTCGGAAATCAGTGCTACACTAATAATAGACATAATCGTAAATTGTGGATTCGTAATGATGTGAAAACCTAATCTGTACGACCTTACGTGTAGGCCACGTCATTATCTATTCCGACTCGTCGTACCGTAACAATCAGCGATATTACGTTTGACGTTTCTGAAGAACACATTTACGCTGAAGATAGAACAATATATTTGATATGAATAAAAGAGATAGGCTACACAAGAGCGAACACGGCTGTAAGGCTGAGCCATACCAAACGATCGAATTGAATGAATGTTGCCGCGTCCTCTATTGTTAACCTTCTCGAGTTAATTGTTTAGTATAAATGATTCTGGTAATTATATACTCGGCTTCAAATGTCGTGTGGTTATAGTTACACCGCCTCACACTTTCTCAATGGTGCTGTTTCTCAGTTTTTCCAATAACAAGATATTTTAAACATACTTCTATAATAACCCTTATAGCGCTTTAAACTAAGCAGCAACTGAATATATGTGACGCATATCTTAATCGCCTCAGCTCATATTCATAAATCACAATTACAAAAGTTATATAACTTCGAGTTCTGGTCATTACCTAAACTGTTACCAGAGATTTTCAACAAATGTTTTGTAACTATATCAGTTTTGGTAATAACGTGTAAAAAATAGATAACAGGAGCACTGACGATGAAGAATGTGTCAGTGTAGTAAGTGCTGCTACTGGACCCATTAAACACCTGACTGCGGTTGACGGGAACGTGAAATCTCCGTTGACATTAACGAGAAATGAAGTGTCGCTTGATAATGACATCGGCAGTCATACACCTCTAGTCGAAATAGAAGATCCGGATAAAACTGTCACCGTTCCACATAGTCCAGGTGTGGCTGTTCTGAGTGGTGACAAATGGACTTCGGTAAGAAGAAAAAGGCTGTAGGCAAAACGCAGCTGGTCAGCAAAACATTGGAAGGGATGTTATCAGAAAAAAAATCCTCACCGCGTGAAAAGACAGATCTCTCTGATAGATCAGTCATTTTTCATAAGATAAGAGAATCTTCAGATACTGAACCAAAGGCAAGATTTGAACATGATCTCAATCATATTAAGACATCATTAAGTAAACTACTCCCAGATACAGTTTCAGGAGTTAGTATTTGTAAGCTTTATAGAATAGGAAAAAAGGTGGATTCCGAAAGTCCTCAGAAAAACCGCCTCCTAAAGGTTACATTCAACACGGTGGAAGAAAGGAACCTGATTCTAAGTAATTCACGTAAACTGATTGGATCCGGAATATATGTCCGTGAGGACCTCAGCCTAGCTGATCGTATTAAGAGAAGAGCTGCAGAAGCGGAAATAAACGAGCGTCGCCGAAACGGTGAAAGAAACCTCGTTCTTAAGGGTTTTCAGATTGTAAAAGTTCGGAGCAAAACGATCCCCAAGCCACTCTGGGTGGCAAGGGAAAGCTCTCCACAGACTTAAAAGTGTGCTACACAAATGCTCGCAGCCTACTAAATAAAATGGCGGAGCTGAAGTCAGTGGTGGACAAAGAAAAACCGGACGTTATCGCTGTCTCGGAAACTTGGTTAACGTCAGAAGTATTAGATAGTGAAATCCAATTGACTGGTTTCATAACCAGTAGGGCTGATAGATTAAACCGAAGGGGAGGCGGGGTTATTGTGTACACCAAAAGTACCCTAACCATAAGATTAGCTGAGACAGTAGCACATGTTTCAGGGACATGTGAACTGGTGAGATGTAAGTTGAAATGCCGAAGGCAAGATATTGAAGTAGTTGTAGTTTATCGCAGTCCAGAATGTGTAGCAGATGATTTTCTCCTTAGTAAACTTAAGTCCTGGTGTAACAACGGTAAAAGCCTTGTAGTAGGCGACTTTAATGCACCATATATAAACTGGGTTAACTTAGAAGTAGGGTCATCCATATCGTCGTTCGACTCCAAACTGTTAGAAACCTCGATTGGACTAGCATTATTCCAACACATTAGAGATCCCACAAGATACGACTTAAGAAACTCTTCTCTTTTAGATTTAGTCTTCACACACGGTGATGACGTTGGTCAAACGGCTTTTCTCCCACCACTTGGGAGAAGTGACCATGCAGTCATCTTATTCAAATTCATGGCTGAGATTGCTTGTCAAACAATTGCGCCGGCCCGTCCTAACATATGGAAGGCAGATATGCAGGCAATTAACTCCGCAGCATCGGCTGAGAACTGGGAAATTGACTCAAAGGCATCAGTACAAGAGGCATGGACTCTATTCAGGCAGTTATACAATCGGGTAACTCAACCATACATACCCTGGACTGTCCCAAAGAAAAAGAAGCACGGACATCCCTGGATAGGGCGGGATATTCGACGCTTACTAAGACAAAAGAAGAAATGCTGGGATGTTGCCATCCGCCTTGGCACAGCGGGTACGATGGAACGTTACAGATCGATAAGAAACGAGTGTATAACTAAAATTCGGGAAGCGCAAAGAAAATATGAAATGCAGCTGGCAGAATCTGCACTCAAGCAGCCCAAGAGGATATTCTCGTACATAAACTACAGAACAAGGATTCATCATTGGATTCCCAACCTAATTAAAGTAGGAAGTGAATCTGAAATGATAGAGGAAGATCAGGAAAAAGCTGAGGTTATGGCTGACTACTTTGGGGCAGTTTTCACTCAGGAACCTCCTCTAGAGAAAGAACCAGACCCAATTACAGAGTCAACAAACCAGCTGCTCACCGTGGACTTCGACCAAAACGATGTGCTTAAGGCTCTTAGCACCCTAAACATGGAGAAGTCAACAGGACCAGATGAACTACACCCTAAAATCTTGAGACATATTGCCCAATATATCGCAGCCCCACTGACTGTGATATTCAAAATGTCACTTGACCAAGGTGTGTTACCTATGGACTGGAAGGACGCAATCGTCACTCCCATACATAAAACAGGTCTACGACAAGTTCCATCAAATTACAGACCCGTAAGCCTCACCAGTGTTGTAATTAAAATACTGGAAAGAATAATCAAACGGACCATAACAGCATTTATGGAAACCAATAACTTGCTGAACATGGCACAACATGGTTTTAGAAAGGGTCTATCCTGTACAACGAACCTCCTTATAGCTAGGGAGCTCTGGATTAATGCGCTAGACAACGGAAACTCAGTGGATGTTGTCTACATAGACTTCAGTAAGGCTTTTGACAAGGTGCCAACTAATAGGCTGCTATTGAAGTTGGCAAACCTTGGTATTGCCGGACCTCTTTTAAAATGGATTAAGGATTTCCTAGTAGGTCGTAGGCAAAAAGTAAGAATAAATTCCAAGTGCTCCATCTGGAGACCAGTACTTAGTGGAGTACCCCAAGGTTCCGTCTTAGGTCCTTTACTTTTTATAATGTACGTTAATGATCTTACAAGTATAGTACAGTCTCCAATGTTATTATACGCTGACGATGTAAAAATTTGGCGAGTAATAACTGGAGACAAAGACGCATTTACTCTTCAGGCGGACTTAAATAATATGATAAACTGGTCTAAAGAGTGGCTAATGCCTATCAACTCGGAAAAGTGTGTCTACATGCACTTGGGGGATTCAAAGGTTAATACGTACAACATAGGGGATGTGTCATTACCCGTAGTCCGGTCTCATAAGGACCTAGGGGTGACAGTGAGCAATGATCTTAAGACGACGGCCCATTGCCGGGAGGTCGCAGTTAAGGGGTTTCGAACCCTCTGGGCTTTAAAAAGGACATTCACTAAGCTTGATACTACCATGTTCACCACATTATACACATCCTTAGTGAGAACTAAGTTAGAGAACTGTGTTCAGGCTGCAAGCCCCTGTTTAAAGGTGACTCGGACATAATAGAAAAGGTACAGAGGGCAGCTACGCGTGCAATTCCGGAACTCCGGGTTTATCATATAAAGAGCGGCTTGAAAAACTGAACCTCTTTACTCTGTCCTATCGCAGACTAAGGGGAGATCTAATATTGATGTACAGAATACTGAGAAATGATTTCGGACCTAACTTATTCTCTCTCTTTCTTCCCACTAGATCGGGACACCTCAGAGGACATAGCAGGCGAGTAGAAAAGCCAAGAACGAACAAAATACCCGTGGCATACAGGTTTTCACACCGAGTCATCAATACTTGGAACCTGCTGCCTGAAGCAGTGGTGTCCGCACCTTCAATTGACTCTTTCAAGAGAAGACTGGACACTCACAGAAGCATACTAGAAAAGGAATAACATAGGCCGTAGGCCTTCTCTCCTTACTACACAAATCTGAATCTGAATCTGACTTTGAAAAAATGTATACGAATTTTTATTTCGACGGTAACACTACTCTTTCGTCTTTCAGTAACTTGCCTGATAAGCCGTGTAATAATGGGTTAAGTTTCCTTTTATTCAGGTTAGCGCTGACAACATTAGAACTTATAATTTACAGAATGTATCAACCTGTGTTCAACACTATCGTAGATTTTTGAAATTTCTGTGAAAGGACATATTCAACACATTTTTCATACTCCTAAATGTATCCCATTGTCTAGGAAAGTTTTTTCATTGAAGAATGAAAGGTAGAAAAATTAACTGACTTACGCTCCTAACAGAAGACAGACGACAAAAATCCAGCGCACAGTTTGTGCTTTCAAGGTCAGAACAAGTTTGTTGTGAAGTCTCGATAGACTACGATGAAGGTTATTGGCAGGGAACTGAATAAAAACTCATCTGGATATATTACGCTAATTGCAGAAAATGAGGAGGACATGTGGTTAACGTACAACTTAGTCCAGGTTGGAGATAAAATGAGATGTTCTACGGTCAGAAAGGTCCAGAATGAATCTGCAACCGGTAGTGTGCAGACGAAGCAAGTGAGAACCAACCTAACAATAGAGGTAGAAAAAATTGACTTCGATTTGCAGGTGAGTATCAAGGGTGTTCCTCATAATTGTTCATCGAATTTCGACTCATTATATTAATCTGTGAAGTCTAAAATTCAGATATTCGAGATGTGAACTTCAAGGGTTGTTTAACGGTGTGTAAACCTATGAGTGACAGGTATTAAAGAATATTATTGGATTGAGGTTGATATGCTCGACCGGGAGCTTAAACAATGAAGTTGTCGTGAAACCTTGTTTTTCCTTTGGCTCAACTACAACTAGGTGTTCAATTCATTCTTCATAGTTTTTAGTAACAATGTTCACAACAAAATCTTGAAATAAATGAGGTATACGGTTTTGTTTTCAGACCAGCGGAAATCTTTGAAATGGTTAGAACATTGCGAAGTAGATTTGTTTGATGTAATTTCTGAATTATCCGTGTTAAAACCCTCGTCCCGCTTTACACATCGATCAGGGCTTCGCTTTCATTGCCGAGTTTATGACGGCCAATAAATACATAATATTCGTTGGTCCTAGATATTTGATCATTGTTATATTTAGGACATTGCTTTCATAAAGTGGGACCACTTAGTAATCATTAATAATGTAGTGGTTAGTAAACTTGGTAAATACGGGTAGAATACTCGAATCTCATGGAATTAGTTGACAGTCCGTTCCAAAGAGTGTAAGGTTTACATTTTGCAACCAAAATGCTCATTCGCTCTATAGAACTAACAAAACGTCTTGCGTTCACATCTTAAGCGTATCTCCTGATTGCGTTTGGTCATTCTGATGTTTGTCTTTTATCGCCTACATTATATTGGCAATTTATATTGGAAGTATTTTTTCTTAAATAGGGTTCAGTACTTCACTTGAAAGGCCGCAATGTGGTAGAAAATCAGTTTGTCAAAATGGGCGCCTACCACACATTAGACCTCAGGATCGATGAAAAGTTTACTATCACTAAAACAGAATGGGATAGTGTTGCAATTATGCTTGTCGAACAGGCATCTGACCCAACACAACAAGCTGATCTTGCTGCAGTTATCATGCATGAAGGCCTGGCTTATGTTTGTTTGATAACAAGTACAACAACTATTGTTCGTGCGAAGATTGATACTACAATTCCACGCAAACGTCCAGGTTTACCTACTACTCAGCACGAAAAGGGTCTGTCACGCTTTTTTGAACAAATAATGCAAGCAATAGAGCGTCACATTCGTTTCGACAGTAAGCTTTTGCATCACATTACATTTACTTTTGTGTTACATACCTTTTCGCATTTGTTTCTGTTCAGGGATTTCGAAACCATATTGCTTATTGCCTCAGTTATAAATATTAGTGGAATGATTTCGTAGTGGCTGAATCGGTTAAAGTGTAAACATTGGCTTCTTTACTGGAACCCGGCCACATCAACTTCGATCCAAGCACCTAAGCACTATTATTAACATAAGAAATGTAGCTCAAAGCTTGATACACTAAGACCGATACTTCGTGAATGAGTTATGTGAATTTATTAAATCCTTTGATATTATAACTTTCCTATTTGAACTACAACTACTCCCCTCCTACAGAATATATACACAAAACTTATCACTAGATGTTAACTTAGGTGATATTCTAATCCTCATCAATAATCCTATCCCTTCAATATGAAGAATCATAAATGGTTAATTAGCTTAATACTTAGTAGTGTGTTTTATTTTAGATTAGTATTATTTCAAAGAGATCGAATGGTTGTTGTATAATTCATCCCAAATTTTAGATAGATTTAGTTTCAAAAGGATATAAAGAAAAGAATAACATTTGTGTTTCTAACTAATGCCGTCACTTTTCTCACCGCTTTTTCAAACTATCATTTAATGAGTTAATACTGAATAAATTCAGTCAGCTAATCAGTCTTAGTTTTGTAGGTCTTAGGACAAATTAATAGAGTAAAAAGCAAAAAGAAAGAGGGCGAATATTCATTACCATAGAACTATGGAAACATGAAAGATACTGTTGTGAAAGGATATATAGGATCAAAGAATTGAAATTGGGTGATGATAATTAAGTCAGGATTTCGAGGAAATAGAGAATTAATTTTACTGCATTGTTGCTGTCTGTTTTAATGTAACCTAACATTCGAAACTGTCGACTACAACTTATGTACAATTCCTGACTAGGACGTCTGCACTCATAGCTGTGACTTAAACTAAAAGTCAATGAATTCATGAATTAGTATCAGATATTGATACTGAGATAATACAAATATATAAAATAAAACAAAACTACGTAGAATATGTACTAGGTGCTCTGCACCTTCTTACATGAATAACAGCCAATAATTTCATGGATTGGTGCTATTTCTTAGTTTTTCCAATCACAAGGTTTTTTAAACATACTTCTATAATAACCCTTATAGCGCTTTAAACTAGGCAGCAACTGAATATATGTGACGCACATCTTAATCGCCTCAGCTCATAAATCCTCGTAATCCCATCAACCAATTCATCACTTACATGTAGTTCTGCATACAACATCAACATTGCCTATTTGGTGAATTCAACATGCATAAACAAGACTTTGAGGGCGCATGTAACCAAGTACTTACAGTCTAGGTATGTCTTCCACATTCTAGCCCATCCATGACAAGTGTAATATAAAAAAAGCGAACTGTCGTTCAGCACTTTTCCTTAAGACCATTGACGACTTCACTTACATCAGAATTCTCATCAATTCTCGTGGATAAGAATCTGATGGTATCTCGACACATATTTAGAAATGTCTGTTGGATTTTGCCAGCGTGCGTCATTTGTGGCGTCCCACTTTACAGGTGTGAAATGTGACCATTAAAAATAGGGGATGTTCTTAGGTTACTAAGATGCAGTCATAAGTGTCTTTGAAAAATATTCACCTGTTTGAACTGTCGAGTGAGGAATATTGAGGTTAGGCATGGGTCACTAGTTAAAAATGATAAACCGGCTGGTGAAGTAGTAAATCCATACCTACTGAGTCGATTGGGATATGCAATAATAAATATCCGCAGCCACCGCCTTCCTCAACCGGAGATTTTGCCTGGTATAAGATTCAGGTGAAACAAAGCTATGAACAACCAAACCAAGACGTAGCATCAATCTATGAAATTATTGGAATTTTTGGACTGAGTTTTAGTGATAAGTAGAGATTACCTGGTTGGGGTGCGCATAATTATCAAAATTAGTGATTGAAGATGTTGGGTAACATGACTCTGAATCGTTCGTAACGGCGTAGATACATTCACTCTTTGTCTACCTTTAGATGCAGAGTCAGAAAAGTCTATACTTTCTTCTATCCTTTCTATAGTTAGTCTTTTCTGCCACCGATACTACTATTGACAGTTACTACTTCTACTCTTCGACAATTTCATCTGGTTGTGTTAATGTGAATCGATAAATATATTTGCCAATTTCTATGTTGCATATAACTGAATGACTGAATCTCTACACTACAGGTAAAGTAATTCGATTTGAAATGGTTTGGATTATCGTGTTATTGATATTTTTGGCTGAAATTTGATCAGTTTTAGTTGGTATGTGGACATTCTGTGCGGATTGCCTCGATATAGCCATTATGACAGGTTGATACAGAACAGATGAAATGTAGCTAGCAGATGAGTCAAGGGCGCTCATCCCGTTTTATTTGGGACTTATCAGCTGGGTGTCCTGGATTCCAACGTTAGCCGCATTCCATCTATTCTATATCAACAGGTAAAGTTACCAAAGATCAAATGGCCATTTTGCAACTCTGCTGATATACTTGGAAACTTTGTAATGCTAAGTCCCTAAATAAAACTACGCACCTGAAATAGAGTTCAAGCTTTCTTAATTACTGACTGTATCCAATCACATACTTCTATCCTACTATGTTGTTTTTATTATTACACAAAAACCATAGTACAATCGAACATCATAAAATTCCCCACACCAAACAACAGGTTAATATTTTGTAAATATAACAGAGTAAAACTGATAAAATCAGTAAAGAAATTTTAAGAAACTAAGAATACCGTGTGTTAAAATACACAGTTCAAGTGAAACTTTAATCAAAACATATATGATTCAGTATAAAGTATGCATATGTCTTTGAAGTTGGCGGAACCATTAATTTATCGCTAAAGTCTCTTTCTTTAAAATTACAGTCCTTATCTGCAAAAATCTTGGTACCAAACCAGATATTATGATCAAATTATTTGCACCTAAATCCTTTGATGCTTCTCAAACAAAACCCTTAATTTCATTTTTTTTGTCAAATTTAATTTAGTCGTCAAGTGTATCATATTAGCCAGTCCTGGATTTCTACGTGAACAATTTTTTGAATTTATGATCCAGACAGCAACAAGACAAGAGAAACGTGTATTCTTAGAAAATAAATCAAAATTTATGCTTGTTCATTCTTCATCCGGTCATAAACATGCATTGAAAGAAGTACTCACAGATAGTGTTGTTATGAGTAAACTAGTTAATACAAAAGCAACATCTGAAGTTACGGCATTAAATGACTTTTATCAAATGCTTAAAACAGATCAATCACGTGCATTCTATGGGTATGCTGTATTGTATAAACATTTTCTAAACTCTATTTATTCATTCTATAAATTAGTGATAATACAACATTCCCTTTTATTTGTAGTATATAATGATCAACCAGGCAGCCGATTGTAGATAACATAAGACAACCCCAGTATAAACATGTCCTTTACCTCGTATTACCACATTTGGAAGTTTTTTTAGATATCAGAAAGATTCTGACGTGTATACACTTTAAATTTCTCATAGTAATTGAGTCGTTGTGTTCACTAATCTTCGTGTTAGGAATCATTAGTGTGTTTATATTTTGTAGAACATAGTCGTATGATTTATGTATAGGGAAGAGAATTTTAAGGCAACTTTTAAAGTCTTCACAACCAGTTTAGTTTCATAAATTGTTTTGTCACAGGAAGATCATTTGTCTTCTTGAAAATGCACAGTTGTGGTATTATTGATTAAAGCACTTGGTTTCTTTAAGTCTCAAGTTTGAACTTCACTTTATAATACCTTGATCTATACAGCTGAGTAATATTACCAGCATTCATATAAGTAAAATTTAACTCGACTCTGAGTAAATAAACTTGTCCTTGGTAAGTAAATTATATCAATGCTAGTTGACATCCTGCTTATATTTTGTTGGACATCTATTTCATGTTAATATCATAAAGAATTTCCCTTGCACTTGAAATGCGTACATCGATATTCCATTGTAGATGTGAATTGTACATGGTTATATGGACCAATTACTTACTTACGCCTGTTACTCCTCGTGGAGGAGCATATGCCGCCTATCAGCACTCTCCATCCAACCATGTCCTGGGAAATATATGAACCAGTACTTATCTTGAACTAATAAAGGTCAATAAAGTCACAAATTGAGAAAGTTACTGTCTGTAATTTAATTTCAATATCTAAAATTATTAGCACACCTACATCTCTGTAAACAACTTCAACACCGTGAAAAGCAACCTACAGTAATTATGTTATTTAGTAATTCTCTGGTTAGATGTGACATTGCATTGTCAAAAGGGTGAAATCAAGTCTGCGAAAATCAATTAGTATAATATTGCAAATATGAGTTCATATAGCAAGTTATTGATCGACTGGTGTGTAATACTCAGTCAAATTACATTAATCTGAATTAATCCGGCCGAAATAAATCATACGGAATGTAGTGTATACATATACTTTGTTTATTTCTGAGGTCGAATAAATCCTTAGCACCAGTCTTTGTTTTTCACTAAGTGTCATAGGATTTGGGATGTCAGTGTATCAAGCCTAAGCCAGTTGAACACTCTGAGAGTATGAAAGTCCTGAATATAACAAAAGGGGTTCAGCTATGCTCTAGTCATGTTAAAACTTGACAGTATCATCCATCAAAATGGGTCAATAACATTATCAAGATAACCATGCAAAAATGCCCATTTCATAACAAATTCACATTACTTCAATCAGTAAGTCAAATATTTGAGACTAACAAAACAGACTCTGACTACTTCAATGATCGTATGATTATTTCCATTGTTATAAACTGTCATCAGTTAGTAAACCATTCAAAATCACTGACCATATAAAATCTGTTTCATCCTAGTGTAGAGCTACTCAGTAATGCACATCCATACAGGATTTAGTCACAGTGTGATGTGTGCTATTGATGTCGACAGATATAAGTAGTATATATCATCAATTGAAAGTAAAATGCCTGAAGGCAGAAGGTTAAAAAGAGAACAAGAACACAGAATAACTGGTGTGGAAAAGAAGGGACAACAAAGTCTGAGACAATTGGTGGATATTCTGCAAAGGAAGTATTTACTGCATGGTTCTCAGATTTTACTAAGAAATTTTGTAACGTGTTAAAATACATTTGGTTGTCCCAGCTATTGTTCACGTTCACTTTTATAGGACCTTCAAGTCTTGTAGAGAGCACGACACATTTAAATGACTGAGTTGGTATCCAGTAATCCATATTTTTTAATTAAGTGAATATCTGTATGCTTTGGAGCAATCCTCACTTCATAGTAACCTTAACGATATAATTCAATGAGCACTGAGATCTAGAAAAACTTGACGTTGACCACCACTCAGTGGTCAAGCAATAAATCTCAGTTCTACGAAAGGCCAATCGTGCCCTGAATAGTTCAGTAGTAATGTACCAGACTATGAATTTGGGTAACTCTGGTTAGAATCTCACGGTGAGCATCAGTGCTTAAAGACCACATGTGCGTCTTCCTAACGAGTTCCAACCAACAGAAACTTTAGGTCATGGATTTCCTTTTGACTACCTCTAACTATCTATGACGTACAGGAAATACAAATTTCTACAGGGCAACTAGGTTAATAACCAGTAATCGTTTGCTCATTGGTGACCAATCACCGAGACTAACCCTGTTTAGGTCCTGGTAGGAGTCTATAACCTGAGTCGGCTATTTCGAAAGTGATAGCTACCGTCTCTAAACTATATATTTTTAAAATCTTTAGAAAATACCCTTAGGAACTTGTTGATACCTTGCTTGTTGGTGTTATGTCCCGACAAGAATAGTGAATAGTAACTTTTGGGACCCATTTGTGGACCAATACTATACGTATATTTTTATCGTATAATTTTTAATTAACTAAAGTACTCATATCCATGTCTCTCTTATCATAAGCTTTATTCTAATGTATGAACTGTTATTATGCGATTTTGCATTCTTGGATTATTCCCTGTTTATTAATCACTACCTCCCACATTCACAGCCACATTTTGTACAAATGTTATTTTCTATTTTATGGTACGTTGTGGTCTGTTTGGTTAGTATATAAACTCAGTACGTTTGGAATATAATGATTCATATCGCAGAGGCTCGGATTAGTGTTCTGGACTTAGCTGGCTGGACTATGTGGAAAGCAGGACCAATCAAGACTCTAGACTGCTCGCACGTGTTTTACACGTCATTGGTCCGATCAATAAGTCACTGCCCTCTAATCGGCGGTCACAAGTTATAACAGTTGGCTAAACAATATTCGTAGTAGTAACTATCTTACATTTGTTTTTCTCAGTTAATTCATTCAATCTTTTTTATTCATTTTACTTATCTAATTCAAACGTAAATGCAGTTTCAAACATGTTAAGACGGCTGCTGATGCATGCGCTATTGATACACTACTGATAACTGATGCATTATTCCGTTCACGTAATTTAGAAGAAAGAAAACAATATGTGGAGTTAGTTGACCAAGTTAAAGATAATCAAGGCATTGTACGCATATTTTCAAGCCTACATGTTTCTGGTGAACGTAAGTTTCTTTTTTTATTGTTACATACTCTTACCTAATATAATAGTAATAATAATTTTTGTGTACTGTTCATGCGAGAGCTAAACTGTGTTTGTAGTTGATCATGCATAAAATATCCCAACCACCTCACCTGATGAAGTTCGGAACCGTCACCAACATATTCACTGCTACCTATGTTGTAATCCTCCTTCAATCCTAATATTACTCATTCCGTAACTTCACCGTATGCGGACAATGCTCGGAAAACGTCTATGATCTAATAATAGCAAGCTACGACATGCTTTCTACCTTTAAAGATCACTTCTGACAATCGTGAGATAATACACAACAATCTTCTCTGCAGTATACGTACGTTTAATAGGAAAATGGGTATATCGTCTATATCAACCTTCCTGGTGTTTATAACAATGCAAATATATCCAAGCAAAACTATTAATGAAACGCTTATTCTGAACCCATCTATAAAAACGCCGGGACATTCTCTCTTAAGTGACAATAGCTGTTTCTGTCCAATTGTTATGTGTCACCAGTTATCAATTTCCGTGTATCAAATATTAAGTTTAATAATTAAACCACTTCTCATCATTAATTGACGTCATAACCGTTTTGTTTTATTTTTTGAATTTGATGATATAAAAATTTGTAGAGCTTAACCAACTATCAGGTGTAGCCGCAATATTGCGCTTCCCAATACCTGAACCTGTGACAGATGACGAGTCGAATAGTTCCGAAGATGACGATAATTAATTAATTAGTTCTTCTACTTAACTTTGTACTCAATGAATTTTTTTTCCATAAGTAAACATGTATATTGTGGTTTGTGTCTTTCTATCAATATTATTATTCTGATTTTCATTTCCACTTGCCTCCTTTTTGACGTCCTCATTCTTTGAGTTCGTTGTTAGTATTATTATTTATCTTCTTCACTCTTTAATCGTCCTTTGTGCTGCTTTTACATTGTTGCTGTGCTTATATGATACCGTGCAACTTAAAATCAGTATCCATTTGTGCCAAATCCCAAGTTCTTTACTTTCATTTGTCTCTCCTGTACAAAATTATATTGAAGTGTTTGCTATTTCTATGGTATCTTACTTAAATTTAAAAATGATTTTGTATTATATCTTCGGGGATAATCTTGACATACGCAGGTGAATTCGCTGGTCGGACTTACCATTCCGGATAGGAAGAAAAATTATGAAATTTACGTCCCAACCTCCTCTGAATGACAGTCGTTCCCCTTGTTTGGAAATAACCCAGGTCTCCAAAGTCTTATTGTACCAAACTAGCCATCGTTTCAGCAAATAAAACGTAGGACTTTGTAAAAATGTGTGTCGGTCCAAGTTACCACACTACCAGTTGTAAAGTCACCAGGTCTAGTAAAAGTTCTAAGATCCATTAATGTTTTTGGCTATTTTTGACCATCTTGTTGATTTTGGACAGTGATGAGGTAGCGAAAATTCCCATCTGGATGGTGAAAAAGCATCTGAATCAGAGGTTCCTCCTGACTATTTCTAAACACATGAAACCCCAAATATTCATGTACTATTACTCAAATGTTTATAAAACCTTAATTTGCCAGCCTTTTCGCCAAAAGATTACTGTCTATTATAAGTGAATTCAAATAAGAGATCAAATACTCAGGAGTTGGGAGAAAAACGTGTTACCTTTAGAAGTATGTCCATGACAATATTTTCTACAAAGAAGGGAAAGTTAATACCCGGCAATGTAATAGATCCAAATATTAGTTGAGTACAAAATCTAATCGGACTACAATTGTCCAAATAAATAGCCTTCAGCAGAAATGATGTGTGTGACTGGTATGTCTTTCAATGTCTCGCGACCAATGGATTTGAACGACTCCAGATACATGAATATAATTACAGTCGAGCGGGAACTGGTCTATCTGGGGATCTGATGCAGTATAACGTTTCAATCAATGCACCTATAATCATGGTTATGTGTTTAGCCTTATTGGGTCAAGTGTTTCTGCATCCTAGTCAAGCGCCAGATGATTACGAAATCTAGCACCTCAACGTCTACATCAGTCGGGCCTACTCCTATGCGGCGATATTTATTTAAACGCATAAACGTTGGTACAAGGGATCATCAGATATATATGCGCCACACTGTCATTCGATTTGTGCATTAATGATAGTCAGAAATTTATATTTGCCTGACTGCAACTTTCCTACGTGTCTCAGTATTGAGACCTTTCGTAATGTTTCAGCTCTTAGTTTGAGAGTGAGGTCAACATACAGATGGAGACCGAACGCATCTGTACACTGGCCAATGTCACTGAAATTCAAAACCAATCATCTATTTATTATGTATTTGTCCATTTAAAGACAATTTACATCAACAGATGTTTTCTTAATGAGTTCCTCTTGGTAGACTAGAATATTATACATACTGAAGTCCTTCTATGATCCATTATTCAAAATATATTTGAGATTAAGCAAAATAGGTCAATATATTTAGATTATGTTTAATATACATGAACCATGCCATAAATAAAAGTCCAAAATAAAATATAAGTAGTTAGTTCTCCGAAGACCCCTCCATACGTTAAACACGAACGCTGAATAAAGTATTTGTTCCATGATTTTCCTGCCTTTTGTAACAGTAACAATGATAGAAAACCATGCGCCAGAAAATAAAACATAAATCCCATAATTCCTGCAGATTACATTAAGGTATTAATAATAGTCTTACCTGTCAAACCTAATATCCCAACTGTACATCCAGAAAGTGCCGCGATAGATATGCGACAGTAGTTAATCAAAGCAAGGTTATGTTGTGCAGCAGCGGGACTGTATGTAATTAAATCTACTGGAGATCCCATTTAGTGGATTTTTCCTATTTAGTTGTAAAAGTATTTCTTGAGACAGTCGGTATATAACTGGTTTAGTTTGCTTCCACTCCCAGTTTACTTCATATAGAAGTAACCAAATACAAGTTTCCCTAGTTTGGTCCAAAAATACGGACAATTAGAATTAGATATAAATCATGGTTGTTAATATAATTCGAAAATATTTAAATGCTTACAATCGTTGATACATAAGTAAAGACGATAAGAACATGGTAGTTCTTGCATTGTCAACCGTAACATGCTACAACATCATTCGTAAATTATAAAGTAGCTGTGTTATGGTATACGATTAAGTCTACAATGTTGCTATTCAGGCCACTGTAATTACTTACTACATAGAAATTACGGATATTTTCACATAATGGGCTTCTGATTTGATAAGTAAAAATCAGCTATCCATAATTTCAGATTTATTAGTGGGAAATGTATAGAAACATCGAAATTACATAAAAGGTCACTTGACTCATCCTCCACTTTCTTCACACAGTTTTGAACTTAAGTATGAAGGAAAAATTCAAAAGGGTAAAACATTATTCCATCATGAGTTTATGCAGTCGCGCTTTCCCGAGCTTTGCAAATGACTTCGGGGATGCTTAGTCCTAGAGGGATCCAAAAAAAGAGGTCTTAGTACCTAAATTATTATTCAAGAGACGTAATTTCCATATAAGAACACCTTGCATTCAACAATAAGGTAACCAGGAAAATTTTAAGCCTTTTAGTTGCTTGTTGTAGATTGGAAAGTTCTATCACTGACTTAGTACCCACTCTTTGGACACGTTTATTTTATTTATTAATTATTTGAACATATAAATATTGGTACAAGAGGGCACCAAATATGTATGCGCCACACCATATTTGTGTGCATGGGGGCTGTGATACTGCTCATACCGAAGCAGGTGGTTTTCTTAGGGGGTCAAACACCGAGCCTTCGACCTAAAGGTCTGATCCACAAGGCAGTGGAGCATCGTGAGGAGATGCAGTCCCATGGTAGCCGGTGACCGATTAGTTCATACGCCATTTCTTCACTCAGGATACTAGAGCCCATGTGCACCATTTGTTTGCATCCGGTTAAAGCGCCGGACATTCGCTGTTCGTCCTCTCATTTTCGTAAACAACACCCCCGCCACGATAAGGCAGTGAGTAGGACTTCCCTCGCAGAGGCTGTATACGCGTGGCCTTGTGAGAACATTTCGAGAGGGAGACAGGGCCCAACGCACTCTCGGCCATACCAGGGCATTTGGGGGCACATAGGATGTCTACATTTCTAATTCAATACGGATTAGGCTCTTGGATATAGTATTCGAGATTATGTCTTAAGTAGGTTGTATATAGAATTCAAAACACTTCTTGGTTAAAGCATTTGGATGCTTTGTGAAGTGACCATAATAGGCGGAACCCTTTAACGGCTGCTGGCATTGACATCTGCTACTTTTTAAAACCATGACCTACAATAATATTTAAATCTTTCTGTTCTAAAAATTATCAGTTATATCCAGTCAATAGTATTATGATAGCTATTATTGTGTCAGATCTGTTTTAATGCACTTTTGCCGGAGTTTATTCCGACGCACAACCGTTCAGATTGTCTAAGTCAGTCTGAATCTTTAGTTTATCAGTATCACAATGTAATACCCTTCAAATATTTACATCGTACTTAAGTAAAGGTGATGACGGTGTGAATAGTTTCGGCAACTCGTTAACGTAGAGTATGACTAGCAGAAGACCTAAGAAAATTTCTTGGGGAACTCTACTTTTCTAGGCTTACATTCAGAGAATATCCAGTTTACTCTCACTTTATCTTCGGTCCAAAAGGGGGTTCCTTAACCAATCTTGTGTTACGCCCATTATTACAAAGTTGGAAAGCTTTAACACAAGCTCTAAAGCCAACACTATCAAATCCCTGGCTGAATTCTACGAATACCACAGCGACAGTTAGTATATCCAATCCGCTGCTGAAATTAGTGGGTTGGCGAAGTAGGAATGCCTATTATGCAAAAAGTATACCTCAAGAGCCAACAGATTATATAATTCTACATGACTTGTTCTGAATTACTTTTCTAGTATTTTAACGACTACATTGTTTAGACTGACAGGTTATTGGATGGACACAAGATATCTTCTACAGCCCTTACATATAGGGCTAACGATGACATTCTTTCAATTATTTCTTAGGAAAGGTATGTACCGAGCAAAGCTGAGTAGTTCTGCAGGAATTTCCACGAGGAACGATAGCAATCGAAATCGTAACTTATTAAGACCTAGTGAATTACTAGGTCCTAGGCTACTAATTAATCGAGAATCGGCTACCTCAGTCACAAGAACCGGTGCTATGTTTGGTATCTCAACAGTATGGCTGTCAGAAGTGTTAATAGCAAGATCCATGGTATGTCTCACCGAAGTAGTTTGATAAGCTTTCAGCAACAATTGCGTCTGATTTAGCTAGCGTATTCGAGTTCTCGTGCAGCTGTAGTGGAAGAATTTCATCAGTAGTTTCCATCCTTTTAATATGCGGAAAGTCGTTCTGGTTCAGATGCGTATGTCAAGTACGGTGAACCTAAAGTATGTGACTGAACGACAATGTTTCGACTATTTCGGTCAGTCGGGCGAGAGCACAGAGAAATAAATAATTCGCCATGTTAGGAATTAGAATAAGAATACGATTTTACGATTTCAAAATTGTAGCTGGTGTCAGTTCGTGATGAAAACTCCAACTGTAAGACGTAATCCTAACTCTTAGCACTGATGATGCGAAATGCGTTGAGGAATTAATCTCCTGACTGCCGTGAATAAATGAAGTACCATCAGTGGTTGAAAGAGGAAGGCTGGTATGACACCTTAATTTCTCGAAAGCATTTGAGGTCAGTCATACGTATTTCAATAATGAGCTCAAGATGGCAGATATCAAGGCACTTTCCACTGACCAGTTTGTGCCACAGCTAAGCATTCGACTTTTAAAAGTTATAGTAAACTTTACATTCTTCAAAAGCATGAATTATCAAAGTGGAGTCCCCGAGGTTTCAGTACTGGAGTCCCTTTTTTGCTTTCTATAAATGACCATCCTTAGTGAGCATCGTCTGAGTTATAACTCTGCTGACGATATCAAAATTCGGCGGGGGTGGAACCAAGATGATAAACTAGGACTTCGGGAGAATTCAATTCAACTTCAAGGTTGAGCGCAAAACAACGGATTTGCTTTTAACACTTTAAAGTGTAAAGTAGTCCACCTGAAACTCCCCTCTAAAATGTCTGAAGTTGAAAGAGACCTAACCCATAATCTAAAGTCTTACGGAATATCTACTGTAATTCATTACTTTCTTTTAATATATTTTTATTTTATGCTGTCTCTTATTGACTAATAATTGAAATTGCTCAAACGCTTCTGATTGGCTCGTCCCTAAATTAGAGTCTCGCCGACGCCTACTTAGTTTAAAGTAGTATAGTGCTTGTCTATTCAGGAATGGTGTTCTTGAAACAGTGTTGTTGGGACGAAATGCGGTTTAGAGATCACTAGTATTTGTCGCATATCAAAAACTCCATGAATTTTAGGAGTGGTGTTAAGTTCAAACGGCCGATGACCTCATTTTATCGCTCTTCTTCGGAAATTAGTGAGATGTATGACAGCTTCTAGTTGTAGGGGCTGCGCGACAGCTTAGCAAATGTAAGAACAATACACTTGGATGCAATCTAGGTTTTCCTATCAAAATTTCAGAGATCTGGACGTCCTAACCAAACGAAATGCATTAGTCACATCTTTAAAAGCACTCTCAAAACAACTGAGTTCTAACCGGAAAAACTTACAGCAAAAGATGACGTCTGACAAATGACAGAAAGGTCGTTAAGTCTCTAGCGTGAAAATCGGTCAGTCTCCCAATAGGATGAGTACAAATGCTTTGCTTAATTAGTATCCAGCTGACTGTAATCGTCCAATTAAGGATATTGATTCAACCGACAATTAAACCAATAACCTTCAAACCACAGGCTGGAGTTAAGCTATTCTAAATAGCCCTCGCACTTGAACGACCTACACTGGATATATTCAAAGCGATCATCCTGTACCTGTGGAACTGCTTTTCAACATGCTTTAAAATGATGGACGACTGATAAAATATACATACATTTTCTAAATGTTTCTTGCAACGGTCCAATAATATAATGCGCAGAACTTCTGCTCTGCAACAGTTAATCGCCGCGCTTTTGTCAATTTGCTGAAGGGGCATAGACTGGATAGCCATACGAACTTGAGACAAAATGAAATCGTACTGCCTGAAGTAGTGTTTAAATCCTCTTATGAACTGGATACTGATGAGACAAAATCTCAAAATTGAGAGGCGCGAGATACTTGTGCCTCGACTCCTCGTAAGTCTAGAGTGTTGTACGAAGAAAAAAAGAATGCTCTAAACGCTTGTATTCGTATGTAAGCCAAAACATTAAAAGAATTGTAAATATTCCAGCCGTTCGGAGGACAGTAATACTTCACCACTAGTTGAGGTCGACTTTGGAAAACCTGAAGTATTCTCAAATTTATTTAGTAAAATATATACCGTGGCAACGCCTGAGGATGTAAGAGGTACTTGAAATTTCGACAACGCTTTAACGATTAACACCTTCTAGTATGAATCGTACACATCAAGTGAAATCAGAAGACAGAAACAAGGAGGTTCGAAGACATAATTGATAGGCTATCAATGTATCATGGATCGACTGGTCTAATTAGGCTAGCGATTGCACGGGATGTTGGGCACGGCGTTTTCACTCGTGGTCTGGTGCAGATGAACGGCCGAGCGCCTTCAGCGAGGTGAGTCCATTAAAACTAATGTGGTCAGCATTAAACGCCGAAGACTTACAGAGCTACTTATTTTGGCGGATCTATTTACCGCTACACGCCCTTCCCGTCAGTCAATACAAATCCCCTAAAATACACACTGTACAACTCGAGCTGTAATAAGCTCGATTTCGTTGGTCTGCTAAATAAGCTAGACATAGGAAAACTCACGAAAGCGGATGAACTTCATTCTAGGTTACTAAAAGGATCAGCTAACTTCGTTGCAAACCCCATCAGTATATACTTTAGTCTATCCGTAACACAGGGTCGTTCACAAGCCATCTGAATTATCAAAGCTTGTTCGATATCCGGAATCGCTACAGTCCTCAAGGCTACATCAACTTTCCTCTTTGACGGGCTACTGCAAATCAGCCTGTACCATGTTATCGGAAGTGAGCCTAGATAACTGAACACTCGAGGGAGTAGAAATTCTGTCCGCAGTCCAGCTCAACCTGTTGTGTTTCTGGTTTCCAGATATTTCCTGCAACATTTGTTTCTGAACTGAACGTAGATAAGTAAAATAGGACTTCTAGAGATATTCTTGATGCTCCAAGTCATTAACTTGTCACCCCTAGGTTGTTTACATCGGAAAAGCCCCACATCAGTTTTCTGTTTTGGAATGGAAGTGGAGACATGATGTCTACATCCTCTAAGTAGGGTGGAATAGAACTATAAAAAATGGCTGGAATTTTCCACTATCAAACTAACGGAAATGTGCTTCAAGGCTACCAGTGTAAGGTTTCACTTATGAGAATTTTTGTCACATTCTTCATACGGTTTTGGATTATAGATAACCAATATACTCAACTTCTTTCGTTGCAGAGTCCTCTAGAGGGGACCTATTCAACCTGGGGGTGTGATTTACGGCGTTTTACACATGGAGTGCCATACACTTCGAGGATTTGAACGCAGACACATTATTGTCTTCTCAACTTTGCGGTTGACCCTGTCAAAGATTTTAGGGATAATTGTTCATCAGTCCACTATGCTCAAAATATACTCGGTGCAGAAATGACCCGGCCTAAAACATCTTTTTCAAGCGAAAATAAATTTATGGATCGACGTAAACCAGAGATTTTATGACTTTTAAGGGCATTTATAGAATAGCTATCGCCCAGTAGTTTGAAGGATAGATGTTTCAGCCCCATTGAGGACTGGGTTATGTGGCCCAGCTTTCATCTGTCTAACGCCGTCCATTCGGTCTCGGAAGTTTGAGGACAGTCAGCTAAGTTATTTCGTCAGAAGTGAGATATCTTCCGGTTCAGTGGGTTAAACCACGTTTGATCCAGACGTGTCCTTTATTAATTGACTCAGAAGCATCAGCAGAAGAGGAATGGATTCATCGCCGGCAGTTATACAATCAGATAACCCAGTCATTGATACCCTGAGTAGTCCCAGAAAAGCAGCACAGCCACCTCTGGATGGTTCAGGATATTCGAAGCTTACTAAGACAAAAGAAGAAATGTTGGAGTGTTGCCTTCAGCATTGGCACAGCAAGTGCGATGTTATGCTACAGGTCAGTGAAAAATAAGCTTATAATTGCAATTTGGAAAGCTCAGAGAAAATATGAAATGCAGTTGGCACAACCTGTAATCAAGCTGTCTAGGAAACTATTTTCGTGCATAAATTACGGAACAAGGACCCATAATTGGATTCCCAACCCATTTATGGAAGAGAGTGGACCTGAATTGATAAGGGGTGATCAGAATAAAGCGGGGGCTATGAGGAGCAGTTTTCACTCAGGATCCTCTTCTAGACGATGAGCTAGATTCATATACAAAGCCAACAAATCATCTGTTCACTATGAACTTCGATCGAGAAGATGTAATGATAATAATAGAATATTGCCAGGACAGATGCATGCCATTTTACAGGTATGATCTACAAATTAGAATACTCGTTGGCTCACGGTATGCTTCCCCAAGTAGAGTCGTCAAATAGATAAAATCAATAAAAGTGAGTAGTAGTGCATTCGTGCAGATGTCTTAGAGCCCTTAGCACTCTAGACACGGAAAGGTCAACAGGGCCGAATGGACTACACCTCGAAATCTTGAGACAAATTGCACAACATATTGCCGACCAACTGACTGATATTCAATATGTCACTTGGTCAGGGTGTGTTATCTACGAACTGGAAGGATGCAGTCGTCACTCCAATACATAAAACAGGACCAAGACAACTTCCAGCGAACTACAGACATGTCAGCCTCACCGATGTCATAGTCAAAAGCCCATAGTGATACTCCTGGAAACCGACAACTAGTTAAGCAGAGATAAATTTGGTTTCAGGAAAGGAGTATTTTGCACAACAAACCTCCTTATAAAAGAAAGCAATGCATAGGGGCTCTAGATAATGGAAAATCTGCATAGACTTTAGTAAAGCATTTCATAGATTGCTCCTGGAGACCACGTCTCAGTGCTGTGAGGTTGCATCTTAGTGGTTTAGAATCCTATGGGCTTAAAGATGGATATTCGCCAAGTAAGATACGATTATGTTCACCGTATTCTATACAACCTTTGTGAGAGCCAAACCTGAAAACTGCGTTCAGGCTGCAAGCCCTTGATTAAAAGGTGACTTTAATATCCTGGAAAAAGTGCAGAGGGATGTTATCCATGAAATTCCATAGATCCGGAATTCGCCATACACGGAGCGGTTTCAGAAGCCAGACCTATTTATTCTATCCAAACTAAGATTGAGAGGCGATCTGATTTCGATATATACTATACTAAGGAATGATTTTGGCCCCGATATACCCTCTATTTTTCTATCAGATCAGCGGACGAAAAAATACCAGTGGCATGCATGGTTTCAGGAAGGGTCACTCTTATACAACCAACCGGCTGACCGCTATGGACAACTACCCTTGACCGCAAGGAGAACGTTGACGTCACCCGCCTTGAATTCTCAAGAGCTTTTGATAGGGTCAGCCATGTAAGTCTTATCGTTAAGCCCAAACGATTGGGTATCAGACCACCTGAAATTGAATGGCTCACTTCATACCTATGAAATCGACATTTTAAGGTCAGGGTTAACTCCACTTTCTCTTAGGCTATGGAATGTCCTATTGGGGTCCTCTAGGATTCAGTAATAGGACTTCTTCTTTTCTTGATTTACAGAAACGATCTTCCCCAATAGTACCATCTGGCTTGTTACTTTTTGCTGATGATTTGAAACTTTGGAGAGACACGCAACCAAGAAGATAAACCGGCACTTTAGAAGGATCAGACCCGATTTCAGAGTTGGGCAGATGACAACGGACTTATCTTTCACACTTCAAAGTGTGAAGTAATCAATCTGAGACATGTTGCAGACTACAGTTGTAACTTAGGAAACTCCTCTCTAGAAGTATCCCAAGTTGAAAAAGATTTGGAAGTGCTGGTGCCCTACGATTTGAAGTCTTACGCTAACTGTGACAAAAATGCCTTTCGATCAAACCTTACACTGGTAACACTGAGGCGCATTTTTGACCAGTTTGACGGTAGAACTTTCCACCTAATCTTCAACAGTTTCATTGGTTCTCATTTAGAGTAAAAAGACATAATATTTCCCCCCTCTCTCCAAAAGGTTAAGGACACTCTGGAGCATATCCACGGCGAGCCACGAAATCAATTCAGGGAATAAGAGGGCCTCCAATCACTAAACCTTCGCCCAATAGAGTATAAGAATCTTAGAGGAGACCTAATGGCTTACAGTATCCTTAACACTTCTGTACATCCCTCCAAACACCTAATTAAGTTCAGCTCTAACACAAACCTAAGGGGTAACACCCAGAAACTAGAGACAAAACACAGCAGAACGGTCTGTAGACACAACTTCTACTCCCTTAGAGTTGTCAAATGCTGGAATTCGCTTCCGACTGAGATAGTCCAAGCGACCTTCCAGGAGTCCTCTGAGAAGCAACTTGACATATTCCTAGGGACTATGAATAATATCTTACTATGATTTGCCAATTTCTTTTTCCTCTATTATGGTTAGTATACCTAGGTTACTGTCTGGGGGTATTGATGGTCCACAGCCAATAGACATGGAAGCCCTTTAATCGAAAGCTAATTTTTTTCCGTCCACAACCATTTGAACCATTTGAACGTTTTCACAGAGTCATCAATTCTTGGAAACTGTTACCCGAAGCAGTGGTGTCCGCACCTTCAGTTGACTCATCAAAGAGAAGAGACACTAACAGGAACAGTGTGGAAAAGAGTAACATAGGCTGTGGGCCTTCTGCACTTACTACACAAATCCGAATCTGGTATGAAACTAAAAGATATAGTTCGCGATGTCCTAGCCCAATACTTGATTTACTATAGGATAAGAATTCTAATTAAAGCATAAACATGGTACTCATTTAGCACTGAATTACCATTAGTGTCATCTCGAAATATATGGATTGGATTCATAACGTCTTTTGAATGGACTACGGTTTGGTTTCTAATACCACTAGCACTGTTTCAAATAGTTCCAAGGTCGCTGGATGGATCTACTTGCTAATTTTAATGACTTAGAAGAGTGTTTAATATCCGATGATCTTTTCGAAAATTACTTCAATTATTTCCTGTCACTTCCGGTAAGAAATATATTTTCAGTATAAACAGTATATTTATAACAGGTTTTTTCGCTTAAGTTACAGTACAATAGACTAAGTGGTGAATTTACCCTCACAGATTCGCATGAACTTGATACCAAAGAGTCATCACGTTTGGGTCTTTCGGAAGAAGATCGAGAACGCGTTATTAAATGGGCTGAGTCGGAACGTCTTCCTTACTTTATGCGGTAACTTACCTCTTTGTAAAAATATTTTCAGCACTTCCGTAAACAGGAGTGATGTTTACAGGGAACTACTACTGTGCAAGTTCTTGATAGCCCCGCTTGAACTGAATACTGATCTCATCGATTATTGGGAGCCGTTTAGTGCAGATTTAGCTAGCACTTTAGGTTGTCATCCTGGAGTTAGTAGGCATACTTATAATTCCTGGACGACAGATCTCAGCACTTATGATGATGAAGCAGAAAGCAGTTATGATTACAGTTCTGAAAAAGTTAGTGAATTTTGCTTGATCTGAGTGTATATATAAGGAAAATACTGTGATTTTTAATGAACTATACTGATGACCGACATTCGTTAGCTTTACGTAGGTTTATATCAGTTTGTTGAAATAGCTCTCATTTGAGGATTTTTTCTTCAGCCTATAGTGATACGTTATTAAAAATAAATTCCTAACACTATTTTTTAAGCTTTTAGTACGGTGACGACATACTTTCCCTTTGAATGACTAAATATTAGTTGCTTTCATGAATAACACTGGTAGAGGATCTCACCGTGTTACCGTGTCATGTCAAGAATTGGCTTCTGTACTCAGATGATTTTTTCGTCTGCAAATCCTTTCATAATGCCTAACCACCCAGTCAAATGTAATTGGTAATCACTATTGAATCTGGCAATAACGAAGTCTAACTCAAACACAACCACCAAACTAAACTACTTAGAAATCTAAACTAAGAAGAGTTATATATTTTTTGGACACCAATAAGGTAACGAAAATGCTCTGTAATTGCAAAATGGCTGTCCTGGTTATTTCATATATCATTATTACTTCTAGTGATTATAAATAATACTTTTGCACAGATATAATTTGAAAATCTGGATTTCCGTAATGTATTCTACATCTTATCCGTGAGTTTATCTAGTGCTTCCCCATTTCCGGATTAAGCATAAACTCCGTACTATCGAAATCCTGAAAGTGTACTTCATCAAATGTAAGTTGTGAATTACTACATCGTTAGTGTCTAGAATCCGTACCATACATATTCAAACATTCTTCACCAGAATCTCTGTGGACTGTTGAAAGCCATTCCCATGATAGTATCTGACCCCCACAGACTGAAAGGATCTCATGTTCGGACAATAAATAGCTTCATCCAATAATTTGTGAGCAGTCTGTCTCGTCGGAGAATTTTGGAATTCCTATTTTGCATCAAAAATGTGTTCACACTCTTCATTAGTTTATCTATTGTTACGGTAGTAATGGAGTTATCAACAGTTTTTAACACCTTGACGAAATTGTCCTTCTGACCGTCAGAACAAATGTCTTTTGGAGCAATAAAAAGATATTTTTACCCTATCTCATCCAACGAGGTAGAAACTTCATTTGTAGGAATATGAGAATCACAATTGGTCACTAATGTCATAAGAACCTCTTTCTGACTGAACTGTTTTGCAAATTCTTGGATTGAGAGGTCAGTTCTCGCTAAGATGATAAAAAATAACTGGGCATAATTAAGAAAAGAACTAATAAAAACAAGTTCATAATATTTGCCGAGAAATGGACTATAATAGTCCACATGAATTCTCTTCCAGGCCTCAAATGATACTGGTCATCCGGTCTACTTTGAGGGATGCTTTTTTGAGTAATGACATTTTTCACAGGTGTTTGGTGTGCAACATCTTGATGAAATAGACAGGAAATCTATGTTTCATATTATCGTTCCAATCTTTTTGTATAGTACTAAATAGAACTCTAAATGGTGAACGAGTTTCTCCAATAAGATCTGAGTAGCTGACCGGTAAACACTGTATTGATCAAGTCAGAAGTATTCATAGGTTTATCTTGCGATGGATTTCTAGACATCTAGTCTACGTGATGGATTTATTCAGCACTTTTGTGCTAATTGGTTTGGTCTTAAGCTTTTGCAGTAACACTCTATCGTTAAACCATGGCGGATGGGGAACATGCTAAGAATGTTTCGCGATGATAAATTATTTCTAAAACTTAATAACCCGGAACAAAAGTGGATTGCTTTCCAAATAAATGTTTGCAAAGTTGTTTATCAGCCAAAAATACAGCTAATGCTTCTCTCCGCATATAAGAATAACATTATTTAGCGACAGTAAGTTCTCGTGAAACACAGATTACTGGTCTACCTCCCTGCTTTGAAACTCCGCCAATACTCACATGTGATGAAACAATAACAAGTAAAGGATGTATACCATGAGAAGAAGTTCAAAGAAGTGCATCACGCTGAGAAGAACTTAGTGGACTTTGTTAGCACAACTCTTGTCTCACACTGCATATAAATGAGTTGTATGCCTAAATTTGAGATAGACAGCAAACACAATATAAGTGATTGGAAATGAAACGGGGATAATATTAAAGGGGACCTACCAATGAGTCTAATTCTGTAAGGGATTGTGACGACGGTTCCTTTGTAGGCGAGTTTTTCCGTTTTAGACCTAGCTATAAACCACTGTCGTCAAACAAACATCAAGAAATTTAATGACGGATACACAGAATAAACACTTATTTGAATATACAGGAATATTCTGCTCAAGAAGACGATTTAATGAGACAATAAGTCTCTGATTATGTTTATCTTTATAAACTTCAACACCTTTAGGATTACCGACTATGTTATTCGTTAGTCCTTGAGAAATAGCTAGAGGACAACTTCAATCAAATGAAAAGTAGTTCTATTTGAATAAATCAAGAGTAGTGTTAATCGTTATTAAAATGAATGAAGATTGATACAAGGGAATTTGAAGGTAAGGATCTTTTAAACCATTTTTCAAGGATGCTTAAGAATCACAAAGTCGATTAAGAGTATCTTCAGCCTCAACCGTGGTGCCTGTTTACTTCAACAAACAAGAGGTCAATGTTAACGTGTAATCACCATATATTGTGGGGACTCCACCATAAGATTTCATAAGATTGCATAGGATTTCCGAGGAGAAAGTTAATCGCGAGATAAACGCTTGTCAAAATTATGCTCACTTTTGTATGCTTCTTTAAAATTCTTTGTTGAATTAGTTATTATGTTTCCACGACAATGAAAATCCTTACTAACTAACCACGAGTTTGAGAGAGCCTAAGAACAGATTTTCACTATGAAAAATGAATAAGGTATCAGAGATTTTTAAATGCCGAAAGTCAAGTTCATTCACTACCGTAAAATTAATACGACTTGTTTTAATCTCTTGAAGTGAATTTTAAGCATTTAAATTAAATGTCTTTCAAATTTCGGGATGTTTATACCAGCAATCAAACTACCACGAGGTTGAATTTACAGCAGCTTTTCAAATTTCAATTCTCACCCTGTTTTGGCAGTTCCAATTAGGAAGCCACAGAATTTCAGGCTATTTTAAAACACTATTTTATGGGAATTAGATCATTCTGCATTCAGATTAATTCACTGAAGATGGTTGAAAAATGATCGTTCGAGAGATTTTTCTGGAAGTGAAATTTGATCGTCCGGGAAATCAAGATTTTTGAGTAGGTTATACGTATATTTACTAAGGAACACAAGGAAATGAGGGGAAATTTTATCATGCTTGACATTTTTTTCTGATCAAACATCAGATTTCAGATCACTCCATATGGTTTTCAAAACTTTTCCACTTGAATTAGCATCCAATTACCCAAGAGCTAACACCATCGTGACCCTAATGCGATAATTAGTAGCCAAATTTGATAGACTAACTAGCAATTACCGGAACTATCCAATTTGTACTTGAGTAACCATGAACGGAACAATATTCAAGCAATAGAAAATCAGTGAACACAAACAAAGGTATTGTATTTTGTATTCAAATAAACTGAAGAATGATGTAGAAAGGAACTGTTAATTAACTCAAACATCACATCGTCGTTAAAAAATAAGGACTACTTATATGAAATCCCGAAAATTCGTGATTTGGTTAATAGGAAACAGCTTAGATATTATTCGTTTAATGAGTCGAGAAGTTGATTCGCACATACTAATCAAGTTCATAGTCAATTGCATTGTAGTGATCTATACGCTAGTTACCACGGTACACTGGCTTCTTGACAACATTCTGATTCTATTAACCTTAGCAACTTGAATCGGTCTTTCATATCTCTTAAATAAATATCATAATAAGTTAGTGTGTGATCACACCCTCATATTATATTATTCTGATGAACTCAGTCTTAAGAAAAGGAAAGGAACGACAATTAGGAAACGTGAGAATTTATTTTGAGTGAATTAGTTAGTATATTTTTGATTTATGATATGATTCATGATATTTTCTATAGCCTTAACTCTAAGCCAGCTTTTGTACTACTCTTACTACTCATAACTATCTTACTCAGAATTATGTCAATAAGAAAGAGACTATTGCCAGTTCAAGATCAAATATATGTTACTTCACATTTACGTATCCCTTATTGTTTCTGTTATAAAAATACTTAGAAATTCATCAGAAATTTATAATTTTCATATTTTGAACATGAACTCTGAGATGCGGATACATCCAGCTGATGAGTTCCAAATAGAACGAAACGCGCGTCCTGGATTCCACTGCTAGCCACTATCCATCTTTGCATATAAAGCTTGTGAATTAAGGCAATATCGAGACAGTACATACAGTATGCACATATGCCAATACTAGATTGATCAATTGTAGTCTTAAACCTCAATGGGAAGATTCAAGCAAAACAATACTAAGTGAATTTTATTTGTTTAGTTTAGAACTAGTAGGTTCGGAATGTGAACATTCCTAGACATATGACTCGATTGTCCATAAGTACTCTTGAATATTCCAGTGAACTTGAGAGACGTAATGAAATTAGTATTATTGTTTATTTACATACAATAGATTACTCCTAGTCTCCAGATAAGCAAGAAAACACTTTATCTCGATGAATGTATAGGGCATTATCATATGGAATAGTACTTATTACCATGTGCTTCTAAAATGTGATAGGACTATAGATTTAGATTAGTATAGAATTCAATTCGTCAACAGAGAATTTGAAGTCAGCAGTATTTAATTGTATGATAGAATTGTGACAGATAATCCATCATGTAAAATGAACAAAAGTAACAATAATCATCCACATAAATGATTCAATTAACTACGATTTAATTGCATGAATATGGAAGATTATATGGAACTGACTAGAACTCAAATACTTATAGAAAAGAACCCAACAGAATCGTTAGTCAATAATAACCTAGTTGTGCTTGTATTGTGATTGATTATTTTTGAAGTACTTTGTTTTCGTATAATAAGTGTATAAAAACACTTATAATTAGTTACATCAAGTTTGTAGATAAGCCTTACTAAGAATTCTAAGCTAACATGAAATCTAAATCAAAGTGTAGTGAACAAGAACACAGGTGGAGACAGTCGAACAGGACTTGTTAATAGAATCTAACAATCAAATAGTAAATGTTTATTTTGCAAAATGTCCATCGCTTGTCTCCAAAATGACTCAGGCTTCATTGTTCTTGCATTTTCATACAAATTTCATCCTGTTTCCATTCTTTACTGTTCGATCCTCTTGTCTCTCTGTTGCCAGACCTTCTGTTCACGACTAACATCATATACTACTTATGTCGATATAAGTAGCACACACCACAAAAGTAGTTTCCTGCTAATCTCTGCCAACTATCATCACATTATTGCTGTTATTTGACAACTAAATTTCTCATGAAAATATACATATAATGACTCCCATTAATAGTTATAACTTAAAAATCTCTATTTGAGTATATTAAAAGTAAGAAATGGATGTATTTTCATTTTATCAACAATGTGCATTACTTATATATAACGTATTGTTTTGTTAAATTACGGAATACTGACTCCGAGACAATTTAGTAGCTTCTATCGATGTTTCGTAATATTATAAAAATTTAGTAACTAGTAAGATGGATAGATTTTTCAAATAATTCATTCATTCAGTCAGCAACAACATAGAACTTCGTGTGTACGTACATCAGTTCAAGTTGCCATACCACATTAGCACAACGATTCAGTTGTCGATTTAAATCCCGTAGTGGTAGACGTAGTAAGAGTATAAGTGGTAATCGGAAAGATTAGGGTTTGAAGATGTTATTCAAGGAGTATAATACAGTGAAATAAATTTGGAAAGAGAAAAAGAAAAGGAACATGAAGAATTCGGAAGATTAGAATTTAAGAGAACTCAAAAAATGCATGCGCCTGTGCCATTTCAAATTATTTTGAGTCATGTCATTCAAGGTCTCTAACGATTGGTTGCTATTGTCTCGCAGATCCCAACCAGGTAGTCTACACCTACTAACATGGTTCAATTCACTTGTCAGTGACTTCATGGATTTGTGCCATGTTTTGATCTGGCTTTTTTCCAACCTACTCCTACACCAGAAAACATCGCTCGTCGGGACAGTCGGTGGTTCAACTCTTATTTACAATGTTTTCAAACGATTATTCGTCCCATGTACAAATCCTGAATATCAATCAAAGTTTAGTGATAGGTGGTAGCTATATTGTCAGCAAACTATGTGACATGATTTGTATATTTTTGTTTATTTATTTAAACATATATGTATCAGTACAAAGGAGGCACCAAATAGATATGCGTCACAAAAATCATTCGATTTGTGTGAGAGCTGGAATACTGCCCAGGTGCCCAAACTGAAGCAGGTAGTTTTCTTAAGGGGGCCACACTCGGAGTCTTCGACATAAAGATCCAATTCACAAGGCACTGGAACAACTTCAGGAAATGCAGTCCCATGGTAGTTGGTGATGAACAATAGGTTCATACACCATTTGTTCCCTTAGGATCCTGGATCCCATGTATATCATTAGTTTGGAATGAGGGTTTCCCAACTCCCCCATGTGGACTCTCCGTGTCCACCAACTCGGTTAAAGTGCCGAATATTCGCTTTTCATCCTTTCGATCTCGCAAACAACAATAATGCCATGAGAAGAAAGTGTGTAAGACTTCCGTGGAAGTGATTGTATGCACGTGGCCATGTGAGGTCATTTCGAGGAAGGAAGAGTTGACTCTCCCCACCCTTGGCCGTATCAGGGCATTTGGGGGTATGATTTGCACTAACAATGATTTACACTAAAGAAATATTACACCAGAATATAACCGCTTTATCTACTCTTAGCCTAGTATACTCCAATACACAATCATACAAGGGATACTTATTGATAAAGATCTTTTAAAAATTTATAATGAGTTCAGTTTTATTAGCTACAGAAACAGCAAACTAAGCAATTACATAAAATATTGAATGATTTGTTTTTATTTTTCTTAAATCCATAAAACATGAGTTATAATTTCTTTTATTACGACCCAGTTATTCCTATTGCTTACTATTCTTGGACACCAATTCACTAGACAAGTCCTAAAATCAGAAAACGGTTGAACACGAACGAAATTATACTCCAAGTAAGAAAAGTAGATATAAGTAAGAAGCACAATGAGAGATATGTTGGTACATTTATAGTATTTACATGAGAAGCTTCTAGAGACTTTTCCAAGCCCCCAAATGCCCTGGTACGGCCAAGAGTGGGGAGAGTCAGCGCTTCCTCTCTCGAAATGCTCTCACATGGCCACGTGCATACAATCACTACCACCGAAGTCCGAATCACTGTCTTCTCATAGCATTATTGTTGTTTGCGAAATTGACAGGACGAAAAACAAATGTCCGGCGATTTAATCCGCTTGGTGGACATGGAGAGTTCACCTACCACAGTTGGAAAACTCTGACTCAAAAAGAATGGTGCACATGGGCTCCAGGAGCCTAAGGGAACGAATGGCGTATGAACCAATTATTGGTCACCGACTGACATAGGATTGCATCTCTTGACGTTGCTCTACTGCCCTGTGGATCAGACGTTTAGGTTGAAGGCTCCGGGTGTGGTTCCTAAGAAAACCACCTGCTTCGGTTCGTGCATCCGGGCGGTGTACCAAGCCTCACACAAACTGAATGATTTATGTGGCGCATATCTATTTGATTCCTTCTTGTACCAATATCTATGTGTTAAAATTAATAAATAAATAATAATCCCATAAAAGCATGATAGTTTAGTACAAATCAAACCATAGAAATAAACTGGTATTTTATTGATGAATAACTCGGATTATGTTAAAAATTCACAATGAATTTAACAGACTAAAACAAATTCAAGGCTGGATATTCAAACAAGAACAAGAAACCATAGGAATACACATATATATATCAATAAACCTAAACTATGAATAAAGAAAAAGTTTATAGAGTCTTTTAACTAACCCTGATCTTCTACTTAGTTACTATTATGTTTTACGGAATAATAATAATTCATTTTTCCTAATTTTCAGGGTTTGTTTTGTTTTGACTAATTTTACAAACATTGCTTTACCAACTGAATACAATATTCATGGTATTGAGCGACTATATTCCATTGTCTTTGATGGGTAACTACCTCACATCCAAAACCGATTAGCTCTACTGGTCATGGCTTCACACTAGAACTCTGAGAATTACCATATGAAGCACATGATAATTATCAGTATAAGGTTGTGGAGATTGTTTTTTTTTTATTCAGATGATGAATTGATCAATGTTAGACTGCCATTAGAGACTTGGGAGCAATAGACAATTGTTTTGTCCTGGTATGGGATTCCTCAGCAACACACATCCACGATCCTACACACGGGACTTTAATAAGGGACTAATTGAAAAGATATATTCCTTTCCTCAACTTGTATTTCCAAGAAGAAAAGCGTAATATTAGACAATCAATCGATCATATAATTTGAAGAATAATATACCATAGGTTGAAACTATGTAAATCGCGCTATACGTCGAAAACATTATCACTCTTGTCTTGTTTATATGAGTAAAGGCGATTAGTTACTCAAATTAACTTATCTGTATTTATGCTGATCTTATTTTACATAAACATCATTTTCTCCATCTTCGATTTACTTTCTATTTATGAATTCTTATATAGAATAGTAAATCTACTCCAATAAACAGTAACCAATCAAATAATGAAACTCCTAATATAGTCAAGGAATCTGTCAGTTATGAGTCTTTCGGTAGGTTTCCTTTTCTTGATTTCTCCTTTTTTTCAATGAGGTTGTAGGAAGCAATTTCCTACAGGTGTAACTCTAAGCTATTCTCTAAACTGTCAAGCACAGAGTCTTGGTTTAGCCAAAGTCAGAAAAAGCAAGCTATTTGGCTTGATAAACTTTATTTGTTTCGAACAGTAACTAGAGGATAGGAAAAATGAGTCAACAAGGCAAATATTGTTTTATAATGAACATAAAAGTTGTGAATGATGAATAAGCAAGGCATAGTCATACAAGGTCAAAGAAAGTTAATGTGGTGATGGGCGTTTCACTTTATCATTGGTGAGTTCGTTTATCGATCACACTTTATACTCACCCGATACGCGCACCACGTCCATTGTCCTGGGTCGTTGTCGCCGTCAGATAGCCGGCTTCTTCCAGTAGACAGAAGTAATGAAAAGATGAAAACTACCCAGTAACAATTGGACAATAAATAGTGTTATAATTTTTTAGTTCACAGTAGTAACTAGATTCTATCTAAGTAGATAGTTGATTAACAGTTTAGTAATTAAATAATTTAATCTTTGTCCCATTATTATGAAGAGTTTGAATCATCCGATTATCGATGATATTCGGAAGATCGGATTTCAACCAGTCTTAATTGGATATCATCCATCTTGTTCAGATTATCTCAGTTAGAACATTAATACTGGGATCTGGAAACATTGAGTTGATAGGTCCCAAGTAGGAACAAATACACTTAGATTCCACTACTAACTACAATCTATCTATTTTACAAAACTTATCAACCATTTAGTTTCATTCTTAAACTCTTATTCAGTTTGAACAACAGGGTAATACCATTAGTTTTCATACAACATATATTTGGTGTCAATTTTAACGACCGAATCTATACTTGATTTTAAGTAAATTCTAATCTCAATGAAAAAAGTTTGGTACCGATTAGTTGAGAGTGTCCTCAGAGGATAATCAATCGATAAACTTCAATTGGTTCACATGGAGAACATAGATAACAAGACACTAGGTAGTATTCGGTAATTAACTGATTTAGCCCTTTAGTAATTAACTTGAGCATATGAGATTTACTGATAACTCCGCCTACCAAAATACCTTTGTGAACTATATCCATTTCTTTAAAGTCAGGTATGTTATTGATTTCACAATTGATTGGTCACAGTGACCAATCAATTGTGGTTACATCTCAGTCCTACAGAAAGTCAGTCGCGGTCCGGATAGCTCAGTGGTAGCTTCTCTGACTGTGAAGCTGGGTGACAGGAGATCGAATCTGCCAGGGAGCACCAGTATCCTCAAGATTACAGGTACACCTTGCTGACGAGTGCCAAGTAGCACGAAACCCGGGTCCAGGGTTTCCTGTCGACTACTTTCAACCACCATCTAATCTCAATGTTATTGATTTATCAACTATGAAATTTTCACAAAATCTGGATCGAACAGTTTTCCTTGTTGGTTACTTTTGATCAATTACAAAGGTCTCGCTCTATAGGGCGAGACTGAACGATAGCAAACTCTTCTACACATTGCAATTAGAAAATATGGGTTAACCTTTTGGTTAATAATAAAGGAGAAAATGATACTAATGGGGAGAAATTCTATGTATTTGATCACACACAATTTTCGGTAAAAACAAGATAAACTTCATTCACTTGCTAAAGATCGTCTTAACTCTATAAAGTATATGATAAAACAAATATCAGGCAGCTCATGGGCTTCTATTCCGAACCTCATTTGATAACTTTCTATGTTATAGAGTTTAATGGTCTTTAGAGCCCTGGTAAAGGAGTTGCATTAGATCAACATCTATCAATCTTATACCTTTATCTTCTACATTACAACTCCATGCTATAGTGTGACTACGTCTTCGCTGTTTCCATGCAAACCCAGCATCAGCAAACAATACATAGTATACAAAAAAACAGGATGATATACTTGAAAAATATCTATGGACCTGAAGCCAGCGCTTCAAAACTGTAACACCAATCAAATTATCATCATTTTTGCCGTATACGCACTTCTCAACCACCACATGACTTAGTTATCATTATCGATAGATGTTAGAACTCGTTTGAAGACGACATATAAGGTTTCTGAACACCCTCTTCACTGAAAGCCAAGGTTTGATAAATAAGAGTATAACTATTTTAAATGACATATTGCATACCCGAGCTTTGACTGTCACATTAATATGGATGAAATTGCCATAAGCTCTGGATTAAATTATCTCATTTACTACGCCATCACCAGTACTTATGCAGCTACAAAGATATATAAAATAGTGAACCATTCCCAAAAAATCACCACAAAGATTGTATGTAAACATAAGCTTCCAGGTAATTCCTTATCTGATACATTCGCGTCAACTGGAGGTCCTGGGTCAAGTCCCGCATGCGAGATCGTAAACGCTCACCATTGAGGAGTCCCATACTAGGAAGAAACGTCTGTCCAGTGCTTCCAAGTTTTTGATGATGATCTAGCTTAAATCGACTCATAAATTCAACTACTAAAATTTCTACAATCACCATAAACCCATATTCTGATCATTTTAATATCATTAATCTAATTTATTTAGGTACTAATATTCTACCCATTCATACATACAGATATATATTAACTGCTTTTAGATACACTAAAATCGGAAAGACGAAGAAGTCGTGAATACTCAAAGTATTTTAAAACTAGGTAAGTAAATTTATGTCAATAAGAGAGTGTCAAATTGAACAAAGCACAGATCTTATGAAGAAATAATTAATCATTTATTTATTTATTTAAACACATGAACATTGGTACAAGAAGACCACATAAATCATCCGATTTGTGTGAGGCTTGGTACACCGCCCGGATGCACGAACCGAAGCAGGTGGTTTTCTTAGGAAACCACACCCGGAGCCTTCAACCTAAACGTCTGATCCACAGGGCAGTAGAGCAACGTCAAGAGATGCAATCCTATGTTAGTCGGTGACCAATAATTGGTTCATACTCCATTCGTTCCCTTAGGATCCTGGAGCCTATGTGCACCATTCTTTTTGAGTCAGAGTTTTCCAACTGTGGTAGGTGAACTCTACATGTCCACCAAGCGGATTAAATCGCCGGACATTTGTTTTTCGTCCTGTCAATTTCGCAAACAACAATAATGCTATGAGAAGACAGTGATTCGGACTTCGGTGGTAGTGATTATATGCACGTGGCCATGTGAGAGCATTTCGAGAGAGGAAGCGCTGACTCTCCCCACTCTTGGCCGTACCAGGGCATTCGGTAGCAATTAATCATTTAAATCACTGAAATGATTGAAGTGACTACTGAATCAATAAATCAATACCTAAATTTTCACTTAATGAGTAACTGATTATGCATTTAGGAATTAAGGCTATCAACTAATGTAATCTGACTCTTAGTTACTTAGTGGATAGAAAATAATTAATCATTGATGAAAATAAAAACTACTAAGCAATTTTTAATTCTTTCCTTCTATTCGTCATATCAAGATTCTTGTAAAATAGTAGTCCAGTTTCATACTACCATAGTGAAGAAATAGAAAATCAACGGCGATTGTATTAGACAATAGTTCTTTCTGTCTTACTTTATAACTGTGTAAATGTGCTCTATAAAAATATCGAAACATATATAGGGTATCAATGGTTGATTGTAGATGTTTTCAAAGTAGTGATTATGTATAGAGGAATATCTAAATCAGTAATACTGATGTTGGGTGTAGAATACTAAGTAAAAATAATAAGTTAGTTGACGTCATTGTGAAATTCCATTCAATTAAATGATTGTCAAAAATGTGGTAGCTAGTAACTACCGACAAATGTTATGTTTTTGATGTAGTTTTGTTCTCTGAACTGGATGGTTTGGTCATGGAGCTTTCATCGTTCTTCTGAACGACAGCATCAACAAAAACTTCGGGTAGAAGTTTGAAAGCTCCATGAACAAATCATCCAGTTCAGAGAACAAAACTCTATCAAAATCATCCATCTGAGCTATAAATCTTCTCCACGATCTCAATGTTATGTTTCCTAGCCTGATATCAAGTAGATAGAACGTTAAATCTTACAATTGTCACTATTTGAAACTTTCCAATTCATGATTTTACTTATTGCTTTTAAACTATAGGTGAGCGACGCTAAAGAGAGCTTGAGAATGTCCACCTTACATACTACGGCTAAATAAGGTTTATAAACCAATGTGAGGAATTAGGAGTAATATTTACAGCTGGTAGTCAGTGTTAGGGTTAGAAATAAGATATAAGGTTTTCATCACAAACTGACATCAGCTATAATGCCAAAACTCTACATACCCAAATGAATGAATAAATTTCGCGCCTAAATTCAAGATCTGTCATCGTAAATCTTATTGGTTCGTCTATAAATTATAGTCTCGCCGAACTATATTTTCCATGACTAGTTTTATTCTATGATCAGTATTGTTATTGCCCCGATAAGCATAATGAATGGTAACTTCTGGGATCCATTTATGAACCAGTACTATACGTATAATTTTATCATATCATTGTTAAATAACTAAACTGTTCATATTCATGTCCCTCTTATTATGAGCCCTATTTTGACCTATGAACTATTATTATGCAATTTACCATTCTTGAATTATTCCCTGTCTATTAATTACAGTCTCCCACATTCACAGGCACTTTTGGCTAAATCTTGTACAAATGTTGTTTCATATTTTATGGTACGATGTGGTCTGTTTGGTTGATATATGAACCCAGTATGCTTGAAATAAATGATTCATATTGCAGAGGTTGAGATTGGTGTTCTGGACTTAACTGATTAGGCTAGTCAGGAAGCAGGACCAATAAGGACTCTAGACTGCTTGCACGAGTTTTACGCGTCATTGATCCGATCGTTAATTCACTGTTCTTTAATTGGCAGTATCGTTACGTTATACATTAACAGGGTACACAGGCCACAAATTATAACAAGTATTGATATTTTGATCATTTGCATTTTATTTTGTCCTACATTTTCTTTTGTACTTTTGCTAAATTTTCCAATTTTCTATGATTCAACATAATGTGATAACGACTATAATAATCTATAATTTTCAACCAATAACCTTAAACTAACTTAGTTTTGGCGAATATTAAACTATAGATACGTTAGATAATTAGCAGTGAAATTAACGATAACCAAATTCTGATTGTCATGTCCTTTAACCTTAACCTCTTACAAACATAATCCCATTTGAGCCAGCATTATATACTGGTTAGATGTCAGCTTATTTATGAATTAAGTATGATTTAGCTAGTTATCTCCAATACATGTTTACTTCCATTGATTCTCATGATCAACACAGGTCAGTTTCTAGGAGAAAAAGGATGATCTAACTTGTAATTATAGTAATACTATATATGTATTCTTATTGTGTAATTGTTAAGTAATTAAACAACATATATTTATGGATAGTAGGTAGCAATGGAATCTAGGACGCGCGTTTCGTTCTATTGGGACTCGTCAGTTGGATATACCTGCATCTCAGAGTTGATGTTGACTCTGGCACTCGAACCCAGTACCGTTCGCTCCAAACGCCATCACGTTATTCACTTGGTCACTGAGTTCTGATAGCCACCTGCTTGTGGAATAGGTTGAAGTTATATTTGCCTGGTGTTGTTTATCTGTATCTCTCCATCTTTATTAAGGACTGAAATTGATTAGTCTCTTGATCGGGACTCAGTAGCTAAGTAGATAACGCGATGGCGTTTGAAGCGATTGGTACTGGGTTCGAGTCCCAGAGTGATCATCAACTCCGAGATGCAGGTGCAAACAGCTGATGAGTCCCAAATAGAACGAGACGTGCATCCTGGATTTCACTGCTAGCCACTATCCATCTTTGCTTATAAAGCTTGACTTAAGGCAATATTAAAGCGGTTCGCACAGGATGCATATATGCCCATAAGAGACTGATCAATTGCAGTCCTAAATAACAATGGGAGGATACAAGTAAACAACACCAAGTAAATATATAGTTTATATTCTTCTTATAATAAGCTCCTTATTGACCTATCGGTTACTGTTATATGATTTACTATTCTCAAATTATTCCCAATCTATTAGTCACAGTTCCTCCAAATTACAGCCACTTTAGGCTAGATCTTGTATAAATGTTATTTTCCATTTTATGGTACGATGTGGTCTGTTTGATTTGTATATAAACCCAGTATATTTGAAACACATGATTCGTATCGCGGAAGTTGATATTGTCATTATGCTCGTAACAGTGAGGGCTAGGCGGAAAAAGGACTAATCGTAAGTGTAGGCTGCCCGTACTGGTGTATGCATCATTAATGTAGTCGTATAAGTCAGTGTATCTAATTGGCGGTATTATCACGGGATATAATTAATTCAGGCATAAAGACTGTTATAACTTGGTGCCTTGTGTCCTATTAATATATGATGTAATGATACCACGAATTAGAGAACAGTGATTTGTCGACCGGACCAATGACTCGGAAACCCGTAAAACCAGTTCAGAGTCCTTATCGGTCCTTCTTCGCACCTAGCCCTGCCAGAACACTAATCTCAGCCTCTGCAATATGAATCATATATTTCAAGCATACTGGGTTTATATACAAACGAAACAGACCACATCGCTCCACAAAATAGAAAAATAACATTTGTACAAGATCGAGCCTAAAAATGGCTGTGATTATGGGAGACTGTAATTAATAGACTGCGTATAACTCAAGAATGGCAAATCGTCTAATAAAAGTCTATAGTTTCAATGGTTAGGATCATGAATCAGTTGAATCTGGACCACCATGAAAAACCTGGAAGCACTGAACGGCAATTTCGTCCTATTGTGAGACTCCTCAGCAGTGCGCATCCACGACCTCGCTCCCTGAGAGACTCGAACCCAGGACCTACTAGTTTCGCGCGCGAGCGCCTAACCACTAGGCCACTGAACTGGTATCCAACGGTGTTAATGTCTAACTTCAACTAATCCACGGGATTGAGCGACACATTCACCATTGTCTTCAGTGAGTTATTATCTCAAAACAGTCTATAGGTCAAAATGAAGCTTATAATAAGAGGAATATGAATATGCATAGTTTAGTTACATAACAATTATACAATAAAAATACATATATAGTATCAGTCCATAAGTGGGTCCGAACAGTTACCATTCATAATTCTCATCGGAATATATCAATGATATAACACTACTTTATACTGTTTTTTACTTCAATAAATCATTCACTATTTCTTTTTTTAAATCAGGAGATTAACCATGTTTGAATGTAATCTAGGAAAAATGAATGATCTAAATCGTCCAAGTCCATTAATTGAACAAACTAGTTGTGATGAAAATAGTCATACAACAAGTAATAATAATAATAATGATATTAACAAAAAATATCGACGTCAATCAGAACCAATTAAATCATTGAATTATTATTATCATCCATATTCTTATTCTAAAAATGATCCATTCAGAACTATTGAACAGATTCAACAAAGTTTAAAACAATTAAATGAGGGAAAATTAAATTCAAGTAAAACAAGTTCAACTACTACTACTACTACTAATAGTAGTAGTAGTAGTAAGAAATCAAAATCCCTCATATTTAATATTGATAATAATAGTGATTGTAATAGTAATAGTAATGGTGATAGTAATGATAATACAAAAAGTATTTTATATGATGAAATTGATGAAAAGAATATATTTCATGAAATTCAAGCTATGGAAGAAAGACAAAATATACCAATGCAACAATTAAAAGAATTATTATTATCATCTGTAAGTATGATTAGAACATATATACATATAGACATAGATCAGTATTTAGTTTTCTTTATACGTTGTTATTTCGTGGATTAACACCGTTGGATGCCAGTTGGCTCAGTGATCTAGAGGTGAACCGTTCGCACGCAAGACTGACAGATTCTGGGTTCGAATTTCACGAGGCGGGATGGTGAATGTACATTGCTGAGAAGTTCCACAATAGGAAGAAACGGCCGTCCAGTGTATACAGATTTTCCATGATGGTCTGACTTCAATTGACTCGTGATCTCAACTATTGAAATTATGTTGTTATTTGTTTGTTGGGTGAGTCTATAATTTATGGACGACATTTGAGCAACGCTAAACTGACCTTGAGATAGTTCACCTAATAACTAGGACCAAATGAGGGTTATAAACCTGTGTGAGGAATTCGAATTATGATTTACAGTTGATGATTAAGGTTAGAAATTAGATTTCGGGTTTTCATCACGAACTGATGTTATGAATTTAAGTTGTTGGTTGATTTTTACCCTGTGCTAATTGTTGTGTCCTTGACTGGAAAATTAGAGAGCAGCGTACTTATCGATCGATTCAATGACACGTAAACACGTACGGACGGCCTAGAGTCTCGATTGGTCTCGCTTCCCTGTCTAGCCCAGTCAGCTGAGTCCAGAACACAAGTCACAGCCTCGGAGATATGAATCATTATATTTCAAACATACTTTGTTTATATACTAGTCAAGCATACCACATCATACCATAAAATAGAAAACAACATTTTGTACAATATTCAACAAGTGAACAGATATCGACCAATGGGAAATGTCCATTTAAAGTCCAAGGACACCATTGGACTTAACATGATAATTATTGGTCTATTCCTCCGCATCCACAACAACTGACATAAGTTATAATGTCAAAATGGTATTTAACCAAATGAGTGGATAAATTTCGCGTCAAAATCTGAGACCTGCTTTCTTATATCTGATTGGTTCATCCATAAATTATAATCTCGCCGTTTGATGAACTCGAAAAGTAATGTGAACAGAGAAACAGGAATCCTTGACAAACAAAGGAATCTGTTTTGGGGCAACGTTATTTCATTCGATTCAAAGCTTATAAAACATTAACATTTATTTTTGTCCCCAGTCTATTCTACAGAACATGAGCTGTCGTTTAATGTACGATTTACTGTCACAGCCGTTTTCGTTCCAAAGATATTGTAGTTTAAGCGTAATCTTTTGTACTCTAATTCCCAGCTTTGGTCTGGTTAGTTATCTATCTATTCGTGTATCTTTTTACACTAATCTGAAATCGGGAACCAGATAGGGATTGAGAATAAATCGTGTAGCGTCCCAGTTGACTTGTCTTCTCTCACTCGCATGCTTGTCAGCCAATCAGGCTATAGACTATAGTTTTCATCTCTCTACCCCATTTATTTGTTTTTATTTATTTTAACACATAAATATTGGTACAAGGAGGCACCAAATAGATATGCGCCACACAAATCTCATTTGATATGTGTGAGGGCTGGGATGCTGCCTGGGTGCCCAAACCGAAGCAGGCGGTTTTCTTAGGAGGCAACACCTGGAGCTTTTGACATGAAGGTCTGATCCACAAGGCAGTGGAGCAACGTCAAGAGATGCAATCCCATGGTAGCCGGTGACCAATAATTAGTTAATACGCTATTTGTTCCCTTAGGATCCTGGAACCCATGTGCACCATTGGTTTGGAATCAGGGTTTTCCAACCCACCTAGGTGGACTCTCTATGTCCACCAACCCGGTCAAAGCGCCGGACATTCGCTTTTTTTCCTCTCAGTTCCGTAAAAAACACCCGTGCTATGAGAAGGCAGTGAGTAGGACTTCCCTGGGAGAGGCTATATACGAGTGGCCATGTGAGAGCATTTCGAGAGGGAGAGTGGACTCTTCTCACTCTCGGCCGTACCAGGTAGTTAATGTCACTTCAAACTCACGCATGCTAGTTTCAATGTTAAGCCAGTCAGCCTATCTCGTCAAGGTTTTAATCTAGGTTAGACAAGTTATCCTCTGCATAAAAACCGGTGGACAGATCAAGGACGTAATAAAAGGTAATGGACTACTGTTGTTTTTTTGTTACTAACTGCAGTCTTTTCGGTAGTATTTAACCATGTTCTCGTGAAATGTATCATTAAATGATGTATTCCTCATTCATTCAAAAGTTAGAAGAAAGATATCAAAGAGAAAAGCAAAACATTACATGAGCTCATGAATTAATTCATTCATGGATTAAACAATGTTGATAGATGTAGACTATTTGATTGGGGTCCTCATGATAACCATAATCGGTGTTTAAAGACTTTGGCTGATATAAGATAGTATTGATTATAGTGGCTCAAATACATGGTTGTACTTAATCGGTAAAAAGAATTGCTTTATATAGGTCTCGCATAACAAGATATATCTGAAATTCTATAGGAGTTGATACTTTCTGTAAAATTTTGATCCATATCAGTCAGTCACTCAGTAACAACGTAGAACTTCGTACGTACATACATCAGTTCGAGTTGCCACACCACATTAGCACACAAATACAACTGTCCATTCAAATCCTATATTGGTAGAAGTAGTAGGAGTATAAACAGTAATCAGAAAAATGAGGGTTTGAAAATGTTATTCAAGGAGTATAATCCAGTGAAATAAATTTGGAAAGAGAAAAAAAAAGGGACATGAAGAATTCAGATTAGAATTTGGGAGAACATAAAGGTTTTATGCACCTGCGCCATTGCAAACGATTTTGAGCCATGTCATTCAGGGTCTCTAACCATCGATTGCTATCATCTCGTGGTCTCCAACCAGGTAGTCTACACCTACCAACATGGCTCAGTCCACTTTTCAGTGACTTCATGAACTTGTGCCATGTTTTGATCTGGCCGCCCCTAGCTTTCTTCCAATCTACTCCTATACCACTGAGCATCGCACATCGAGGCAGTCGGTGGTTGAGCATACGTAACACATGTCCCAGCCATCTCAACTGATGAAGTTTCACTACTTCATCAATGGATGTGCCATCCGTACCTAGTAATCGTTTCCTAACAACCGCGTTACTTACTCGATGGTCCCATGATATACGAGAAATGTTTCAATTACTAGTAACCTACGAATATCCTCTACTCTTACCAGCCATGTTTCACTGTCATAAAATAGGACGGAACGAACTGCTGCACAATAAACACGTTCTTTGGTTGTAGACGGATATCTCGCCTACGCCATAAATGACGCAAGTTGGCAAAAGCTAGTCGAGCCTTCTGTATCCATGCTAAGACTTTGTCACACACCAGACCACATGGGTTGATCCACATCATTTGTTTCTGATCAAAAATATCACAATATATTACATACAATGTCGAGTTGTTGAAACTAGTGATCATATTACAAAATGACCAGTAGAATTCGATCGACGCTGATGATTAACGAAATTTAATATTGGATACTACTGAATTGGTAATCTTTGTACATAGTTACATGTTTTGACAATCAATACAGAACTCCAGATGAACTCTGTATAACATGAAGCTGATAAAATTCAACTCTATTTGTAACCACCTCATATTTTCTTTACATTTCAGAAATCATTTATTCTAGTGATTATATGAAAAATATTATTATCTCTTTTTTTCTTTCCAGCGTGATGGAATGAAAGATTTTATGGCTTTTCTAGTGACAACTAATGGAATACATCTTGTTGATTTTTGGTTAGATTGTGAAGCAATTAAAATGATATCATCTATGCAGAATTCAAATTATGAAAGTATTAAATTGAAATTTAATTTATTACGGTAATTCATAAATCTTTTTTTTGTTGTGATCATGAACTGATCAATGTTAGACAACTATTAAGAACCTGATAGCACTAGACAGTTTGTTTCGTCTTAGTATGAAACTTCTTGACAGTTCATATCCACGATACCGCACACAGGAATAGAATCCAAGACATTCGGTCTCGCGCGCGAACGTTTAATTTCCAGACTACTGAGCCGGTATTTAACGATGTACATGTCTGACTTCAACCAATCTATCATATTGCGCGATCATCTCCCATTGTCTGAGGTAGATACTTGTCTCTATCTGACATGGATTAGATTCATTGGTCACGGCTTCTCACTAGAACTTCGAGAATTACCTCCCGAAGCCAGTCACTAGGGAACACATGATATGTATTGGTATAGGTTTATGGAGATTGTTGAATTTTTATTGATACCATGAAGATCAGATCATTGAAATCAGTGCTTACAGATTTTCAATGGTTGTCTAACATTGATCGATCCATTATCTCAATCAAACCTAAACTTTATCTATAACCCTATACTGATAGTTTATAATTTGTTTAAATGAAAGAAAAAAAACGTTTCAGAAATTATATACAATCGGTTTCCTTGATAAATTTGAACGGTTGTAGAACGACAAGGTTTGCAGAGTACAATCAATCCATTCTATTTTATGGTCTCTGATCAGTTGGAAACAGCCTAAAATTACAAAAACTACTATGATTATAATTATAAACGAAGGTCTAACTTACTTTATTCGGTGAAGTTGAAATGAACGTTATCTTGTAGACGTTACATAACAGATACCTCTGTAAAACTGAGTGAAATAGATAGTTGGTTGGTTTTTTAATTGTTTTAAATATATATATTTGGCATTGAATATATCTCTATTCTCTATCATGTGAATAGTGAGTGCATTTATGAAGGCTTTATTGCCTTTTAAGCATAGGTTACTCGAAAACTGACTAGAAAACCTGGTAGAAATCTTTTTTTCTGCCGTTCGTGTTTACCTGCTGCCCTTTACTTACCTACTTATTTGGTCCTGTTACCCCCCCCATGGACGAGCATAAACTGCCTACCACAGTTCTCCAGGTATATGTAAATTCATATATGAATTGGGAGGTGATATTGAAAAGAACCGTCTGAAAATGGATGCCCAAAAATAATTATTCTGAAATCTAGAAAGGAATATCCTAAAAGTCATAGACAACCGATTGTTTTCAAGAAGCTTGTCACTAGCTATATTTAATTTAGAGGAAATGAAATTTCAGGAAGAATTAATGAACGAATCCGGATGCCATTGGGAAAAAGTTTTCCTGATGCTCGGTTTTTCTCATTATCTAACATTAGTTATTCGTTAAGCCACTCAAAAGTAGATCAATACGATTCTGATGTTAGAGTTGTATTATTCATAAATAATAACTTTTCCATACTCATAAACCAGATAATGTCTTCAAATATTCTTATTCCCCAGAGGGAAATAAAGCACAGAGTGTAGTAATCCTATTCGTTATATATGTATGTTATTGTTCACTGTAATCTATTAGTTAATAGTATATTCCATTCGGTTAAATTCTAGTGGCCCGGGATCTGATTCCAATTAGATTGTATGAATGTTATTGAAGTACACATGTCGTCTATCCTCCTATAAAATTATCAACTTAATTCGCGTTAGTGTATAACGGAATTAAATAAGTCAAATACGAGAATGAAGTTTTGAATACGTATATTTTGTATACATTGATCTGGGCAGACAATCAGAGGGACGAAGGGAAGAGAAGAGAGCGTAGCGAAATGACACGCGGTGGAGGTATATGAGCCAACTCCCACAGTCTAGATGAATTGGTTGAAATGCTGCAGTGGATTTTGCTCGGGTCGTGGCTTAATGGACATCTTGAACGCATATTGCGACTATGGGATATCCTGTGGCCATGCCTGTTCGAGGGTCGGCTTTTCATCTATCACGGTGCACATTAAGTCGTGGATTGGGTGAGTGCCTGCCGGCGTGTGTACCTGCATATCAACGCGGGTTGCTAGTCAAATGCTCTGCCCTAATAATACGGGCCACCAAAACATTAATTATAAACAGTTTTCTAACCAGCTAGGAATTAAGAAAAACTATCCACTATATCTGATTTGTTTAACAACTTTAAATACCAAGAGTCTTTATTCAGGAGCGTTTACGTAATCAAATAAATGTATGAAATATTCACATTTTAACACCGTATCACTTGTCACCAATATAATCTAAACTAAACATTTGATGGTTAAATTGAGCGCTATACTCCACTTAACTGTTATTTGAACCACTTAATCGAATGAAGTTAACAACTAGGTTTCCTGTATTCACTGTAAAAACTCTCAATTATAAACTATAGCTGACGAAAGGCATTCATAACTACTTAAATCAACTAAAATAACAACAAAGTCTAAATAAGTAAAGATGGATTGTGGCTAGTACTGGAATCTAGGACGCGCGTTTCGTCTTATTTGAGACTCGTCAGCTGAATGTACCTGGGAAGATACAAGTAAACAACACCTAGTGAAAACAGTCTATAGTTTGATTTATATAGTCATTCATCATAGTTTTTAATGTCTTTCTTTAGTGACCTTGAAAATCGATCAAAATCACTTCGTTATTTTAGGAATTACTCAATCTCATCCCTATATTATATTCTTACCTAAATATAATTAAGATCTAAATTCACTTAGTATTATTTGCTTGGATCTTCCAATTGTTATTAAGGACTGTAATTGATTAGTCTCTTATTAACATATATGCATCCTGTGCGAACTGTTTCGATATTGCCTTAAGTCATAAGCTTTATAAGCAAAGATGGAAAGTGGCTTGCAGTGGAATTCAGGATGCACGTTTCGTCCTACTTTGAACTCGTCAACTGAATGTACCTGGGCAGATAGATACAAGTAAACAATACTATGTGAACAAAATCTATAGTTTGATTTAAATGATCCTTCATTACAGTTTTTCTTTCTTGATATCTATTGTTTAGTGATCTTGAAGATCGTTACCTTCTTCAATTAACATCTAAAGCACGTGAAAAATTATTTACATCAATAAATACAATTTCTGATTATTTTCTAACAAGTCGCCATGATAAAAATAATAATCCGAATGAATCCTATTTATATCAACTTGGTAATATGATGTTTGATTGTGTACAATATGATTGTTTACGTCGTTTAAGATATTATTGGTTACCAAGATGGTTATTACATTGGGAAAGAATAATCAATAATTGTCAATTTTTATCAAATCAATATGGTGGTTCTAATTTATTTTATATACCATCATATTGTTCATTAATTAGATCAAATCATACATTATCATTTAATGCATGTACAGAAAATGTATCAATAAATAGTTCTGATATTGAACAAGATAATGATCTTGATCTTATAGATCATTACAATCATCATAATGATCATGATTCTAATGGTCAATATGAAGAATATCAATCTAATGAAGTATTTAAAGATAATGATACTACTGTAAACGGTCATAGTTCATTACAAACGACTGAAAAACCAACAAAGCCATCTAATGATGAAAAATCATGGAATAAAGAAATCTATGATATAGTTGTTAAAAATGCTTTAACAAAAAATGGTCTTATTCAATCAGATCACAATAGAGACATATTAAGAAATACATCAAAACAACGTTTATTATCATATGCTCCATCATCTACACTGAATTCATCTCATAGAAATATAAAATTATCTCGAATGTCAAGTAGTACTACTACTACTACCACTACCAGTACTGTTACAACTAAATATACATCAACTATACCATTCTTTAAACGATTAAATATATCATGGACAATACCCTATGATCCAAATGATGTGATTGGTTTAAAATTATATCCTGGTTTAAAATGGGAACATTTAAAAAAATCAATAATTGTCAATTATTATCCTCCTCCTCTATACAAATGGATATCATCAATAATTCAATCAATCATAATCATTCAATTATAATTGATTCATTGATATCTACATTAGGAATAAATAATAATGATCATCCTAATGAGAATAATAAAATGACATCATCATTTAAACAAGATTTGATGAATAAGAAAAAGATGGAATGTTCTTCAAATAGGGAAAAATTAACTTCATTCATTTATTTAAAAGAAAAGAAAAGTTCAATGGAAGAAATGTTAAAGAAAAAATGTTTAATAGCAATACATGGTGATGCAGCATCTGGTGGTCCATTTCAATTTTATTTAGAAAGGTAAATTTGAGCAAGACTTTAATTTATGGACGAGCCAATCAGAAGCGTTTTAAAGATTTCAAGGTTACGGCGCCAACTTCAGTGCTTAATGCTAACATACGATCGATTCACAGGGAATTTTGTACAAATAAAACGGCGAGACTATAATTTGTGGACAAGTTAATCAGGTATAAGATAATAGATCTCGGATTTTAACGCGAAAACCTTTCATCCATTTGGCTAAACAGATTTCTGGCATTATAGCTGATGTCAGTTCGTGATGAAAACCCCATATATACAATTTCTAACTAAGGCAAATTACGACAATTATTACCAACTGGATAATAAAAGCACTAGTAGCACTGGCTGTAGCCAGGTACTACAATATATATGGATGTTTGAAGAGCGTACAGACTCCTACATAAACTTGGTTATGTGCATCGTGTCGTTATCCACAAGTAGCATTTTTTGCACTCAACAATCGGAGTACACATAAACAATATTGAAGCTATGTAGTCGAGGCTGAAAGAGTTTTCGAGACTTAATCATGGCTCCGGAGGCTTACTATTTCTACTGCATGCATTTTTTACTCTATACTTTCTGTTTGCTGATTGGCTAATATTTCTCAAGGTCACTTAAGATTCGTTCTAAGTTCGTCAATAAATTAGAGTCTCGCCGTAAATTTGAAATAAATGAAAGGTATATACATGTTATATTGAAGATTGTGAATAGGTGTAATGACAAAGATTACTACTTATATTCACTTGGTATTTTGTTTACTTGAATCTTCCTATGCGAACTGTTTCGATAATGTCTTAGATTATAAGCATTAGAAGCAAAGATGAATTGTGATTAGCAGTAGAATCCAGGATGTGCGTTTCATCTTATTTGGGACTCGTCAACTAGATGTACCTACATCATGGAGTTGATGTCTCCTCCGGCACTTGATCTCAGTACCGTTAGCTTCAAACGCCATCACGTTATCCATAAGATACAAGCAAATAATACCAAGTGAATTTAAATTTCGCCTCATTGCACAAGCAGGTGGCTATCAAGACTTAGTAGCTGAGTGGATAATGAGAAGGAGTTTGAGGAGAATGGTGTTGTGTTCGAGTCCTGCAGTAGACATCAACTCGGAGATGCAGGTATATGTAACTAACGAGTCCCAAATGGGACGAAACGCGCATCCTGAATTTCACTGCTAACCACTATCCATCTTTGCTTATAAAGATCGTCACTTGCTGATCAAGTAATGCAAACCAATTGATGATAATAACTGTTAGAGATATTTTCATGAATAATTTTCTGGTTAGCGCTTTTTTAGCGAGTTAGTTTTCTACGGGATAGGGTCGTTTACCCCATGCCCAACCCTCCTCCTTTATCCAGGCTTGGGATCGGCAGTAGCCCCAAAGGGGCTCTACGCGTAGCTATATTTTCATGAGTGTCATAATATTTAAACTTGAAGTACATTTGATTTAAAGAAAGACGTTGAGAAAAGCTGGATAATATACGGTAGTAAATTGTTTTAAGTTACCATAAAACTCTACATGCAAAACTGAAAGTCAATCACTACGACAAAGTATTATAAAAAAACTTTAAGGGCATTTATTTCTAATTGAGATCATGAACCGATCAATGTTACACCATTATTAAAAGTCTGGAAGCACTGATAACCATTTCTTTTTAATATAGGGCTCCTAGACATACACCCATGTTGGGAGATGCAGACTACTTGGTTGGGGTCCAAGTGACTATCGTAACCAATGCTTGGAGACTCTGGGTGACATGGCTCAGAATTGATCACAATGGCATCGGTGTATACACTCTCTGTCTTCCCTAAAACTATGAGATTAAAATCACTTCATATCTTTCTTTCTACGAACTAATTCTTTCTTCCTGTACTATATCCTTACACAAAATCTTTATTTTATATATTACCACCTCTGAATTAACTACTTTTATGAACCCGGTGTGTTAATGAGGTATGGGAAGTTGGACCGACGCATATATATGCCTGGTCCTACGTTGTAGTTGACTGACTGATTGACTGAGAGTTACACCCAGGACCTTCGATCTAGCGTAACCACTTAATCTTTAGTATATTGCACAATGTTATTTGTTTAAAACGATAGACTTTTTTCATTCTTACATCATAATTACCTTACCTTTTTTTTGTAATTTCATATTGAAACTTATTCACAGAAATGGTTTTGAAAGACAAAATCGTATACTTGGATTTTTACAAGCTATTTATGATTATTCTAGACAAAATTTAAGTTTAATGGCTAATCGTTTTACTAAACTAACAAAAACTTGGTATATTGTGAATAATTATCTAAGATCAAATAGTCGTTGGAGTATAGGTAAGTTCATTTTATTATTATTTAAACATTGTATTCATTAAATTCAAGTTTTACATACCACTGTCGTTATGATTCTTAAAATACCTCTTGGAAAGATTATTATCTATAACAATTGATCAGTCAGTCAACAACTTCGTATGTACGTACATCAGTTCAAGTTGCCATACCACATTAGCATAGAGGTGTAGTGGTCGATTCAAATCCCGTAGTAGTAGAGGTAATAAGAGTATAAGCAGTAATCGGAAAGATTAGGATTTGAATTTGTTATTCAAGGAGTATAATACAGCGAAATAAATATGGGAAGAGAAAAAAGAAAAGTAACATGAAGAATTCGGAAGATTAGAATTTGGGAGAACACAAAGAGTGGATGCCCCTGCGCCATTGCAAACGATTTTAAGCCATGTGATTCAAATTCTCTAACCATCGGTTGCTATCGTCTTGCAGATCCCAACCAGGTAGTCTACACCTACCAATATGGCTCAGTTCACTTGTCAGTGACTTCATGGATTTGTGGCATTATTTCTAAAATGAAGTGATGAATTGATTGTTCATTCAATATTCAATCATCTATTTCTTTAAAGCAACAGTAATGCTTGATGTAAACATTGAATTGAAAACAAGTGAGTTAATAGTCATAGGTAAGGGCTTACTGACTTACTTACCTACTTACTTACTTACGCTTGTTATTCCCAATGGAGCATAGGCCGCCGACCAGCATTCTCCAACTCACTGTATCCTGAGCTTTCTTTTCTAGTTCTATTCAATTGTTGTTGGCATATATTCTAAAACATGCTTATGAACTCTTTCAATATCAAGTTCAGAACTATATAATCCGGCATTGAACTCACAAAAATATAAACACAATTATCATAGATACCATTTTCAAGTTTAATCTCAGATTAAACTTTAATGATAACTTATTAATTTTATTGATTAATAGATATTGATTCGTCATTAGTGAAATCAATCATTGAAGTTATTCAAGCCAAAAAAGAGACAACTCCTGTACAAATATTCGACACAGTGAAAAATATTTGTTTAAATGAAATCTATCCATTTTGGATTGAATATATGAAATCTGATGCTTTTCAATTTGTTTAGTAAGCATTTTAGTATGAACAAAGTGGGTAGTTTTATGTATTTGTCTATTTAAATTAACTGCTAATTGTTTGCTTTATGAAAGATCTATTTGCTACACTGTTGTCCATGATTCAAGATTTGATAGAAGTTATTTTACTTGGTCTGATAAATTGATGGTAATGTTTGAGATATTAGCAGTGTTTAATACATGAAATGAATTTCCAAGATTGGGTTAATTCGCTCAAGGTTCTTAACGTATGCCAGTAAGTGAAAAATTAAGCCAATAAACGATCAGTCAAGTTATAAGTACTTGTGATTAGCTAAGAAATAGGTTGTATATCCTAAATGTGAGACAAACGTTATTGTTGGGTTAGTTGTCTTAGAGATGAACATTTACATTTAAGTTTAGCGTACGTACAACCGGATCTGGTTAACTAGTATAAGCTTCCTTTTTACTAGAGTAGTTGGTTGGGGTAGTTTATAAGAAAATTTTCTCACATTCCCTGTTAAAGCCGAGGTTGGGCAGAGCCCGCTTTCCCCTTCGATATGCTCCCACATGGCCACTTTCACACAACCACTTCCAGGGAAGTCCTGATCACTGTCTTCTCGCAGCATTACTATTGTTTAAGAAATTGAGAAGAAGAAAAGCGAATGTCCGGCGCTTTAACTGGCTTGATTGGCAGATATGGAAAATCCACCTAGGGGAGTTGGAAACCCTCATTCCAAACCAATCGTGCACATGGGCTTCAGTATCCTGAAGGAAAAAATGACATATGAACCTATTGTTAGTCACCGGTTGCCATGTGACTGCATCGCCTAACGCTGCCTCACTGTCTTGTGGATGAGACCTCTAGGTCAAAGGATCGGAGTGTAGCTCTCTAAGGAAACCACTTGTTTCTGTTTAAGCACCCGGGAAGTATTATAGACCTCACACAAATTGATTGATTTGTGTGGAGCATATATATTTGGTACCTCCTTGTACCTATGTTTGTGTTTAAGTAAATAAATGAAAATCCCTATCACTATCAGACTTGGACATCGTACAAAAATCCAAATTGATTTCTAAACGCCAGTAGTGAACAGATGGAGATAAAAAACATCATAGCTTCTTGATATTTTGATTTTAAATATTTGGTTGCACTCAATAGAAAGTACACTCACAAATAATAGATCATCACTATTCTGGAAAGTGAGATAAACTCATCGGGGATTCATCATTGTAGTTCAAGTAACATGAAGAAAATACTTTGAAGAAACTAACTACTATCGTAAAGTCTAGATTGCATATGTTTGAGAGTAAATCACTGATATATTCCAACAACGTCAGAGAACTTCGTAGTGTTTCAGAGATTCAAACCATTAAGTATTTTATCCTCTCAGTTAATGATGTTATCACTGTGTGGTTCTAAGTTTCCATTTAATCAAACGAATGTACGGCTTATCTAATCTAGATTGTTTTTGAAATATTTAAATAATTCTTATTCGTCATATTAAAGACTTATGAAACTACAATCATTGATCATGTTACTAAATATATCCAACATTTCAGTGATAAAGATGTTAAATTATTATGTAAACAAGGTAACATTGCCACTCACCTGTTGCTAAACTTCGATTATCGTTGAAAGTTATTTTAATAACAATCTTACGATTAATTTGATGACAGTTAATCTCTATCAAACCCTTTCATCTGACAATATTGTCGCCATAGTTACAATTCGTCGGTGCAGACAATCGTGTAGATGTAATGTAACTGGGGGACGATCCCCCCAACTATCCATAATAACGGCATCAGCTAGCGTTACATCTTCGAATAGCAGTGATGTTGTGGCATCGGATCTCAGCTTGTTTAATTCGCTGTCCGTTATTTGCAAACTCGCCAAACCATGGTAATAGATTCCGAAATCAAATGAGAACCTTCAGATGAGATATTAGACTATCCAGATATCTGAAAATGACGTTTTATTCAGTAGATCTCCGAACTATTTTCTCAAGCCAGATACTCATTCAAGGAAGTGTCAGGGATAGACTGTCTATCTGAGCCACCTCAGAGTGCGTATCCCGGTTTATTTGCTCTTGTGGAGCAGGCTATATTAACCTTACAAGGCAAGGATTTGGTAAAAGAATATCTGAACACTACCTTGCATGATTATCTAAACGGAAATAAAAATCGATCAACAGCTCAGTTCTTGAACACATTTCCAATTCGGATCACATCCCACTACGTGAATCATCATCCAAACTCCTTACAATATAAGAAAAACTGTCTCAAAAAGGTTTTAGATGAGGAATTTATGAGCAATCGAAGCTATAGTAATTCACCATTTCAAACTTAAACTCTGAGTACAGAAGAGTCATTTTCAATTTCTTATTCTGTCATAATTTTAGCACTCCTTTGAATTTTATAAATTGTAAATGCTAATTCTTACCTTTTTGCTCTCCTTCTTTATTTAAGTAGACAGTTATCTTAGCATTTATTAATCCGACTGACAAATGATGTAACAATCAGTTCTTTGTATTTTTAATCTGAGTTAGTTCCCGCTAATATATTCAAATGATTTTTTTTATAACTAAGCCATCTAAAATGGTTTAGCTCTTATGGCTTATGTGTGTTTTTATACAAGGATGATATCTGAATTAAGAGTAAAACCAGAACTTAGCAACTAAATAAGTTACACTGATTGAAATCACGAAGCTAGACCACCATGAAAAATCTGGAAGAACTGGACGGCCGTTTCATCCTAGTATGGGTGTCCTCAGCAGTGCGCATCCACGATCCCGTACCCCGTGAGATTCGAACCCAGGACCTATCAGTCTCGCGCCAGGCGCTTAACCAACTAGACCCCTTCTGATAACTAAATAAGTATCAAATTTGATATATTATTATCAAGAATCTTGAATTAGTTCATCGGTGATAACGCAGGACTGAATTTAAGTTAGTATTTGTCTGTACTTTTACATCTTATAAGTATTACCTCGATATAGTATTTTTTGTTCACTCTTTTATAGAATAAATGGATTGTGACTAGCAGTGGAATACAGAATAATGAATTTCATGCCATATTCGAGGCCATTCACAAATGATGCATTTCAGTCAACAAAATTCAGTTGTGAAAATCAACATTGAAATAATTCCAACATGTAGTAATGATAATTTCATCATCATACACTTTGAACAGATTCGTGCTTATCTGGATTCAGTAACTCAATGGATAATGTGTTGACGTTTGAAACGAAAGTTGCTGAGTTCGATCTCCAATGTGAATATCAGCATTCAGATTCAAGCACATCCAACTGACGAGTCCCAAGAGAATGAAACGCGAATCCTCGGCTTCACTGCTTGTCAGAATCCTCCTATTATATACAACCAATAAATGGGTTGATCATTAGAAAAACAACTATTACTTACTTATATGTATATATACATTGAATCCATAGTCCAATCAGTCAGATACAACTTAGGACTAGGTACATATGTGCATCGACCCAAGTTGCCATACCTCATTAGCACAACAGTATGAACTCCGGATTCATAGAAGTAGTTAATTCAGTGGTGAAAATATATAAAAGAAAGATCCAATAAGGATATAGTACAGGAAGAAAGAATTAATTGATAGAAAGAAAGATATGAAGCGATTTCAATCTCATAGTTTAAAGGAAGATAGAAAGTGTATACACCTACTCGATTGTGACTGATTCTGAGCTATGTCACTCACAGTCTCCACTCATTGATTACGATAGTCGTGAGGACCCCAACCGAGTAGTCTGCATTTACCAATATGGTTCAGACTAGAGGTTAGTGTCTTCAAGCACCGATGCCACGTTTTGGTTTGGCCGCCCCTAACTTTCTTCCAACCATCCCCAACACTAGTCAGCATTGCGCGTCGTGGTCATCATGTTCAGGCATATGCAACACATGGCGCACCATACTTGATATTTAATGAATGTAAACAAAATTACAGAACATCACAGTAAATCTGAGAACCATACAGTAAATAATTCATTTGCAAAATGTCAATCAATCATCTCAGACTTAATTGTTCTCTTGTTTCCATTCCAACCATTCTTTGTTCTCTTTCTGTTTTCTTTGATCTTATTAACCTTTTTCCTCCAGGCATTTCAATTTCGATTGGTGATATATACTACTTATATCTGTCGAAATCAGGAGGATACAGCACAATGATAATTTACTGAAAATTTTATGAACGATTATTGATTGTTTTCTATATATTTTTTTGTTGTTTTGTTTATAAAATTTCAGTGCTTCACATAAAAGCAAAAATGAAGATTATATGATGCCTAAATCATCGAATGATTTTGATGTACTCTTGGATGAAAATTCTAACTTAATAGTACAATGTAAACCAATAGAAATGTAAGATGATAGATACCTACCAAAATATATTGTCTGTATTTTATGTTAATCATTATTTTTCAAATGAAGTAAATTTTGCAAAAATTATTTCATTTTGTAGACGATATTCGTCATGGAATTGAAGTGATATTCAATGGTACCTACAGAATGAAATGATCTTTACAATACATTTAAAACATTAGTTATTCATTCACTAATGATTTGCCATGATAATTGAACAAAAACTGATATGATTCAATGTAAAGAACATAATATAAAGACTTCAGATAGAGATGTAGAATACAATAAAGATGCCTGAATACATTGGTTTCGATTTGTTTTATTAGCATGGATCAATGGTCAGATTATAATAAATTGAACTATGTAACACTTGACACTAAGTAGTCAATAGCCTAATCTATAAACATAAGATACATTATCATAGGATTATACTAATTTAACCAATAAATTAGTCGATTCATTGAGTCATATGATAAATCTCTCATAACAATCAGTTAAAGATGAGTATTTGAAGTTCTAGTATTAATTCGTAACCAGTGGAACTTAGTGTAATAAGTAATAATGACGTTACCAATAAGTTTTAACGATCATCACGTCATATCAGAAATTGACTGAAATTGAAAACTTGTACTATTAGACTTCAACTCAATGGTTCTAAATTAAGTAAATAAATAATTTATGGGATTTTTATCTTGTCTTAAATGTAACTTCTCGTTCGAGTTATTAACTATCATATTATAATGAACGAGAACATAAGTGGAGACAATCGAATGTACATGTAGTCAATACTTACTTACTTACGCCTGTTACTCCCAATGGAGCATAGGCCACCGACAAGCATTCTCCAACCCACTCTGACCTGGGCCTTTCTTTCTAGTTCGATCAAATTGTTGTTCATTCTTCTCATGTCTATCTCCATTTCTCAGCGTAATGTGTTCTTTCGTCTTCCTCTCCTCCTTTGGCCTTGAGGATTCCAAGTGAGGGCTTGTATTATGACGCAGTTGGGTGTTTTCCTCAATGTGTGTCCTATCCACTTCCAGTGCTTCTTTCTGATTTCTTCGTCCACTGGAATCTAGTTTGTTCTCTCCCACAGTAGGTTGTTGCTAATAGTGTCCGGCCAATGGATCTGAAGTATTTTGCGTAGACAATTGTTGATAAACACCTGTATCTTCTGTGAATCATAAACAATAAAAAAAAGATTTGGAATACATTGTGTCGATGCAAGTTTCCATATTTCTTATCAATACAATAAGAGGAAACCTAAAAGAAATGTGATAATTATATCAATATTACTTGTGAAGTGACTATAGAAAGTATAACCCCCGGAAGAATAAATGGTTTCATGGAATAAAATGTATGAAATCAGAATGTCCGGCAGCAGAAACACAAGAGGATCGACCAGTAAAGAATGGAAACAGAATGCAATTTGTATGAAAATGCAGGAACAAGGAAGTCTGAGTGATTTTGGAACAATTGATCGACATTTTGCAAATTACGTATTTACTATTTGATTGTTAGATTTTATTAACAAGTCCTGTCATTTTGTGTTAAATACATCCGATTGTTCCCACTGGTGTTCGTGTTCACTACATTAGCATTCAGAGAAATATCTATGACAAGTTTTGAAATAGTGACTATCAGCTATTCATATTTATCCGTAAATGTTTACAAGCAATCTTGCTCCTATGTTATCTCTTTTCAGTCAGTCAGTCAGCTACAACGTAGAACTAGGCATATATGTGCATCAGTCCAAGTTGCATATCAGGACATAGTACAGAAAGAAAGTTATGAAGCAATTTAATCTCATACTTTAAGGGAAAACAAAGAGTGTATCTTGGAATATTCGGTGTCTGAATTCCTTTGTAATCATCTTTTATTACTTTAAAGGATAGAGAAGGAAAAAAAGGAAAATATCATAATCACCTTGTTAATACTCCTAGAGTTCTCCAGTAATTAAATTTGTGACAGGTTGTTAACTTTTTTGAAAGTAGGTAAGTACAACCTGTTGGCAGACATAATTTTGATGGAGTTTTGTTCTCTGAGATGAATGGTTTGATCGTGGAGCTTTCACCGTTCTTCTGAACGAAATGATCAACACAAACTTCAGCTCGCTAACTAAAATACGTCTAAAACAGGTAGATTTACGACAATAAATTTAAACACAAGCCTGAATAAATATGATGACCTGGAAGCTTAAGCAATCTGTCACATATCGATCGTAGAGTCTGTGCCTTCCCAACTGGCTCATCCAATAGTCAGGTTTACCCTAAGTATATCTGATGCCTCCATTTAAGAATCATCTTTTTCAAAACTGCTTCTATATTAGCCTCTATAGCGTATGTATCTAGTACATATCTCAACCATCCAAACCAATGAACAATCCAGTGTTCCTTATCTCTACCTAAGAATCTATATTTCGCTTGAGGAGCATCATTTCTCTCAAGCTAACAGATACTGATTGTTAACAAGTGCCAACTAGTATAGAACATAAATCTAGGATACCCTAACCGTTATGAACGATTAACAAACAGTAGTAAATGTATTTTACCACTGATCCAATGATATAATCATATATTTTCAATGGGTATACTTGAATTGAATTAAACTGTTACTTATCATTGCAAAATTGAGCTTACATATATTAACATATAATACGGAATTCCTAAATCTGTTTTCTTTCTCAAGTCCACCAACAAATATATCATCTGATCAGCTTAAACGTTCACATAGTTGGGATCATTTAACACCTTCTGAAAAAGAAGAGCGTATTCGAATGAAATTAGAACAAGTTAGAATAACTGAGAAAGAACGAAGAAAAGCTGTTCTAGCTGCACGAAAACGTCAACGTGAAGCATTAAGACCTAAAGTATAATATATATACTTAAAGATAGCTTTATAATTTTTTATGGTATTACATTCTTAGACCTTAATAATTTAACTGTATGTATAAGAATATTACTTAATTAAAATTATCGATATGGGGATTTGTAGAGATTTCAGTATTTTAACAATTGAATTCACGAGTCCATCTAAGTTAAATCACCACTGAAGACCTAAAAGCATTGGAAAGCCGTTTCACCCTAGTATGGGACTCCTCAGCAATGCACATCCATATTCCCGACATTAACACTTTTAAATGCCAGAACATGAGACCAAAGGTCTTGGGTTCGAGTTTCGCATGTGCGTCATGAATGGGCACCGCTGAGGGGGTCCATACTAGGAAAAAATGGCTGTACAATACCCTTCGCACTCTCAGCCGTACCAGGGCATTTGGGGAGAACAGGAGAGTTGTTTCGTCTTATTATGAAACCCCTCAACATTGTTCATGCACTACCGAAATTGCAAGGATCGAATCAGAGAATATATTTCAGACGAGTGAAATTAATAAACTGGTAGAGTCAGCCAATTAGTAGTAAAAAATTGATAAGATCATTTTGCTAGTCGAACGAGACATTTTTTGAAGTCAGTCTAGAAAATACAACCTTAAAACTAGACCTGGTATTTTTATTCTTGAATTTTATTTTACAGTGATTGATCATGAAGTCAGATAAATATATCTGCATTATGTGGAACATAAGCAAGGTGCATTATCAGTTTTGATGGAACTGATACTCTCAGTGATGTTTAAACCCTTGCCATCCGTTTTCACAGTATAAGTTACAACTCAGCGATTTGTACCACGATTAATCACTCAACATTACAAGTATTGCACGTTGTATTACAACTTGATAAATAAGAATACTATTAGCACTAGTGACTTGACAACAACAACTAATTAGTATCAGTTATTTCAATAACTTATAAATGTTTTGTTTCAATATTGTTTTTTTATTTCAGAAACAAGACAGCTCATTATCAGGATTGGTCAAGTTAACCGAGGTTCGTTTTATTTGAATTTAAGTTGGGTCTTTTTTCAATAAATCCGACGCCTTTCTAACATTGAGAATTAAACACTGATAGGACATTGGGTTCAAAATTGCCGGTTATCAAGTAAATGTTCCTTGTTAAAATATATATATACGATACTTGGTAGTAGATGAAAACAACCGGCAGGCAGACTTACATTTCTACAAAAGGTCAGTTGCTGTTAGTATAGGGATGTGAATATTGTTGGGTTTTGATTGAAATCATAAATCGATCAATGTCAGACCACCATTGCAAACCTGGAAACACTAGACAGCCATTTCGTCCCAGTATAGGACTCCACAGCTTTGCGCATCAACGACCCTGCACACAAGGCTCGAACCTAACACCTTTGATCTCACTCGTGATTGCATAACGTCTAGACCACTGAGCCGGAATGCAACGGTGCTAAATTCTAACTTCAACCAATCCATGATATTGCTTGAGAGGCAATTCTCGGAGTTGTAGTGAGAAACCGTGACCAGTGGAGCTAGTCAATACTAAGTGTGAGATAGATACCCATCAATAGTAATGGTAGATGGTTGAAGTTAGACATTAACACTGTTGGATCCCGGTTCAGTGGACTGGAGGTTAAGGGTTCGTGCTCGAGATCTAAGGTGTGAGGTTTGAGTCTCTTGTACAGGGTCGTCGATGCGCAAACCTGAAGAGTCCCATACTAGGATGAAACCGCTGTCTAGTGTTTTGAGGTTTTCCATGGTGGTCTAGCTTCAAGTGACTCATGATCTCAACTATTGAAATTACTCCAATCTTCACAAAACCCCTTCGAATACCAAATGAATTTAAACTTCACTTCATTGCACAAGCAAGTGGATAACAGGACTCAGTATCTAAGTGGATAACGTGACAGCGTTTGGAGAAAATAGCACTGAGTTCGAGTCCCATAGTAAAAATCAACTCCGAGGTGCAGATAAATCCATCTGACGAGTCCAAAATAGAACAAAACGCGCGTCATGGATTCCACAGCTATCCATTATCCATCTTCGTTTAGAATAATAAATCGTTGGATCATTGTGAAGTTTAATCCACTGTAAACCGTATTTACACAAAATAAATTTTCTTAACATCAGTAGTTAATTGCTTAGCAGACTAATGTTAATGTTTTCATTATCTTTATCTACTTTTTTTCCATCTTTAATACTATTAGATTTCTGTATAGGAGAGGAATGAACATGTACAACATTTTTACTAGTTCATTGAATAGTCTACCTGTGATATATGAAATCTTAAACTTACTCTGTATTGTACATAATACTGGTGATATACATCTAATAATCTGATTTCCTTTACCGTTTTCTCATTTCAAGATTGATTTTATAATTATCACTCATAATATTGATTATTTTCATGTTGTTGATATTCAAGAGTGAATTTTGATCAATCTTTGTTAATAAGTGGACTCATTAAAAAAATCTGAATGACTACATCGCTAGATGTTTTGAATATCAACAATAAAATAAAAACAGAAAGTATTTCAACAAGTTTCCATTTCTTAGTTCTTGATCAATCCTGACGATAAATATTAATTGATTGACAGTTAAAAGTTAGCAGTCCAATCGATCGTCATCTAAATAATGTACATTCTTTTGGTTGCATATTGCCAGCAACCAAGATATTTCTGATTGGGCATCTTGTAACTTGTACAACGTAAGGTTGTACACTTTTCAGAAACTCACTTGAATAGATTATGTGATTAATAGCCATAATGATGTATCCGCGAGCAGGATCGTTGATGCGCACTGCTGATGAGTCATACAATGGGACGAAACGGTCGTCCAGTGCTTCCAGGTGTTCCTTGGTGATTTAACTTTAATTGACTCATGAATTCAACTATTAAAGCAAACAAAACTAGATAATTTTTGAAATATCTAAATTCGGAAACAGGTAACCCAGACGTTCTAATTTTTTCTGATCTTATTTATGTTGTTATATCAAGAATTCAACGTGTTTTTTTCTCAAATGTCACTAAAATTATTCACATACATAATTACAAACAATGAAGTCTGATAGCTAATTGATCTTTCTGCAAATAAAACTAAATGGTCGGACACTTTGAAATACATTCTGGTGATTTCAACTAGAAGAATAACGAGAGTTTTAGTCAGTATAAGGTTGCGGAGTTTATTAAGTTATTGATTGAGATCTTCAACCAATTGATGTTAGACCACCATTGAAAACCTGAAAGCACTGAACGGCCGTTTCGTCTTAGTATGGGACTCATCAGCAGTGCGTATCCACGATCCCGCCTCACGAGATTCGAACCCAGAACCAATCAGTTTAGCGCACGAGCTCTTAACCACTAGATCACTAAGCTGGCTGGCATTCAACAGTGTTATTGTCTAATTTCAATCAATCTACGTTTTCCATGTTTGTCTAGCTTTAATTGACTCATGAATTCAACTATTAAATTCTTATAATATCCACAAAAACCCTTTTATGAATATAATTTGTTTTGTTATTGTTAATGTTCACAATTCTTTTTATTATCTACATTCAAGTCTGATGAAGAAACTCGATTAATAAAACAAACAGAAAATCAGTTAGAATCACAATCAAGAAGAATATCAAATCAAGTATTCAACTTGAAATCTATGCTTGATAATAAATTGTAAGTAGTATATAAACACAATATTGTAATTTCTCTGTTTTAGAAAGTTTATAGGCCAGAATATAAATTATAAGATATGATCCTTTAATGTGACTAGATAGATTGTACATAATACCATTTCAGATTGCTTAATATGGAAGTAGTTATATTGTAATAAACGAGAACACAAATGGGGACAATCGGATGTTTCTGAATATAAAATTACTGAATACCTCAGTAAAATCTGAGAACCATACAGTAAATACTTCGTTTGCAAAATGTCAATAAATCATCTCAGGATTCATTGTTCTTTCGTTTCCACGTTAATCTCCCTCAGTTCTCGTTGTCTTTTTTTTTAATCTACTTAACGTTCTGCCTCCAGGCATTTCACTTTAGATTGCCCCCAAATGCCCTGGTACGACTGAGAGTGGGTAGAGTCAGTTCTCCCACTATCTCTCGAACTGCTCTCACATGACCACGGGCATACAATCACTACCACGGAAGTCCTACTCACTGCCTTCTCGTGACTATGTTGTTGTTTACGGCACTTTAACTGGGTTGGCGGATATGGAGGATCCACCTAATGGAGTTGGAAAACCCTGATTCCAAACCAGTGGTGTACATGGGCTCCAGAATCATAAGTGAATAAATGGTGTATGAACCAATTAGGACTGCATCTCCTGACGTTGCTCCACTGTCTTGTGGATCAAACTTTTAGGCCGAAGGCTCCGGTTATGGCCTCCTAAGAAAACCACCTGTTTCGGTTTGGGCACCCGAACAGCATTGCAGTCCTTACACTAATCAAATGACTTATGTTGCGCATATCTATTTGCTGCCTTCTTGTTCCAATGTTTATGTGTTTAAATAAAATAAAATAAATAAATAACATATCTGTCGAGATCAGTAACACACACCTAAATATTACCTTGTCAGAATATCGACTTAATCGCCTTTATTTCCTATAGGACCAGTGACCTCATTATCTAGTATCGCAGCAACCCTCTCTAAATCAATATCTCAATTATTGTGAATACTGATTAATGAATCTTAAGGCTCATTGAGTTATGAGGCCCATTTAATCAAAAGATGAAGACAGCGAGCAGATTATTACTCTATTTTACCCTACACATTCATAACTCAAAATTCATATCACAATATATATCGAACACCTGACGGCTAAGCAACACAAGTTAGCAATTACAGTGTGTGCATAACTCAATCATAACTGATATAAAACGGAGCAAAATGATAATTTAATAATGGCAAATTTCTGCTCTATCCTCGTCTACCATTCTTATACTTAAAACAACAAGGAACCATTACAATTACCTATGATGCGAAGTACTAATACCAAGACTGGTACAAGTGAATATTTATTAAACTCCAGACATAACGATAACCCTAGTCGAAAATACACTCTTTTATACATTGATCGTACACCCATTTTAATAATTAATGGTGAGACTATAATTTATGGACGACCTTTGAGCGATGTTAAAGTGACCTTAAGAATGTCAACCTACTGACTAGGGCTAAATGTGGGTTATAAATCAGTGTGGAGAATTAGAATTATGATTTACAGTTGATGGTTAGGGTTAGGCATTAGATTTGAGGTTTTCATCACGAACTGACATCAGTTAAAATGCCACAAACGCTATTTAGCCAAATTGTAACACATGTAATCATTAGTCACTGACAAGCGGGGAAGACCTGAAAGCACAACACACAGTGTTAACCGAGCACTTCACACCAAGAGAGAGAACACGGAAAATTCGCGGGTTATGTACAGAAGGGAGAGCTAGTTTACAAAACAGTCTTATGAGTCATCCTGTAGGTTCAGTGCATGCAGAGCTTGTTCTTCTTCTTCTAAAGCATTTATTCTTGGTTGCCCTGCAATAGAAAGAAAACAGAATCTATTAATAACACCATATATGATGATTTAACCCCGTTACAACGTGAATGAATGAATTTCGCGCCGAAATCCTGGACCTGTTTTCTTAAATCTGGTTGGTTCATCCATACATTATAGTCTCACCATTTTATCGAACAGAATATCACATTGAAAAACAAAAACAAATATTATCCTCAACAATCATCATATTGAATAAGAAAACGGAATTAATTTTAAGCAAAAAACACAATGAATTAAAAATGTCATTTCACCTTCTTATCCCATTACACTGAAAACAGTAAAACACGTATTTCTTTAAAAAAAAATTAATAGAAGTAAATATCAATAAATTAAATAGTTGAATTCATGAGTCAATTGAAACTAGACCACCATGGAAAACCTGGAACCACTGGACGACCATTTGTCCTATTATGGGACTCCTCAACCGTGCCCACCCATGATCTCATCTCGTGGGATTCGAACCCAGGACCTATCAGTTTCTATGTGGACTGATTGTGCATGAACTCCTTCTCTGTCTATAATCTGATTCTTCCTTGTCAATCGGATATTGTATCCGTGTATACCATATGATCTAGAACAATTTAGTGTCCCCAGTTGGATTAATCAATTGACTATGTGATAATATCCTATCTCTATTCTGAAGTATGATTGTGTTGTCACAAGCATTACAAGATTCCGTCTTAATCAAACTCATAACATACACCTACATTATTAATTTAGTTGCGATTTTGTTCACTAACTTTTTTTGTGGTATACTGAGCACTATTTTGTGTTTTCATGAATTTACATGTTACCATGGCAACAATAAACACATAGATTAATTTCAATGTTTCAAGAATGGCTTAAAACATTGGACCAATCAGAATTCAATTATAATTCATCAAATAATTTAGCATTTATTTTAGAAGTAAATCAATATTTAACAATAACCAAAAATCAATTAAATATGGAAAAACTTAAACAGCGAATCGATAAAGCAAATTATATTTATGAGTAAGTTACTTGGATTATTTATTAATCAATATCAAAATCAATTCAAGATGCTGTCATCGTTTATGATTAATTAGATAAACAATGTTAACAAATTCAAATTCTGATGGATTTTTGTTCTTTGAGTTGGATGGTTTGGTCATGGAGCTTTAGTCGTTCTTCTGAAAGACATCATCAGCAGCACAAACTTCAGATAGAAGTGGTGTTTGAATTTCTCCATATGTGTTTCACAGCTTGTTCTGTGCACCTCGATGTTGATTGGTTATTGTTGACCCTTAACATGTTATTGTTTACTTCTTTGTTTTGATTGTATCTTCCATTGGTTTGATTTTTGTTCCTATGTTTGTACATAATATTCCTGTATAAATTTCCTGACCAGCCGTACTCATCATCAGAAACAAAGTCAAGTACAGAAATCAATAAAAGGATCACTCTACCATACATAAAAGGCATATTAGAAACGACAACAAGACTGCTGAAATCCTTCGGAATAGGTGTTGCACACAAACCAACGAAATCCCACAATTAATCCTATGGTAACCAAAGGATGAAATGATAAAAGAAGACAAATCAAACATCATCGACAAAATAAATTATGCCAAGTGCGAACAACACTACATCGGACAAAGTGGACGCCCTCTTCACCTTCGCCTGAATGAATATCAATTAGCAGTCAAACGCCATGACATGTCCTCACTCATATCAATGAACATGGACAACTGCAGATACACACTCGACTGGAAAAATTTGGACATTTCGGATAGAGACAATTCCAAAAACACCACAGAATTTTTACAAGCATCGCACTCAGCTCAATCAGTAATCAACAAGCACGTTCAAATCGATCCAATTTATCAACCAATCACGAAAATTATGCACATGCATAGGAACAAAAACCAAACCAATGGGAGATACAACCAAAACAATGAAGTAAACAACGACAGGTTTAAGGTCAACAATAACCAGTCAACATCGAGATTACAAGACAAGTTGTTAATCACATGTGGAGAAATTTGAACACTTCATTTCTATCTGAAGTTTGTGCTGCTGATGATGATGTCGTTGAGAGGAACGGTGAAAGTTCCACGACCAAACCATCTAGATGAGAGAACAAAAGTCCATCAAAATCATCCAACTGACCACAAATCTACTCCATCATCTCAAATTCAAATTCAGATTTGTGTAGTAAGGACAGAAGGCCTACAGCCTATGTTATTTCTTTTCTAGTATACCTCTGTGAGTGTTTAGTCTTCTCTTGAATTAGTTAGTTGAATGAGCGGACACCACTGCTTCAGGTAACAGGTTCCAAGAATTGATGCCTCGGTGTGAAAACCTGTATTTCACGGGTAGTTTGTTCATTCTTGGCTTTTCTACTCACCTGCCATGTCCTCTGAGATGTCCCGATCTTGTGGGAAGAAAAAGAGAGAATATATTAGGTTCAAAATCATTGCTTAGTATTCTATGCATCAAAATCAGATCACCCCTTAATCTGCGATAAGACAGAGAAAAGAGGTCTAGTTTTTAAAGCTACTTTTTTGTATGGTAAACTCCGGAGTTCTGGAATAGCACGAGTAGCCGCCCTCTTTACTTTTCCGAGGATATCCGAGTCACCTTTCAAACAAGGGCTTGCAGCCTGAACGCACTTTGCAAGTTTGGTTCTCACTAATTTTATTTATACTGTAGTCAAATGGTAGTATCTTACTTGATGAATACTCGTCTTAAATTCCATAGGGTTGTAAACCCCTTATCTGCAACCTCCCGACAATGAGCTCCGGTCTCAAGATCATGACTCACTGTCACCCCAAGATCCTTGTGAGACCGAAACACGAGTACAGGCACTTCCCCTATGCTGTACTTACTTACATTCCAAAGCTTACAATTTAATAACGTGAGAAGTTTAGTGATCGATATTTGATAGATTGATCCAACTATCCCTTAGATTGGCTCTCAAGTACCTATTTTCATCGACAAAATGGTCGATGCTGACATTCAAGGCTTATCGCTAAGATTTTCGAGATCTTTTTTCCTGAGCCACAAATAAGCAATTCAGATGAACAAAGATTAGTTTTTAGGACTTGAAATATTAGTTTCTCAAACAATTGATCTCAAACGTCTCATAAAATTTACAGTTTAAAAGAGTTAACATGGGACCGATTCTCCATATATATATATAATATATATAATATATATATATATTATATATATATTATATATATATATATATGCATGTGTTCGATAGTTTTAAATGGGTCACTTTAAATCTCACACCTTTCAGTATACTTAACCGTTTCATTTTTTACAGATTGATATCCGCTTGAAAACTATCAGAAAGCAGGAAACACTAGACAGCTATTTCGTCCTGTTATAAGGTTCCCAAGCAGTATGCTTTCATAACCTCTCCAGAGATCAAACCTAGGACATTCAGATCTCTTAGAAAGCACCTAACCAGTAATCTTAGGCGTTTTTAGCTCAGAAGTAGACAAATTGATAAATTTTCTTTAACTGAACAACTATATCACAAAATAATCTAGTTGAACACTGAGGGAATTTTCTCCTACATAATTACAAAATCCAATTGTTAACAATAACTAGTATAGGGGTTGTGGAGATTATTAAGTTTTTGATTGAGATCATGAGCCGATTGATGTTAGACCACCTTTGGGAACCTGGAAGCACTGGACGGCCGTTTCGTCCTATTTTGGGACTCCTCGGCAGTGAACATCCACGATCCCGCCAGCGGGATCCGAAGCCAGGGCCTTCGGTCTCGCGCGCGAACGCCTGACTTACTGGACCACTGAGCCGGCATCCAACGGTGATAGCGTTTAACATCAGTCGTGACCGGTGGAGCTAATCCATGTCGGGTAGAGACAGGTATTTACCTCAGTACAATGGAAGTTGATCGCGCAATTTCGTGGATTGGTTGATGTTAGACACTATCACCATTGGATGCCGGCTCAGTGGTTCAATAGGTTAGGCGTTCGCGCGCGAGGCCGAAGGCCCTGGGTTTGAATCCCGCTGGCGGGATCGTGGATGTTCACTGCTGAGGAGTCTCAAGATAGGACGAAACGGTCATCCAGTGTTAACAATAAACTGGATGGTCTGTTGTACTAATGTTTTAGGTACACCATGCATGAACTAATAACATTCATAAATTCTGAGTCTGGTAGCGTCTAATGCTACACACCAATTCTCAAAATGTAAACTTTATATGGTTTTAAACCAAAAAATATGATTGATAGCACTGACAAAATGAATCATTTTCTTGTTATAATTTGTTAGTAATTATCTACGTATATCATGTGAAAAGCCAATAGAATTGCCAGAAAAATTTATCAAACGATTAGATCAAGAAAAAGATCGTCCAACATCAGCTACATTAAAAGGCCTCCGAGATCATCATTTAAACAATCTCTATTCCTTGTTTAATGAATTTTTAAATGTAAGTTAACTTTTTTTTATTAAAACCACTTATCCATTTGTAAAGAATAAAACCTCACTCAAACTAAATGTCAGTATCTAGTTGATTTATTCTATTTCCATAGACACATAATCTAGGCCCGAGCGATGAAGCCTCTAATTACACTATGAATATATATATACAACGAGTTATTTTATTTGTTTGAATCATCTTCAGTTGTTCATGTAACAACAAATAGAAATCAATCTCAGAGAGCTTCTTGGATCACACTTGTATACTACTCAAACAATATTAAGTAGCAATGACAGCTAAAAACCCGCTGTCTATGTGTTCTGAAATTTATATTAGGTTATCAAAAAAGTACAGGTTTTTACAAACATTTGTATATGCAAGATACTCCAGATCCGTTGGCCAGACACTGTCAATAACAACGTACTGTAGCAGAAAATAAACTGGCCTCTACCTGAAGAGAAAATTGGGATAAGACGCTGGAATTAGGTAGGACACATATTGTTGAAATAATGAAACTGCAGTACAAAGTAAGCCCAAACTTGAAATCCTGAATGTAAGATGAAGAGGTAGACCAATGAACACATTGCACCGGGAATCGCAGACAGACTTCAAAAGAGTGAATAGTATATGGAAACAACTAGAAAGGATAGCCCAGGACAGAGTTGACCAGATATTTCTTGTCGGTGCTCTATGTTCCATGAGGAGTTACAGATGTAATCTATTACCTCCGATGACTAATTAATGTAAACTTTTCTATCAAAATGAAGGTTAGTTGCAGGGTGACATTTCTACCTTCAACCCAATACTTACTTACTTTACTTACTTACGCCTGTTACTCCTCGTGAAGGAGCATAGGCCGCTCAACAGCATTCATCATCCAACTCTGTCTCAAGCAATCCTTTACAGCTCTTTCCAGTTGTTATTCATGCTTTTCATATATTCTTCTATTATCCGATGTAATGTGTTCTTTGGCCTTTCTCTTTTCCGCTTCCCTTCAGGACTCTAAGTTATGGCTTGCCTCGTGATGCAGTTTGACGATTTGCGTAATGTATGTCCTATCCATTTCCATCGTCTTTTCCTAATTTCCTCTTCAGCTGGAAGTTTGTTTGTTCTCTCCCGCAGTAGGCTGTTACTGATGGTATCCAGTCAACAGATGTTGAGTATCTTGCATAGACAACTATTTATAAATACTTGTACTTTCTTGATGATGTTTGTAGTAGTTCTCCAAGTTTCAACTCATTTTATTGACAATCTACCAAATTGAGTTTACATCAAATGTTTTTTTTTCTCTTCTAAATCTTTGAATATTTTTTTTCTTCTTTAGGTAACAGCTAAAAAGCTTGGTTTATCAGTGTCTCAACTTTGCCAAATGCCTGAAATTGAATTAGCCCCATTAGTTGTAACTCCAAAAACACTTAGTCAGGCTACAGAAACAAAACAGGTAATATTATTTCTTATTTATTAAATGTTTTCAGTGTTTGTGGTAAATCCTGAGACATTTCATTTTCTTTAACTGTTATTGATAAGTCTTGAAAATTGAACGCTATATTCGTCTCCTAAGCTATTTTGTAACCCCCAAGCTAGAACTATACAGCGACCTGAACACAAGAGAGAAGACGCAAAGTATGCGAGAAAATACTTTACTCCAAGGTTCACTTTTGTACAAAAAACACGGGTATTTATAGATGTTAACATTTGTTAAATAAACATCATATTTTAGCCAATCCGCTAAAAGACATATAATGCTACTGACCAATGGTAGTACGCCACGTTGACATTCTAGAAAGATCCATCATGCTCTGATTGGCTAGGACTCTTTGGCTCCTCTAGGGCCTCTGGAGGCTCCGTTGCAGTTCTCGGAAAGCCGACTCAACATTTATCTTCATCAATTTCTTGTCCATTATTCATTCAGAACATTTTCGGTTAAAAATTCTTTGTCTATAATCTGATTACATAACTTTTTGATTCTATAAACATTTTCATGAACTGAATACGTACTGAATGATTTTTAGTAGTGTTATATTCCGATGAACTCCGCACGGAGTCCCTCCGGGGGCTACTATCGGTTCCAAGCCCGGATAAAGGAGAAGGGTTGGGCGTGGGGTTAGCAACCCCATCCCGTAGAAAACTAACTCGCTAAAAAAACGCTAACCAGAAAAAAATTATTCAACCTATATCCCGATGAGAATTATGAATGGTAACTGTTGGGATTCATTTATGGATCAATATGATACACATATTTTTATTATATAGTTGTTAAGTGGCTAAACTATGCACATTCATATTCCTCTTATTATAAGCTTTATATTGACCTATAGACTATTATCAGACGATTTACCGTTGTTGAGTTATGCCCAGTCTATTAATTACAGTCTCCCATAATCACAACCATTTTTAGGCTAGATCTTGTAAAAATGTTATTTTTCTATTTTGTGGAGTGATGTGGTCTGTTTGGTTTGTATATAAACCCAGCTAGTTTGAAATACATGATTCATATCTCGGAGGCTGAGATTGGTGTTCTGAACTTTAACAGGCATGGCTAGGAATGAAGAAGGACCTATGGAAACTATAGACTTCCCGTACGCGTTTACAATTCATTGGTTCGGTCAACAAATCACTGTTCTCTAACTGTCGTTATATATTAATAGGGCTAATAGGCCACAAGTTATAACAAGTAGAATTTGTAAAACTGAATATTTTTCCTCCCTTTTGTGTACTTTATTATAGCCATTCTTAAGAGGTCACATTCATTCTTTTAAAAAAATTTAATCCCCATGGCTTTTGCAATAGAAGTATAGCTATGTACTAAAATCATAAGAACGAAAATGTAAACGTACATTATATACAGAATAATTCGGTATGAAATCACTAAAACTCGTAAAATTACTCTGACATTATTAGTAGTATGAATAAATTCATCAGATCAGAAATATCTTATATACTTACTTACTCCTGTTACTCCCAATGGAGCATAGGCCACCGACAAGCATTCACCAACCCACTCTGACCTGGGCCTTTCTTTCTAGTTCGATCCAATCGTTGCTCATTCTTCTCATGTCTGTCTCCATTTCTCAGCGTAATGTGCTCTTTGGTTATCCTCTTTTCCTTTCGCCCTGAGGATTCCAAGTGAGGGCTTGTATTATGACGCAGTTGGGTGTTTTCATCAATGTGTGTCCTATCCACTTCCAGTGCTTCTTCCTGATTTCTTCGTCCACTGGAATCTAGTTTGTTCTCTCCCACAGTAGGTTGTTGCTAATAGTATCCGGTCAACGGATCCAATGTATTTTGCTTAGACAGCTGTTAATAAACACTCGCAAAATGTGAATCTCCCAAGTTCTAAAGTCATGAGGAAAAACTGTTAAACCCCCCCCTCCGCCCAAAGCATAATATGAGAAACGTTCAATGATTGACATTTCCCATTACTTTTACCGTTTATGTCAATTATAACAAGGTTTGTATAAATATCAAACTACACTAGATCATTGATATACATTGACTACTTATATTTATTTATTAACTAAATCTATAAATTTAGAAATTTTCTATTAGAATGAGACCAATGTTAGAAGATAAAGAAGAATTATCAAAATTATTAAAACGTGCAGCTTTTCAACCGCCTGATTTTAAATTAATATTATTCTATCAGTATTTAGTTGATTATGGATTCAAAGAAAATTGTCCATTAATTGATCAAGATTTGATATTTCATATTGAGATTTTACGTTTTGAAGTAAGTTAACTTCTATTAGTTGAATAAATCACCTTTGATTCGGTAATAATAACCATGGAAAACTCGCAAGCACTAAACGGTTGTTTCATCCTGGTATTGGACTCCTCAGCAGTGAGCATCCACGATCCTGCACCACGAGTTTCGAACCCACGACCTATCAGTCTCACGCGCGAACGCTTAACCTCTAGACCACCGAGCCAGCCGGCATCCAACAGTGTTAATGTCAAACCTCAACCAATCAATGAAATTGCACCACCTTCTACTATTGTCTTCAATGAGTTACTATCTGACAACAGGTCAGGTTGAACTCCACTGGTCACGGCTTCTCATTAGAACTCCAGGAAATAACTCTTGAAGACAGTTACTAGTGCTTCCAGGTTTTCCATGGGGGTCTAGCTTCAACTGACTCATGAATTCAATTATTAAGTTATTATTATTGTTATTATTATTATTTGAAGCAGTTAGTCCCTTTGATAAATTTTGATAGTGTAATAAGAAGACGAAGATTGATTATCAGAACTATGTGATATATTAGCGTAATACATCTCGAACAATCTGTTATATAAAAATAAAAGGTCAATTAGACTAGAAACGAAGGGTAAAAGTAGACAAAGATAATAAAGAAAGTAATATGAAAAACAATTTGGAACCTGATCATACTGGATAATGAGTTAATATTAGCAGGGTACGTTTAAGGTGAGAACAAACTGTTTTTGTATACATGAAAGTGGGTTTGGCTAAGGCTTCAATAAACCTTAGTATACGCCCCTTTACACCTTTGTGCAACATCAAAAAAAGCCGAGTTAAGATCAATCATATGGCCTGTTTCAATGGAGGATGATGAATGTTTATCCTCTACTCTTATTAGATCATTTAATTTTATTTGTTTATGCAACCATTTAGGTACATGTTCACACACCCTAATTTTGAGATCGCAATTATTCCTCCCTATGTGTGTATGCGTGATCAGATTGTTCAAAATGTATTGCGCTAATGGATCCACATAGTTCTGATAATCTTCGTCTTCTTATTACATTATCGAAATTGATTATTATGAGATGGTGGAGAAGATTTGCAGCTCAGGTGGATGATTTTGATGGACTTTTGTTCTCTCAGCTAGATGGTTTGGTCGTGGAACTTTCACCGTTCTTCTCAACGACATCATCATCAGCAGCAGCACAAACTCCAGATAGAAATGAAGTGTCTAAATCTCTCCACATGTGATTAACAACTTGTCTTGTAAATCTCGATGTTGACTGGTTATTGTTGACCTTAAACCTGTCATTGTTTACTTCATTGTTTTGGTTGTATCTCCCATTGGTTTGGTTTTTGTTCCTATGCATGTGCATAATTTTCGTGATTGGTTGATAAATTGGATCGATTTGAACGTGCTTGTTGATTACTGATTGAGCTGAGTGCGATGCTTGTAAAAATTCTGTGGTGTTTTTGGAATTGTCTCTATCCGAAATGTCCAAATTTTTCCAGTCGAGTGTGTGTCTGCAGTTGTCCATGTTCATTGATATGAGTGAGGACATGTCATGGTGTTTGACTGCTAATTGATGTTCGTTCAGGCAAAGATGAAGAGGGCAATTCACTTTACTTCTGTCTGAAGTTTATATTGATGATGTCGTCCAGAAGAATGATGAAAGCTCCACAACCAAACCATCCAGCTCAGAGAACAAAACTCCATCAAAATTTATTATATATTATTATTATTATTATTATTATTATTATTATTATTATTATTATTATAACCGTATAGTTACTTTCCAAACACATACAAATACATTCTTCCTCTTTAATGTCTCACATACACCTTTGTTTCTAGAAAAACGGTCGATAGCATTTGTAACCCAGATTATTGTCGCTTTAACGGATAAAAATTGAAAGATCTTTTAAGTAATCATTAGGAACTCGACAATGAATATTGTACGAAGTATGTTAAACACCTGAACTTTATGTTTTATTCTATACTGTTTATGGTACCAGAAAAAGATTTTAATCCCTCACATTAGAGGTAAGAGGACAATTCACCTTCAACATATGTTTTCTTTATAGTAAAATATTCAAACTAGAGCAAAACAGTTGTTGAGTACTATCTTAGTGTTTAGTTCCCTGCTTGATTAACGCAGAATACGGTTTACGACTATGACACTCAGACGTGGGAACTTGACCGTCGCAAATCAGAAAGCAGATGAAAAGCTGAAGAAGTGTTTATTTGGTAAGAGTCGAAATGTACAGAAAGTCACGGGTATTTATAGATATTAGCATTTATTAAATCAACATTATAATTCGGCCAATCCGTAAGGAGACGTATTACGCTACTGTCCAATAGTAACATTCCACGTTGGTATTCTAGAAAGCTCCATCATTTCTGATTGGATGGAAACTTTTCGGCTTCATAAGGGCATCTGGAGATTCCGTTGTAGTTTTCGGAAGCCGACTCAACAATTAACATTTAAACGCCTAACTACAATGTGAATCTTATTTAATTTATTTCATCAAGTAATATTGTTTCATAAAAGATATACTAAGAACCTCTGTACAAAAAGACAATGAGAACTCAACCTAAGAAAGTCACATTCATTCCCTTATCCTATAATAGGAAAGTTCAGTTAAAGATTACCGGTATTTTCGTCATGTTACATTCATCTGAATGCATTAAACTAATTTAGCGTTAGAGTAATTCGATACACAAAAGAGCCTATTACTTAGGCTAAAATCTTTTTTATTCGATGATACAAAGACTAGGAGTGAAACCTCATCGGTTGTTCTGTGACCTTTATTTTAATGATTAATTAACCATTTATCATTTGGTAAGTTATACTATCTTGAGCCAGTTGGCTAATATTTTTGTTATCTGCTCTCTGTTGAAATGAAAGCTGGGGACAGGTTCTGTCAGTAACATATGTGTTTGGCCAGAGATTCATATCTTCTTTACTAAATCTACATATTCAAATATATATTTAGCACTGCGGTTCACTAAGTTTCGATGTAACAGTCTCAATGATTTCACCAGCCACTTTACTGTTGAGTGCTACTGTTAGTTTAGCATATTCAGAATTGGACATAATGGAGTTCCTTGTTCGTGAACTTTGGTTAAGCCATAAAGTCTTCTTCTAAATTCTGTAAAAGAAAGTTTTCAGAAACTTAGTTCGTGCGTTTGTTGAAAAGATTGGGCAGAGGGCTCAAGTTTAAATGTCATTAACTATTATTGAAACATGATATTTTTTAATCAATTAATATATTTTCTTCGGGTTCGATCTTTATATGTAACTGTCAGGTATTTTGATTATGGAGGTCCCTTTTGATGATTCTGGCCTATCGATTATCTTGATGATAACTTACAGAGTTGATATCAGGTGCATTATTGTAGTACACAAAATACTGGAATGGTGTTTATAGGGATGAAAACCATTACTACCCAGCAATGAACTGGTGTATGACATCTCAATCTTCGGTGAGACTATAATTTATGGACGACCTTTGAACGAATCTTAAGTGGCCTTGAGAAATATTAGCCAATCAGAAAGCAGTTAGTATAGAGTAAAAATATATTGCACAAAATCAAAGAATTAAAGTGAATACATTTCTTTTATATGGTTGAAAACTTGTCAAGGTTTGGAATAGGTTCAGAGATTCTAAAGTCGTAATACATACGGCAGAGGAAATCATCCATATTGGCTCCATAATAGTCGGCCTCTGGAGTCATGATAAGGTCGTGAAAACTCTTACAGTCCCGAACACATCGCTTCAATATTTTTTGTGTACACTCCGGTTATTGGGTCCACAAAATGCCGCTTGTGGAAGACGACCTGATGCACATAACAAAGTCTATGTAGGCATCTGTACGCCCTCCAATCATCCGTATATATTGTGGTGCCCGGGTGCAGCCAGTGTTATTAGTGCTCTTAATATCCAGTTCTGAACAATCGCATCATTTGCCTTAGTCTCAATCTGGATTGAGCGAAAAAATCCTATTCTAGCAGACTACTTCTTCCAACACATATTACATCGAAAGACAACATCACTATGATAGTTTGTACAAGGTCCACAAGTCATTTGATTACCACAATCACTACGTTTTCCCTAAAATTCCGCTGCGAATCGATCGTATATGAGCATGAGGTAATAAAATTTTGCACTGTGACCCTAAAATCCCTCAAACGCTTCTGATTGGCTTGTCCATAAATTATAGTCTCGCCTCTTAAAGTTATGAATTTAATTTCATAGGGAAATGGAGCATATTACTGCTGAGAATTTATGGTTAACACCTTACTTGGAATGATTTTACAAAATGTCATATTAGTCAATAAGAACTATTCTCGCAATGTTTTCTCCTTATGTGTACACATGTGAAATACTACTTAATGACAGTTTTCATTCATATCTTAATTTCATTATAGGAACTTCATCGTGGTCATGTTGAACATAATTTAATAAGGAAAAAGGTTTTATGTATTTTGCAAACATTTTTAGAATCTGTTTTTCCACCACAAATTCAAGTAAGTCAATTAATTATAAGTGTATTATAAAATGAAGTACTTTTCTTTTGCAAGAGCTCTTGTTAACTTTAAATCACTATGATGAAATGATATACCAACTTAAATTGACGTACACATATGCTTGACTATATTGTGATGTAGAACAGAAAGAAGTACCTTGGATACCGTTACTGTTCTACATCATGATATAGTGTTCAGATTGGAAAAGTGTAAGAAATATGTTTGATGCACTTTTCAGGATTATACTTTTGCTTTTGATTCTATCCCAAGACAACTTTTACTTAATAAGTTAATCAGCGTCAACACTGACAGCTGGATAACCAACTGACTATTGTCTTACCTCTCTGGAAGAGAACAATACACTATGTTTGGAGGTAAATGTTCAACGTCTCTACTGTCTCATTAAGATTTGCCACAAGGAGCTGTTCTTTCCCCTCTTCATTTCTCCTTTTTTCTACATGATCTGCCAGCTTCCACAGAAAACATTTTTGTGAAATATGAGGACGATTTCACTGTATATATGCCGATTTCTACCTCTCTACATCTCATAAAAATGAATGGGTTTTTGTCTCGTATTGATTGTTTGTCTGTTGGTAATGGTCTCATACTTAATCCGTCTAAATGTCAAGCTGTTAACTTTAGCCTAGGACATGAACACCACCTACACACCATGTTGCGATCCCATAATGCTTGTACGATTGAAGATTTTTTGATAAACGCAGTGTCGAAGGTCAATTATCTTAGTGTTACCCTTTCCTCTGAACTCTCTTGGTCTTCTCATGTTTTACTGTTATCCATCTGACTCACTACATAAAGAGGCTACATACTTCTGGGATTACTCGACATTTACTTTTACAATTTGTCAATTCTTGCATATTACCTATCATTCTTTACTGTTCTCCATTATTCTTTCCCCGACTTTTGAGAAAAGACTTTGCTGCATTGTGGAGAGTGCTGAAGGCAGTTAGCAGAGTGTGTGATGAATCTTTTGAGGTCATTATTAATATGGTTGTGAAAAGACATCTAAAGTCTTGTAAACTGATGGCAGGTGCTGTCTTATCAGATACTAACCATCCTCTTCATTCATATCTTTCTTCTTGTATGTCTTCTGGTAGAACGAGATGTCAATACATCAAAATCCATACACTCAAGCAAGGGTATAAAAGCTCTACTATACCTTATCTAGCAAATATACTCTGTGATGAACAGGTTGTTAAAGTTGACCTAGTCAATAACCTGTATTATTAACCATGCCTCTAATTTGAAAAGTTGTACAGATTCAGATTTCTTTCACCCTTTCCTTCTTTCAATTTGCAAAAGAAACTTGTTGAAATACCTCGTGCTGAAAATTCCATATTGTACCGAAATATAATATTGAATAAAGCCATTAGTAATAATAATAATAACTGTCTACTGCCAATTCATACCAGAAGATACTGTTGAATGCAGTCGAGAGGGAGTCTAATCGATCATAAAAATCAACCCAGTAATTTCTCATGAGAAAACCAATACTCCACTGTATTTCTGTCTACTAATCACTTTAAAAGTTGCATCTATAACTACTGACTTATCAGCGTGAATGAAGTATTTACCTTTAACCAGGTTAAGCTTTAAAATATTTAATTACACAACTCCTTGATATACATCCAAGAACATTCTGCACCAACCTTTGTTCTTACTCTCTTTAAAATGTCCCTCTGTTTTATCGATATTTTTAATGGTGTAGATTGATAAAGGTAAGGGGTCAAAATGTAACTAGAAGTAATTAATGTAGAATTATGGTCTACTTTGTTATTATTACTGCTCTAATAATAGACTTAATCCTAAAATTGTAGATCTGTCATGACGTAACCGCCTAATCTATAAGATCTTACGTGAAAGTCACATCATTGTCTACCCTGACTCATCGTATTGTAACAATCATCAATCTATGATGAAGAACACATTTAGGCCGGAGATAGAACAATATATTTAATCTGGATAAAAATTATTTTGCATAAGTATAACCACGCCTTCAAGGCCGAGCCATGCCATCTGATGAATTCAATTTCGAATGAATGTTACCACGTCCGCCTTTATTGACCTTCTCTTAGTGTTACATATTGAAAGTCTATTTTCCCAGTTATCTCATGTTCAGCTTTGAGGATTGTGGTTAGAAACCAATGCCACTACATTAACAACTACCTTTCATATTGGGTAAACTTTCTAAATACTAATAGTAAAAATAATAATGTATTCATTCCCGTTTTACTTTATAATATGCCGTTTCATTTTCAGATTGGACTACCAAACGAAGTTATTAATCGATTAGTTGGAAGAATACATCGTCAAACTGATCATAAAGGTCCTATAAGTTTAAACTTATTTGACGAAGCAGTTAGGTTAACCTTCAATGAAATTTTACCATTTTGGGCTGGATTCAAAAGAAATATTTTATGTAAATCAGGCAGCACACAATCACGAATCCAGTCGACAATGAAATCGGATTATCAGCAAATACATGGAACACCTTGGTTGTCTAGTCCATTGAGTAAGTGTTGTTGTTTTTTTTAAGCGATTTGCATACTATAGTTTGGGAGAAGTTATATTATAGAGATGAACTTAAGCGAATGTTGAAGTAGTTCGGGGAACTTTTACCTCACTCCTCTCTCTCTCTCTCTGATTTTCCAGACCAATTCTTCTGGATAATAATTTGTCATTCATTTCCTGTAATTGGTGGTGTAGCGCTAGAACCGCCTAAAATACAAAATAGATTCTTACTACTTCTTAAAATTACTTGTGTTTTTAGAGTCAAAAATAATTGCCCAATAATACATGCTGTCTAGATTGCTTCACGATTAGAAAAGTGACTTTCAGTTGAACTTCGAGCACTTGAACAGATCACTAAATCCTTCGAATTCCTTAAATCCAGATGTTCATAGCCGCTGTTTAGAAATGATGACCATCTTTGTTAGCATTACAAAAAATGTGTGCTGTTGATCTTTCCTGATGTAGAATGTTAACTGCAAAAAGATCCTGCAAACTCTAGAATTCTTGAATATTCTGTGTAAATGGTAGATTCTTCAATCATGCCCTTGAATACTCAAATATGCTAAAACATAATGATTCATTGATAACAGACATGTTGAACAGTGTTTATTTTAGTTTATACATCCAATAATTGGTTCAAAAACCTTCTGCAGTCACATTTTCAAGAGGAAAGGACATTAAGCAAGAAATGTAGCTCTATTCGTGATAGTGAGATCGATTCAGTTATTTTGAAGGCGAGTAATCAAAGTTAGCAACAATATAAGGTATTCCCAACAAACAGAAAACATATTTTTATTCCTGAAGGATAGATCAAATCGACAAATACAAATATGGATAATCAAAGAACGGTAAAATAAATGTACAAGTAAGATCCACTGAAATTTAAATTAGACTTAACACATAAAATGGAATCATTGAGAATAACGACTGTACATTCAAAATTAAACAAAGAGGTATTGTCAGTTGGAGGATGCAATTTCAATACATATGCAAATGGAAGGACTTTCACATACTTTTCGTGCTATTGATAGAAGAAACCAGACAATTAGTGAATAGGTCTTCATTTAGATCTTCGCGCAGTCACAGTCGAGCGTGGGATTATTTATTTAGACAAACAAAGCTTCTCAACATTCAATATAAGAGAATAGGAAATATAACGCCTATACAAAATAAGGAAGTGAATGAATACTTGAACTATATTGTTTTGACATATGCTTAGTTGTTTGAGGTGAACTCTTAACCAACCAACCTAATTTGTTACATTAGCTTCCCCCTAGAATCGACTTCCGTAGGAACGTCGGTTCGATTAACTTATCTATCAAAAACACCTTAGTTCTGTTTTCTCAGCCCAAGGGAAAATTATCAACTCGCTCACTGTTTGACTTTCAATCAATGACGACTAACTCCGTCAGAAATCAACGATAGTCCATAGGTGTCTCTTCATTTGCTAGTTTGTCATCTTATTTTATTTAGATAAAACAGCTGCCCTTTATCTTTTGTCTGAAATCAGCAGCTAATGAAAACAGCCTACTAGCATAATAGACATCGATCTCTAAAACTAACCAGATAAATTTCAACTTGTACTTCTGCTTGTATTATGTACATTTCACAAATTAACTTGTGGGTTTATGTACTAACATGTTAAACTAGTTTTTTTTTCATTTTTTTCAGCTTACAAGTATCACGAGGTATTAGAAAACCGTTTAAAAGCACATCAAGATTGGAAGTTACCGTCAACAGAAATACAACTTCCCAATATGCCACATGATAAAGAGGCAAATTCCTTCACTTATTCAATACGAAAAGGTGTAGATTGGCAAAATGTTGGACACTGATTACCTAATATATCCCATTGTTTTACTTGAGTCATGGTAGCAAATTAGATTACCAGAATTACGTTTAAAATTCTTTCATATAACTGACATTTTTTATAGACAAAGTTGTATTACAGTTAATTAAAATAAAGAGACGATTCGGCTAAGAAAATTTCCTTTTCGATGAAATCATTTACTTAAGCGCACATTCGTATTTACAGATGTATAGTAACATACACTTGTAAAAATATGCTGTCTCAGTATATCGATAACTATTGTTATCCAATGTATTAGAGACCTTTATGACTGAAGGCAACTTAAAGCTGCCTAAAATTTCTGAGTTCAAGATCCACGCAAACGATGTGAAGAATAAGTGAGAACCACTTCTTCTGCTTCCTTATCAAAACCATGTAGAAGGATTGGACTGAAAATACTAACGTATTAAAAGTGGGAGTAGCACTGTAATGAACAGAACACGGACAATCGAATATATCTAACACACGATTGCAGAGCATCTCAATAAAATCTGAGAGCCATATATCAAATCATTAATTTGCAAAATGTTCACCAATTGTTTTAAAATGCCTCAGACTTCATTGTCCTTGCATTTTCATACAAATTGCATTCTATTTCCACTCTTGCTTTCTGATCTTCCCCATCTTCTGCTGCCAGGCATTACATTCCTGACTCGCATCATATACTACTTATATCAATATAAGTAGCACGCACCACAGCACTACCTCATCATCATACTCCTGGGTATTACCTTACACTGTTGAATTTTGTCAAGAATTAGTTGCACTTCTTTCCGCTAATTCTCAAACATATTGATCGGAGTTAGTTTACTGTGGCAAACACTCACCCAATATTCATTTTAACAACCCCACCTGGAGCACTTCTTGTGTTACTGCTGTTCCCAATCGTGGATGAAGGAAGAAAGTTGGATGCACGGTTACCAACCACATATCGTAAAGAAAAACCTTAACCAGAATAAACAATTTGAACCATTTAAACTCTGTCCTGGAGTTGAAATACCTTCATTCATAAGAACTATGACACCTTATAGTGAAAGCTGAGATCCTTCGGGTGTCACGTGACCAACGCCCTTTCTAACAATTAATATAGGTACATGGAATGTCCGGAAAATATGGTAGACCTATGAAACCAACCAAATAGCTGCGGAAGAAGAAACTACGATGGAGGATCGTTGGAAAGCGATGAAAGAAGCATTAACTTCAACGTATCAAGACGTTCTGGGCCACAACAGACATCATCACAAGGAATGGATTTCTATCGGAATCCTAGACAAGATTCATAAAAGGAAGAAAAAGACAGTAATTAACAACAGCCGAACAAGATCAAAGGAAATCAAGGCACAAACTAAATACACAGACGTAAACAAACAAGTGAAGAAGAGTATTAGAGCCGACAGGCAGAAATACATGGCACGTGTATCTTGGTAGCGGTGTTCATAGTGGAAAAAGCTGCAACAGAAGGAAATATCAAACAACTATATGACACGACCAAGAAACTGGTGGGGAAATATAGTAAACCAGAGAGACCAGTCAAGGACAAAGATGGCAAGTCAATCACTGAGATTCAAGAACAGGGAAACAAATGGGTAGCACATATTCAGTAACTTGAATGGACCAGCTCCACTGAATCCACCGGACATCAAAGCAGCACCTACAGACCTTCCTATAGACGTCAAAAGGAAATCAGGATGGTCATCAGACAAATGAAGTGTGGAAAAGCAGCAGAACCTGGCAATATACCAGCCGGAGCACTGAAGTTAGACATAAAGGTAACTGCAAACATACTTCATACTCTTGTAGTGACTCATATTTATCACGAGAACACGACTGGTTTAATAAAAACAATTATTATCATAACCAACTGTACCAGTGTTTGTTTTAATGTGCTTTTGTTTGACTGTGCTAATGACAGCTATTTTGTGCTTCCATTCATATAGACACACTTTTGATTGTGACTTCGCGCGAATTCGGTTACGTTCAGTAACCAAGCTTGTATCCTGGCACGATCTCGGTATCCTTTCGATGCCACGAGATCGCCAGCGAATATATCTCGATTTGGTCCATTAATTGCCTTCTGATATCTGGCTTCTCGGGTATTTTATGGATTTATTTAGTTACGTTCAACCTTCGCCTTCTGACTTACTTGGCACGTGTATCTTGGTAGCGGTGTTCATAGTTAATCCCAACTCGACGCCACGCTACACTCTATTCAGGATGATTTGGTAGGAGACTTCGAGAAAGAATTTCACAATGGGGATAGGAAAGTATTATGGGACTTTCTTTGACATTATGGAGTACCTAAGATTATCAACATCAACCAAAACTCATACGACAGACTACAGTGAAAAGTGGTTCATGGAGGACAGCTGACAGATTCATTCCAAGTAAGGACCAGGTTCAGAAAAAGCTGTCTACTCTCCTCCTTTCTTTTTCTTTCAGTGGTTGAAGGGATTATGAAGACCTTGACATCAGACGGGAAGTACGGAATACAATGAACAGCTTGAATGCAACTAGATGATTTGGACTTCAAAGATGATCTAACCCTTCTATCCTATACTCACGAACAAATGTAGCTCAAGACAACGAGTGCAGCATTCCTACAGTTGAAGAACATATCAAAGTAAGACTCTCTGATACGAACATGATGATAGTTCTGTTGTACATACCTGAAACTTGAAGAACTACCACAACCAACATCAAAACAGTACAAGTATTCATAAACAACTGTTAACACAAGATACTATCCATCGGCCGTATATCATCAACAACAACCTATTGTGGGAGGAAACAATAAATTGTACTAATCGATCATCGTCACCTATCATAATAGAAAGCTATCTTCAAGCGTATGCTGCTTCAGCTTTGGTTTCACCGATTTGTATATTTTCTACTGTCGTTTCCAATAGTCTCTGGCCAGTCGTACAACAACATGCTGGATTCTGGGGTTTTTTAAGTCGTGTGGAAGTAAAGCGTAATTCTGACCCTTCCGGTCGTCTTATCGTTTGTAAATGACCCTCACTCTCTCGAATAAAAAGATCACTATATGTTCAACAACAATATGATTCGTTTTGTCTAACTGACAAAGGCGATCTTACAACTGAAGCTTTCAAGCGTTTGTATCAAACCGATCTGAATTGTTTTACTGAATATGGTTCAATAACACTAAACGATAACATCCAATCATCTGATCATATGGCTAATTTCAACTTATCATCTTTCTCACCACCAACATATTTTAGAACATCAGACGAGTACAATTATGAATCAGTTACTCGTTGCGCTCGTGAATTTCTTTCTACACATAAAGAATGCATTACAACAGAATCTAATGACGATCATTGTAATTTAATCAATGATAACTATACTTGTAACAGCAGAACTTAATCAATCATAAAATACTATCGAAACATTGGATGACCTTCCTGAAACGCTTATACGGGGTATAGATTTTTAGTATTTGATCTTTTTATCAAATTAACAAAACTAGACCTTTCCTCGGTCTTAGATATTTTGACACCTCGTACAACTTCTTAAAATATTTTTTCTGACAATTTAATGATAACAAATTGAAAAGTATTTTTATAGTTTTGCATTTAATCCATTACTCTCTAGTTCTGCCAGTGTTAATTCGTATCATCATTTTCTCACACTGTGATATATATATATATATAACAATTAGTGTTTTGTGTAAATGATTCGTTTTTTTGGCAATTGTTGATCCGCAATTATGGTTACCAAAATCATCAAAGATACCTTCAAAGCAAAGAAGGAATGTCATCCAGTCCAACATACCTACGAACGAACCAGTGGAGAAGATAATGATTAGTTTTTGGTAGGCTGACGTAGATCGTAAAGAGGTGTTCAAGAAGGGTTTTTGACATCCTAGTAGATACTTGAAATCCATAACACCAGGTATGAAGATATTATAGGAAGACATGAACTGGTAGAAAGGAACGATTTCGATAAGAGATTTATATATCCATGTGTTCTCAACAAAATGGTTATCGGTAGCATCATATTCCTCCAAAAACGCATAAATAAAGTTATATTATTATTATTATTATTATTACTATTATTATTATTCACAGACATCTTATGGTACATAAGTGTTGTGAAGAAACCATTTCGGGTTTCTTCAAAAATGCAATAATACACAAGTTTCAATAATCTTAGCATTATATTTGCCATATTTGAAAAAGTGAATAATAACAGAATAATAATAATAATAATAAATCAGGTTCTGTGTAATTGAAAAGAATATTGAACTGAGTTGAAAGAAGGAAGTGGAAAATATAAGGGAATAGAAATGAAAGAGACGTGAAATACGCTCACAGTATTGTAGCGTGGCGTAGAGTCGCGGTTGACTAGGATCACCACTACAGGAAGACTACGTGCCAGTTAACCGATAAAATCCCCCGTACGCCAAATATCAGAAGGCAGTTGATAACTATAGTCGAGATGTATTTGCTGGCGATCTCGTGGTATCGAAAGCATACCGAGATCGTGCCAGGTTACAAATGCGGCTACTGAGCGTAACCGAATTCGTGCAAGGTCACAATCAAAGGAAGGAAGAATGTCTTTAGTACAGATAAGCAAGCAAGTACAGTAAAACAATCACTGGTACAATTGGTTATAATAATAATTGTTTCCATCAAAACAAATGGCGTTCTCTTCATAAAAGTAGGTCACTATAGTTTAATAAGAATGTTTATCATCACAGAGAAAGAATAAACGACTATGTATTTATCTCCAAATTAGTAACAAAAATGAAATAGAAAATAATTGAGAAAAAATAACTTATTAATGTAGTAAGATATGAAGTTAGAATAGATGTTTGTGCAGTCATAGTTTGGAGTGATGTTATGAAATTCTTAATTAAGTGAAAAGGATAACCAAATATCAATATGTATAAGTCATATATGCATAGGGAAGATAAAGCGAGTCTGAGAAGTTAATTTAGAAGTAAAAAAGAGGGATAAAAGTAATGAACACAGCGAAAGAGTTAAACAATGATAATAATAATATTAATGTGTTCAATGAATATCAACCTCTGCAGAAGAAGAACAAGCACCGACGGAATAGAAACAACGATAACTCATCAATATATCATGGAGAAAAGGTCACAACTAGCGTGAGA